AAGGAAAAGGGTCTTTGCAGTGATGGGCGTTACCAGAGAGGGCGATGGCCAGAGGACGCGAATGGGACGGGGAGGCAGCGCGTTGGGGGGGGGGGGGCGCGACACGGCTCGGGCCCGCCAGTGCCCCAACGGGGCCCTAGTTAGGGCCCGAGCCAGCTGCAGAGCAGCCGGGCGTAGGCCCTATTATTCCCCAAGTGGTTTTTCTTTGTTTCTTTCTTTCTTTTTTCTTTTTCCTCCCCTTTGAACTGGAAAATGGCCCACTTCCCACTGGCGAAAACTCATGAAATTTGGCAGGACGACCGGGCCTGGTGAAAAATTTGATATTCTGAAGTCGCCCAAACAATAAAATGCAAAATGGCTCCATAGCGCCCCCTAAGGTGAAAATTCACACTATTGACTGTCACGCCTGTACGCTTTGTCATATTGACACAAAAATTGACACACATATGTAGCTCAATAAGATCTACAAAAAAGTCAGTGCGGCCGTATCTGTCAAAATTACGGTTAAAGGGTTATTTCGCATTTTTTGCCGATCCGCACACATTGGAATTTCGCTAACTCCTCCGAAGGCTTTCGTTCCACCGGCACCACATTTGCTCAGGCCAATCTACACCCCGTGGCCATTAAAAGTTATCAAAATCATGACGCTGCACCCCAAGGTTTAGGTTCTAGGGGGCGCCAAAGATAACCCTAAAATCCACATATTTAAAAGTCTTATAACTTTTTAATTTTGTCCTCACTGGCCTCCAAGTTTTCTAGGATGATGCAATGTCCAGCCATCAACACATTTGTGAAGGAATTTTTACTCCCCAAAAGAGCGCCCCCCCATGGCAGGAGAAAAAAGTCCATTTTTTCTTGTCCCCTAAGGTGAAAATACACATTGTTGAGTGTCACGCCTATACGCTTTGTCATATTGACACAAAATTTGACAATCACGTGCCTTGCCTGGTATCATTTTTTTCAGCACAACCTCACCTGTGCGAATTTACAGTTATTTTATCATGTTGACATACTGAATTTACACAATGGACCCAAATTCACACACAAAACATAAAATCCGAGTGGAAAAAAGTAACATTTTTACTGTGAAAACCACAAATAGGTGTGATGAACTGTTTTTAAAACTTAAACTTCAAATAAAAATTGTAAACTTCAAAACATATGCAAATTTTTAACAAAGAACATAGTGATTTACCTCTATTTACATCAAAATGCAGGCAATGGCCCAGGCGTTCTTTGTAAAATTATTTACAAAACACTGTATAGTCTCACAAATGTCACTTTTTATTTATGCCACTACAAAAAAACATGATGTAAATGATGCATGATGTAAAACATGATGTAAAAAACTTGTGTAGATCCTCCTCTATGTCAGTCCATGTGTAATTTTTCCATAATTCTTTGTTTTTTGCAGCATTTTTGTTAGTGTAACTGCAGATTGTGCTGACAGTGTCTATGGCACAAAAAAGAAAAAAATTAAAATTCCTCAACATGAACCCCTGGTGGTCTCTGAGGGTGAAACCTGCTAACTGCTGCAGCTCTGTCAGCTTCAGTCTCCCATGCAGAGCTCTGAGCGCATGTGTGGCTCTGCACCCTTAGCAGCGTTGCTAACTCCTCAGTAAGGAAAGCCTGCTTCATGTCAGAGTCTCTAAACTCCAGAAGAAGTCGATAAAAGTCCCTTTCTTTCTAAAAAAAAAGTCGTTAGGGGGTCTGAAAAGTCATTGAATCTAACAACAAAGTCGCTAGGTTTGCAACTACGTGTCCCAGACTGCATCCCTGCTGAGAGTCCCTCCCTCCCTTCTCATGTTGCAGGAAGAACGTAAGCGCCCGCCCCTTGTCATTCAGTCACCATATAATTTTGGATTGGTTGTTGTGGTGAAGTTTTCCACCAATAGGAGAGATGTTGTGGTGTGTTTTTTTTTTCTTTTGGCAAGCCTTTTCCGCCTGTAAGACCTGTCGCTAATGTCTGCATGCTATGTTTTCCTGTCTCATACAGCGCGATCGAGCGCCGAACGTGATCAAAATAAGCAGAAAAAAAGTATCGCGGACATAATTTATCATAACTTTGGTTTTATTTGGCCTATCAACACAATTTAAAAACTGGTATATAGGTTGAGGTCCTCACTTTTGAGATAAGTTGAAACGGAGAGTCAACGAGGCTCCGTCTTGCAGCTACATACGATTAAATATGTCATGTGACTTGAACGCACACACAGACACACACACACGCACACACACACACACACACACACACTCAGAGTCTGGTTTTTAGCACCTGCAAAAACATGCTATTTACATATTTGACAAGAATGCAGAGGCTCCTTTTGCCCCTGAAAAAAATCAAATTTCAAACACAACTTGACTGCTCATTTCTCCAAAAGACAACCATGAAGCTCCATCCAAACCTGAAGCAGGCAGTTGGTGCATGTGTACAGTAACCTGAGGGGAGTGAGGTGAGTGCTTCTGAGGAGAACATGAGCAGTGAAGATTCACCTTGGAGCTAGAACAGAGACATGCACATGATTATACAGGGGCAGGGGCTCAAGTTTTTTCCAGTCGTTTATACAATATGGTAATTACTGTGAAATTAAAACACAAAGTATTAATAGAAAGGTAATGACTGTCCTGTGTAGGTGACAGTGATATCCAATAGGCTAGGCACTCACGAGGCTGGCTGTGGCAAGTGTAAGTGAAAGCAACACGCACTGGCAGGAAGAACAGCAAACGCCGATGAAGGAAAAGGGTCTTTGCAGTGATGGCCGTTACCAGAGAGGGCGATGGCCAGAGAACACAAATGGGACGGGGAGGCAGCACGTTGGGGGGGGGGCGCGACACGGCTCGGGCCCGCCAGTGCCCCAACGGGGTCCTAGTCTTTGTTTCTTTAGGGCCCGAGCGTAGCTGCTAAGCAGCTGCGAGAGCCCTCTTGTTCCTGTAGTTTCCTTCTTTTGTTATTATTATTATTATTAGGGCCCGAGCGTAGCTGCTAAGCAGCTGCGAGAGCCCTCTTGTTCCTGTAGTTTCCTTCTTTTGTTATTAGGGCCCGAGCGTAGCTGCTAAGCAGCTGCGAGAGCCCTATTATTCCTGATGGATTCTTCTTTCTTCTTCTTCTTCTTATTATTTTTCTGCCCCTTTGAACTGGAAAATGGCCCACTTCCCACTGGTGAAAAGTCATGAAATTTGGCAGGACGACCGGGCCTGGTGAAAAATTCGATATTCTGAAGTCCCCCAAAAAATCAAATGCAAAATGGCTCCATAGCGCCCCCTAAGGTGAAAAATTCACATGATTGAGTGTCACGCCTGTACGCTTTGTCAAAATGACACAAAAATTGACACACACATGTATCTCAATAAGATCTACAAAAAAGTCAGTGCGGGCGTATCTGTCAAATGTACGGTTAAAGGGTTATTTCGCATTTTTTGCCGATCCGCACACATTGGAATTTCGCTAACTCCTCCGAAGGCTTTCGTTCCACCGGCACCACATTTGCTCAGGCCAATCTACACCCCATGGACATTAAAAGTTGTACAAATCATGACGCTGCACCCCACGGTTTACGTTCTAGGGGGCGCCAAAGATTACCCAAAAATCCACAGTCTTAAAAGTCTTATAACTTTTTATTTTTGTCCTCACTGGCCTCCAAGTTCTCTAGGATGATGCAATGTCCAGCCATCAACACATTTGTGAAGGAATTTTTACCCGCCAAAAGAGCGCCCCCCCATGGCAGGAGAAAAAAGTCCATTTTTTCTTGTCTCCTAAGGCGAAAATTCACACTATTGACTGTCACGCCTTTACGCTTTGTCATATTGACACAAAAATTGACACACACATGTATCTCAATAAGATCTACAAAAAAGTCAGTGCGGGCGTATCTGTCAAATGTACGGTTAAAGGGTTATTTCGCATTTTTTGCCGATCCGCACACATTGGAATTTCGCTAACTCCTCCGAAGGCTTTCGTTCCACCGGCACCACATTTGCTCAGGCCAATCTACACCCCATGGCCATTAAAAGTTGTACAAATCATGACGCTGCACCCCACGGTTTACGTTCTAGGGGGCGCCAAAGATAACCCAAAAATCCACAGTCTTAAAAGTCTTATAACTTTTTATTTTTGTCCTCACTGGCCTCCAAGTTCTCTAGGATGATGCAATGTCCAGCCATCAACACATTTGTGAAGGAATTTTTACTCGCCAAAAGAGCGCCCCCCCCGTGGCAGGAGAAAAAAGTCCATTTTTTCTTGTCTCCTAAGGCGAAAATACACATTGTTGACTGTCACGCCTTTACGCTTTGTCAAAATGACACAAAATTTGACACACACATGTATCTCAATAAGATCTACGAAAAAGTCAATGCGAGCGTATCTGTTCAATGTACGGTTAAAGGGCTATTTCGCATTTTTTGCCGATTCGCACACATTGGAATGTGGCTAACTCCTCCTAAATCTTTTGTCCCATCGGCTTCAAATTTGCTCAGGCCAGTCTACACCCCATGGCCATTCAAAGTTGTACAAATCATGACGCTGCACCCCACAGTTTACGTTCTAGGGGGCGCCAAAGAGGACCCAAATATCCACATTTTTAAAAGTCTTATAACTTTTTATTTTTGTCCTCACTGGCCTCCAAGTTTTCTAGGATGATGCAATGTCCAGCCATCAACACATTTGTGAAGGAATTTTTCTCCCCAAAAGAGCGCCCCCCATGGCAGGAGAAAAAGTCAAGTTTTTCCTGCCCATCGCTCAATGGCTCAAACGCATCGCTCTCTCGGCAAAACCGAAAGGAGGAGCAACTTGCCATTTGGATATATACTAGCTGTGTTTGTGCCCTCACTCATGGTCCAGACTTTTTCAAAAAGGACATGGAGTTTGTCTGCAGCGAGCGTTTTGGTAGAAACTGCGCCTCCCATTCATTATAATGGTAAATGACCACAGACAAGTGCGCACACCATCTTTGGACCTTGAGTGTGACGCGATCGGGAGGGGTAGGCGGTCGCGCTGGGGGCGGCGCGACACGGCTCGGGCCCGCCAGTGCCCCAACGGGGCCCTAGTTATTATTATTATTTTTCCTCCCCTTTGAACTGGAAAATGGCCCACTTCCCACTGGCGAAAACTCATGAAATTTGGCAGGACGACCGGGCCTGGTGAAAAATTTGATATTCCGAAGTCGCCCAAACAAGAAAATGCAAAATGGCTCCATAGCGCCCCCTAAGGTGAAAATTCACACTATTCACTGTCACGCCGGTACGCTTTGTCAAAATGACACAAAAATTGACACACACATGTATCTCAATAAGATCTACAAAAAAGTCAGTGCGGGCGTATCTGTCAAATGTACGGTTAAAGGGTTATTTCGCATTTTTTGCCGATCCGCACACATTGGAATTTCGCTAACTCCTCCGAAGGCTTTCGTTCCACCGGCACCACATTTGCTCAGGCCAATCTACACCCCATGGCCATTAAAAGTTATTCAAATCATGACGCTGCACCCCAAGGTTTAGGTTCTAGGGGGCGCCAAAGATAACCCTAAGATCCACATATTTAAAAGTCTTATAACTTTTTATTTTTGCCCTCACTGGCCTCCAAGTTTTCTAGGATGATGCAATGTCCAGCCATCAACACATTTGTGAAGGAATTTTTACTCCCCAAAAGAGCACCCCCCCATGGCAGGAGAAAAAAGTCCATTTTTTCTTGTCCCCTAAGGTGAAAATACACATTGTTGAGTGTAACACCTGTACGCTTTGGCAAAATGACACAAAAATTGACACACACATGTATCTCAATAAGATCTACGAAAAAGTCAATGCGCGCGTATCTGTCAAATGTACGGTTAAAGGGTTATTCCGCATTTTTTGCCGATCCGCACACATTGGAATTTCGCTAACTCCTCCGAAGGCTTTCGTTCCACCGGCACCACATTTGCTCAGGCCAATCTACACCCCATGGCCATGAAAAGTTATTCAAATCATGACGCTGCACCCCACGGTTTAGGTTCTAGGGGGAGCCAAAGATAACCGTAAAATCCACATATTTAAAAGTCTTATAACTTTTTATTTTTGTCCCCACTGGCCTCCAAGTTTTCTAGGATGATGCAATGTCCAGCCATCAACACATTTGTGAAGGAATTTTTACTCGGCAAAAGAGCGCCCCCCCATGGCAGGAGACAAGAGTCAATTTTTTCTTGTCCACTAAGGTGAAAATACACATTGTTGAGTGCTACGCCTGTATGTTTTGTCGTATTGACACAAAATTTTACATACACGTGTATTTACATAAGATCTTCGAAAAAGTCAATGGCCACGTATCTGTAAAATGTACGGTTAAAGGGTTATTTCGCATTTTTTGCAGATTCGCACACATTGGAATTTCGCTAATTCCTCCGAAGGCTTTTGTTCCACCGGCACCACATTTGCTCAGGCCAATCTACACCCCATGGCCATTAAAAGTTATTCAAATCATGACGCTGCACCCCACGGTTTAGGTTCTAGGGGGCGCCAAATATAACCCTAAAATCCACATATTTAAAAGTCTTATAACTTTTTATTTTTGTCCTCACTGGCCTCCATGTTTTCTAGGATGATGCAATGTCCAGCCATCAACACATTTGTGAAGGAGTTTTTTCTCTTTAAAAGAGCGCCCCCCCCATGGCAGGAGAATAAAGTCAAGTTTTTCCTGTTCATCATTCAATGGCTCAAACGCACTGCTCTCTCGGCAAAAGCGAAAGGACGAGCAACTTGCCATTTGGATATATCTTAGCTGTGTTTGTGCCCTCACTCATGGTCCAGACTTTTTTCAAATAGGACATGGAGTTTTTCTGCAGCGAGCGTTTTGGTAGAAACTGCGCCTCCCGTTCATTATAATGGTAAATGACCACAAACAAGTGCGCACACCATCTTTGGACCTTGAGTGTGACGCGATCGGGTGGGGGAGGCGGTCGCGCTGGGGGCGGCGTGACACGGCTCGGGCCCGCCAGTGCCCCAACGGGGCCCTAGTTATTTTTCCTCCCCTTTGAACTGGAAAATGGCCCACTTCCCACTGGCGAAAACTCATGAAATTTGGCAGGACGACCGGGCCTGGTGAAAAATTTGATATTCCGAAGTCGCCCAAACAAGAAAATGCAAAATGGCTCCATAGCGCCCCCTAAGGTGAAAATTCACACTATTGACTGTCACGCCTGTACGCTTTGTCAAAATGACACAAAAATTGACACACACATGTATCTCAATAAGATCTACAAAAAAGTCAGTGCGGGCGTATCTGTCAAATGTACGGTTAAAGGGTTATTTCGCATTTTTTGCCGATCCGCACACATTGGAATTTCGCTAACTCCTCCGAAGGCTTTCGTTCCACCGGCACCACATTTGCTCAGGCCAATCTACACCCCATGGCCATTAAAAGTTATTCAAATCATGACGCTGCACCCCACGGTTTAGGTTCTAGGGGGCGCCAAAGATAACCCTAAGATCCACATATTTAAAAGTCTTATAACTTTTTATTTTTGCCCTCACTGGCCTCCAAGTTTTCTAGGATGATGCAATGTCCAGCCATCAACACATTTGTGAAGGAATTTTTACTCCCCAAAAGAGCGCCCCCCCATGGCAGGAGAAAAAAGTCCATTTTTTCTTGTCCCCTAAGGTGAAAATACACATTGTTGAGTGTAACACCTGTACGCTTTGGCAAAATGACACAAAAATTGACACACACATGTATCTCAATAAGATCTACGAAAAAGTCAATGCGCGCGTATCTGTCAAATGTACGGTTAAAGGGTTATTCCGCATTTTTTGCCGATCCGCACACATTGGAATTTCGCTAACTCCTCCGAAGGCTTTGTTCCACCGGCACCACATTTGCTCAGGCCAATCTACACCCCGTGGCCATTAAAAGTTATCAAAATCATGACGCTGCACCCCAAGGTTTAGGTTCTAGGGGGCGCCAAAGATAACACTAAAATCACTTTATTTTTGTCCTCACTGGCCTCCAAGTTTTCTAGGATGATGCAATGTCCAGCCATCAACACATTTGTGAAGGAATTTTTACTCGCCAAAAGAGCGCCCCCCATGGCAGGAGAAAAAAGTCAATTTTTTCTTGTCCACTAAGGTGAAAATACACATTGTTGAGTGCTACGCCTGTATGTTTTGTCGTATTGACACAAAATTTTACATACACGTGTATTTCAATAAGATCTTCGAAAAAGTCAATGGCCACGTATCTGTAAAATGTACGGTTGAAGGGTTATTTCGCATTTTTTGCAGATTCGCACACATTGGAATTTCGCTAATTCCTCCGAAGGCTTTCGTTCCACCGGCACCACATTTGCTCAGGCCAATCTACACCCCATGGCCATTAAAAGTTATTCAAATCATGACGCTGCACCCCACGGTTTAGGTTCTAGGGGGCGCCAAAGATAACCCTAAAATCCACATATTTAAAAGTCTTATAACTTTTTATTTTTGTCCTCACTGGCCTCCATGTTTTCTAGGATGATGCAATGTCCAGCCATCAACACATTTGTGAAGGAGTTTTTTCTCTTTAAAAGAGCGCCCCCCCATGGCAGGAGAATAAAGTCAAGTTTTTCCTGTTCATCATTCAATGGCTCAAACGCACTGCTCTCTCGGCAAAAGCGAAAGGAGGAGCAACTTGCCATTTGGATATATCTTAGCTGTGTTTGTGCCCTCACTCATGGTCCAGACTTTTTTCAAATAGGACATGGAGTTTTTCTGCAGCGAGCGTTTTGGTAGAAACTGCACCTCCCGTTCATTATAATGGTAAATGACCACAAAAAAGTGCACACACCATCTTTGGACCTTGAGTGTGACGCGATCGGGTGGGGGAGGCGGTCGCGCTGGGGGCGGCGTGACACGGCTCGGGCCCGCCAGTGCCCCAACGGGGCCCTAGTTCTTTCTTTTTTCTTTTTCCTCCCCTTTGAACTGGAAAATGGCCCACTTCCCACTGGCGAAAACTCATGAAATTTGGCAGGACGACCGGGCCTGGTGAAAAATTTGATATTCTGAAGTCGCCAAAACAATAAAATGCAAAATGGCTCCATAGCGCCCCCTAAGGTGGAAATTCACACTATTGACTGTCACGACTGTACGCTTTGTCATATTGACACAAAAATTGACACACATATGTATCTCAATAAGATCTACAAAAAAGTCAGTGCGGCCGTATCTGTCAAAATTACGGTTAAAGGGTTATTTCGCATTTTTTGCCGATCCGCACACATTGGAATTTCGCTAACTCCTCCGAAGGCTTTCGTTCCACCGGCACCACATTTGCTCAGGCCAATCTACACCCCGTGGCCATTAAAAGTTATCAAAATCATGACGCTGCACCCCAAGGTTTAGGTTCTAGGGGGCGCCAAAGATAACACTAAAATCCACATATTTAAAAGTCTTATAACTTTTTATTTTTGTCCTCACTGGCCTCCAAGTTTTCTAGGATGATGCAATGTCCAGCCATCAACACATTTGTGAAGGAATTTTTACTCCCCAAAAGAGCGCCCCCCCATGGCAGGAGAAAAAAGTCCATTTTTTCTTGTCCCCTAAGGTGAAAATACACATTGTTGAGTGTCACGCCTATACGCTTTGTCAAAATGACACAAAAATTGACACACACATGTAACTCAATAAGATCTACAAAAAAGTCCATGCGCGCGTATCTGTCAAATGTACAGTTAAAGGGTTATTCCGCATTATTTGCCGACACGCACACATTGGAATTTCGCTAACTCCTCCGAAGGCTTTCGTTCCACCGGCACCACATTTGCTCAGGCCAATCTACACCCCATGGCCATTAAAAGTTATTCAAATCATGATGCTGCACCCCATGGTTTAGGTTCTAGGGGGCGCCAAAAATAACCCAAAAATCCACATTCTTAAATGTTTCATAACTTTTTATTTTTGTCCTCACTGGCCTCCAAGTTTTCTAGGATGATGCAATGTCCAGCCATCAACACATTTGTGAAGGAATTTTTACTCCCCAAAAGAGCGCCCCCCATGGTAGGAGAAAAAAGTCAATTTTTTCTTGTCCCCTTACATGAAAATACACATTGTTGAGTGTCACGCCTGAACGCTTTGTCATATTGACACAAAAATTGACAATCATGTGTATCTCAATTAGATCTACGAAAAAGTCAAAGAGCGCGTATCTGTATAATGTACGGTTAAAGGGCTATTTTGCATTTTTTGCCGATTCGCACACATTGGAATGTGGCTATCTCCTCCTAAGGCTTTCGTCCCACCGATACCAAATTTGCTCAGGGCAATCTACACCCCATGCCCATTCAAAGTTGTAAAAATCATGACGCTGCACCCCACGGTTTACGTTCTAGGGGGCGCCAAAGATGACCCAAAAATCCACATTCTTAAAAGTCATTTTGGCCACTGCAGGAGTACAGAGTACTGCAGTTCTAGGGGGCGCCAAAGATGACCCAAAAATCCACATTCTTAAAAGTCTTTTTGGCCACTGCAGGAGTACAGAGTACTGCAGGATACACACACATATACACACACGCCAACATACACACACACACACACACACACACACACAGACACACACACACACTCAGAGTCTGTTTTTTAGCACCTGCAAAAACATGCTGTTTACATATTTGACAAGAATGCAGAGGCTTCCTTTTGCCCCTGAAAAAAATCAAATTTCAAACACAACTTGACTGTTCATTTCTCCAAAAGACAACCATGAAGCTCCATTTCAAACCTGAAGCAGATAGTTGGTGCATGTGTACAGTAACCTGAGGGGAGTGAGGTGACTATTTCTGAGGAGAACATGAGCAGTGAAGATTCACCTTGGAGCTAGAACAGGGACGTGCACATGATTATACAGGGGCAGGGGCTCAAGTTTTTTCCAGTCGTTTATACAATATGGAAATTAATGTGAAATTAAACCACAAATATGTGTGATGAACTGTTTTTAAAACTTAAACTTCAAATAAAAATTGTAAACTTCAAAACATATGCAAATTTTTAACAAAGAACATAGTGATTTACCTCTATTTACATCAAAATGCAGGCAATGGCCCAGGCGTTCTTTGTAAAATTATTTACAAAACACTGTATAGTCTCACAAATGTCACTTTTTATTTATGCCACTACAAAAAAACATGATGTAAATGATGCATGATGTAAAACATGATGTAAAAAACTTGTGTAGATCCTCCTCTATGTCAGTCCATGTGTAATTTTTCCATAATTCTTTGTTTTTTGCAGCATTTTTGTTAGTGTAACTGCAGATTGTGCTGACAGTGTCTATGGCACAAAAAAAAAAAAAAAATTAAAATGCCTCAACATGAACCCCTGGTGGTCTCTGAGGGTGAAACCTGCTAACTGCTGCAGCTCTGTCAGCTTCAGTCTCCCATGCAGAGCTCTGAGCGCATGTGTGGCTCTGCACCCTTAGCAGCGTTGCCTGCTTCATGTCAGAGTCTCTAAACTCCAGAAGAAGTCGATAAAAGTCACTTTCTTTCTAAAAAAAAGTCGTTAGGGGGTCTGAAAAGTCATTGAATCTAACAACAAAGTCGCTAGGTTTGCAACTACGTGTCCCAGACTGCATCCCTGCTGAGAGTCCCTCCCTCGCTTCTCATGTTGCAGGAAGAACGTAAGCGCCCGCCCCTTGTCAATCAGTCACCATATAATTTTGGATTGGTTGTTGTGGTGAAGTTTTCCACCAATAGGAGAGATGTTGTGGTGTGTTTTTTTTTTCTTTTGGCAAGCCTTTTCCGCCTGTGAGACCTGTCGCTAATGTCTGCATGCTATGTTTTCCTGTCTCATACAGCGCGATCGAGCGCCGAACGTGATCAAAATAAGCAGAAAAAAAGTATCGCGGACATAATTTATCATAACTCTGGTTTTATTTGGCCTATCAACACAATCTAAAAACTGGTATATAGGTTGAGGTCCTCACTTTTGAGATAAGTTGAAACGGAGAGTCAACGAGGCTCCGTCTTGCAGCTACATCCGGTTAAATATGTCATGTGACTTGAACGCACACACAGACACACACACACACACACACTCAGAGTCTGGTTTTTAGCACCTGCAAAAACATGCTATTTACATATTTGACAAGAATGCAGAGGCTCCTTTTGCCCCTGAAAAAAATCAAATTTCAAACACAACTTGACTGGTCATTTCTCCAAAAGACAACCATGAAGCTCCATCCAAACCTGAAGCAGGCAGTTGGTGCATGTGTACAGTAACCTGAGGGGAGTGAGGTGAGTGCTTCTGAGGAGAACATGAGCAGTGAAGATTCACCTTGGAGCTAGAACAGAGACATGCACATGATTATACAGGGGCAGGGGCTCAAGTTTTTTCCAGTCGTTTATACAATATGGAAATTAATGTGAAATTAAAACACAAAGTATTAATAGAAAGGTAATGACTGTCCTGTGTAGGTGACAGTGATATCCAATAGGCTAGGCACTCACGAGGCTGGCTGTGGCAAGTGTAAGTGAAAGCAACACGCACTGGCAGGAAGAACAGCAAACGCCGATGAAGGAAAAGGGTCTTTGCAGTGATGGGCGTTACCAGAGAGGGCGATGGCCAGAGGACACAAATGGGACGGGGAGGCAGCACGTTGGGGGGGGGGGGGGGGGGGGGGGGGGGGGGGGGCGAGACGGCTCGGGCCCGCCAGTGCCCCAACGGGGTCCTAGTTAGGGCCCGAGCCAGCTGCAGAGCAGCCGGGCGTAGGCCCTATTATTCCCCAAGTGGTTTTTCTTTGTTTCTTTCTTTCTTTCTTTCTTTCTTTCTTCTTTTTCCTCCCCTTTGAACTGGAAAATGGCCCACTTCCCACTGGCGAAAACTCATGAAATTTGGCAGGACGACCGGGCCTGGTGAAAAATTCGATATTCTGAAGTCGCCCAAACAATAAAATGCAAAATGGCTCCATAGCGCCCCCTAAGGTGGAAATTCACACTATTGACTGTCACGCCTGTACGCTTTGTCATATTGACACAAAAATTGACACACATATGTATCTCAATAAGATCTACAAAAAAGTCAGTGCGGGCGTATCTGTCAAAATTACGGTTAAAGGGTTATTTCGCATTTTTTGCCGATCCGCACACATTGGAATTTCGCTAACTCCTCCGAAGGCTATCGTTCCACCGGCACCACATTTGCTCAGGCCAATCTACACCCCGTGGCCATTAAAAGTTATCAAAATCATGACGCTGCACCCCAAGGTTTAGGTTCTAGGGGGCGCCAAAGATAACACTAAAATCCACATATTTAAAAGTCTTATAACTTTTTATTTTTGTCCTCACTGGCCTCCAAGTTTTCTAGGATGATGCAATGTCCAGCCATCAACACATTTGTGAAGGAATTTTTACTCCCCAAAAGAGCGCCCCCCCATGGCAGGAGAAAAAAGTCCATTTTTTCTTGTCCCCTAAGGTGAAAATACACATTGTTGAGTGTCACGCCTATACGCTTTGTCAAAATGACACAAAAATTGACACACACATGTAACTCAAAAAGATCTACAAAAAAGTCCATGCGCGCGTATCTGTCAAATGTACGGTTAAAGGGTTATTCCGCATTTTTTGCCGATTCGCACACATTGGAATTTCGCTAACTCCTCCGAAGGCTTTCGTTCCACCGGCACCACATTTGCTCAGGCCAAATTACACCCCATGGCCATTAAAAGTTATTCAAATCATGACGCTGGACCCCATGGTTTACGTTCTAGGGGGCGCCAAAGATAACCCAAAAATCCACATTTTTAAAAGTCTTATAACTTTTTATTTTTGTCCTCACTGGCCTCCAAGTTCTCTAGGATGATGCAATGTCCAGCCATCAACACATTTGTGAAGGAATTTTTACTCCCCAAAAGAGCGCCCCCCCCATGGTAGGAGAAAAAAGTCAATTTTTTCTTGTCCCCTTACATAAAAATACACATTGTTGAGTGTCACGCCTGAACGCTTTGTCATATTGACACAAAAATTGACAATCATGTGTATCTCAATTAGATCTACGAAAAAGTCAAAGAGCGCGTATCTGTATAATGTACGGTTAAATGGCTATTTTGCATTTTTTGCCGATTCGCACACATTGGAATGTGGCTATCTCCTCCTAAGGCTTTCGTCCCACCGATACCAAATTTGCTCAGGCCAATCTACACCCCATGGCCATTCAAAGTTGTAAAAATCATGACGCTGCACCCCACGGTTTACGTTCTAGGGGGCGCCAAAGATGACCCAAAAATCCACATTCTTAAAAGTCATTTTGGCCACTGCAGGAGTACAGAGTACTGCAGTTCTAGGGGGCGCCAAAGATGACCCAAAAATCCACATTCTTAAAAGTCTTTTTGGCCACTGCAGGAGTACAGAGTACTGCAGGATACACACACATATACACACACGCCAACATACACACACACACACACACACACACACACACACACACACACACACACACACACAGACACACACACACACTCAGAGTCTGTTTTTTAGCACCTGCAAAAACATGCTGTTTACATATTTGACAAGAATGCAGAGGCTTCCTTTTGCCCCTGAAAAAAATCAAATTTCAAACACAACTTGACTGTTCATTTCTCCAAAAGACAACCATGAAGCTCCATTTCAAACCTGAAGCAGATAGTTGGTGCATGTGTACAGTAAACCTGAGGGGAGTGAGGTGACTATTTCTGAGGAGAACATGAGCAGTGAAGATTCACCTTGGAGCTAGAACAGGGACGTAAACATGATTATACAGGGGCAGGGGCTCAAGTTTTTTCCAGTCATTTATACAATATGGAAATTAATGTGAAATTAAACCACAAATATGTGTGATGAACTGTTTTTAAAACTTAAACTTCAAATAAAAATTGTAAACTTCAAAACATATGCAAATTTTTAACAAAGAACATAGTAATTTACCTCTATTTACATCAAAATGCAGGCAATGGCCCAGGCGTTCTTTGTAAAATTATTTACAAAACACTGTATAGTCTCACAAATGTCACTTTTTATTTATGCCACTACAAAAAAACATGATGTAAATGATGCATGATGTAAAACATGATGTAAAAAACTTGTGTAGATCCTCCTCTATGTCAGTCCATGTGTAATTTTTCCATAATTCTTTGTTTTTTGCAGCATTTTTGTTAGTGTAACTGCAGATTGTGCTGACAGTGTCTATGGCACAAAAAAAAAAAAAAATTAAAATGCCTCAACATGAACCCCTGGTGGTCTCTGAGGGTGAAACCTGCTAACTGCTGCAGCTCTGTCAGCTTCAGTCTCCCATGCAGAGCTCTGAGCGCATGTGTGGCTCTGCACCCTTAGCAGCGTTGCTAACTCCTCAGTAAGGAAAGCCTGCTTCATGTCAGAGTCTCTAAACTCCAGAAGAAGTCGATAAAAGTCCCTTTCTTTCTAAAAAAAAGTCGTTAGGGGGTCTGAAAAGTCATTGAATCTAACAACAAAGTCGCTAGGTTTGCAACTACGTGTCCCAGACTGCATCCCTGCTGAGAGTCCCTCCCTCCCTTCTCATGTTGCAGGAAGAACGTAAGCTCCCGCCCCTTGTCAATCAGTCACCATATAATTTTGGATTGGTTGTTGTGGTGAAGTTTTCCACCAATAGGAGAGATGTTGTGGTGTGTTTTTTTTTTCTTTTGGCAAGCCTTTTCCGCCTGTAAGACCTGTCGCTAATGTCTGCATGCTATGTTTTCCTGTCTCATACAGCGCGATCGAGCGCCGAACGTGATCAAAATAAGCAGAAAACAAGTATCGCGGACATAATTTATCATAACTCTGGTTTTATTTGGCCTATCAACACAATTTAAAAACTGGTATATAGGTTGAGGTCCTCACTTTTGAGATAAGTTGAAACGGAGAGTCAACGAGGCTCCGTCTTGCAGCTACATCCGGTTAAATATGTCATGTGACTTGAACGCACACATAGACACACACACACGCACACACACACACACACTCAGAGTCTGGTTTTTAGCACCTGCAAAAACATGCTATTTACATATTTGACAAGAATGCAGAGGCTCCTTTTGCCCCTGAAAAAAATCAAATTTCAAACACAACTTGACTGGTCATTTCTCCAAAAGACAACCATGAAGCTCCATCCAAACCTGAAGCAGGCAGTTGGTGCATGTGTACAGTAACCTGAGGGGAGTGAGGTGAGTGCTTCTGAGGAGAATATGAGCAGTGAAGATTCACCTTGGGGCTAGAACAGAGACATGCACATGATTATACAGGGGCAGGGGCTCAAGTTTTTTCCAGTCGTTTCTACAATATGGAAATTAATGTGAAATTAAAACACAAAGTATTAATAGAAAGGTAATGACTGTCCTGTGTAGGTGACAGTGATATCCAATAGGCTAGGCACTCACGAGGCTGGCTGTGGCAAGTGTAAGTGAAAGCAACACGCACTGGCAGGAAGAACAGCAAACGCAGATGAAGGAAAAGGGTCTTTGCAGTGATGGGCGTTAACAGAGAGGGCGATGGCCAGAGGACACAAATGGGACGGGGAGGCAGCACGTTGGGGGGGGGGGGGGGACGCGACACGGCTCGGGCCCACCAGTGCCCCAACGGGGTCCTAGTTAGGGCCCGAGCGTAGCTGCTAAGCAGCTGCGAGAGCCCTCTTGTTCCTGTAGTTTCCTTCTTTTGTTATTATTATTATTATTTTTCCTCCCCTTTGAACTGGAAAATGGCCCACTTCCCACTGGCGAAAACTCATGAAATTTGGCAGGACGACCGGGCCTGGTGAAAAATTTGATATTCCGAAGTCGCCCAAACAAGAAAATGCAAAATGGCTCCATAGCGCCCCCTAAGGTGAAAATTCACACTATTCACTGTCACGCCGGTACGCTTTGTCAAAATGACACAAAAATTGACACACACATGTATCTCAATAAGATCTACAAAAAAGTCAGTGCGGGCGTATCTGTCAAATGTACGGTTAAAGGGTTATTTCGCATTTTTTGCCGATCCGCACACATTGGAATTTCGCTAACTCCTCCGAAGGCTTTCGTTCCACCGGCACCACATTTGCTCAGGCCAATCTACACCCCATGGCCATTAAAAGTTATTCAAATCATGACGCTGCACCCCAAGGTTTAGGTTCTAGGGGGCGCCAAAGATAACCCTAAGATCCACATATTTAAAAGTCTTATAACTTTTTATTTTTGCCCTCACTGGCCTCCAAGTTTTCTAGGATGATGCAATGTCCAGCCATCAACACATTTGTGAAGGAATTTTTACTCCCCAAAAGAGCACCCCCCCATGGCAGGAGAAAAAAGTCCATTTTTTCTTGTCCCCTAAGGTGAAAATACACATTGTTGAGTGTAACACCTGTACGCTTTGGCAAAATGACACAAAAATTGACACACACATGTATCTCAATAAGATCTACGAAAAAGTCAATGCGCGCGTATCTGTCAAATGTACGGTTAAAGGGTTATTCCGCATTTTTTGCCGATCCGCACACATTGGAATTTCGCTAACTCCTCCGAAGGCTTTCGTTCCACCGGCACCACATTTGCTCAGGCCAATCTACACCCCATGGCCATGAAAAGTTATTCAAATCATGACGCTGCACCCCACGGTTTAGGTTCTAGGGGGAGCCAAAGATAACCGTAAAATCCACATATTTAAAAGTCTTATAACTTTTTATTTTTGTCCCCACTGGCCTCCAAGTTTTCTAGGATGATGCAATGTCCAGCCATCAACACATTTGTGAAGGAATTTTTACTCGGCAAAAGAGCGCCCCCCATGGCAGGAGACAAGAGTCAATTTTTTCTTGTCCACTAAGGTGAAAATACACATTGTTGAGTGCTACGCCTGTATGTTTTGTCGTATTGACACAAAATTTTACATACACGTGTATTTACATAAGATCTTCGAAAAAGTCAATGGCCACGTATCTGTAAAATGTACGGTTAAAGGGTTATTTCGCATTTTTTGCAGATTCGCACACATTGGAATTTCGCTAATTCCTCCGAAGGCTTTTGTTCCACCGGCACCACATTTGCTCAGGCCAATCTACACCCCATGGCCATTAAAAGTTATTCAAATCATGACGCTGCACCCCACGGTTTAGGTTCTAGGGGGCGCCAAATATAACCCTAAAATCCACATATTTAAAAGTCTTATAACTTTTTATTTTTGTCCTCACTGGCCTCCATGTTTTCTAGGATGATGCAATGTCCAGCCATCAACACATTTGTGAAGGAGTTTTTTCTCTTTAAAAGAGCGCCCCCCATGGCAGGAGAATAAAGTCAAGTTTTTCCTGTTCATCATTCAATGGCTCAAACGCACTGCTCTCTCGGCAAAAGCGAAAGGACGAGCAACTTGCCATTTGGATATATCTTAGCTGTGTTTGTGCCCTCACTCATGGTCCAGACTTTTTTCAAATAGGACATGGAGTTTTTCTGCAGCGAGCGTTTTGGTAGAAACTGCGCCTCCCGTTCATTATAATGGTAAATGACCACAAACAAGTGCGCACACCATCTTTGGACCTTGAGTGTGACGCGATCGGGTGGGGGAGGCGGTCGCGCTGGGGGCGGCGTGACACGGCTCGGGCCCGCCAGTGCCCCAACGGGGCCCTAGTTTCTTCTTTTTCCTCCCCTTTGAACTGGAAAATGGCCCACTTCCCACTGGCGAAAACTCAGGAAATTTGGCAGGACAACCGGGCCTGGTGAAAAATTCGATATTCTGAAGTCGCCCAAACAATAAAATGCAAAATGGCTCCATAGCGCCCCCTAAGGTGGAAATTCACACTATTGACTGTCACGCCTGTACGCTTTGTCATATTGACACAAAAATTGACACACATATGTATCTCAATAAGATCTACAAAAAAGTCAGTGCGGCCGTATCTGTCAAAATTACGGTTAAAGGGTTATTTTGCATTTTTTGCCGATCCGCACACATTGGAATTTCGCTAACTCCTCCGAAGGCTTTCGTTCCACCGGCACCACATTTGCTCAGGCCAATCTACACCCCGTGGCCATTAAAAGTTATCAAAATCATGACGCTGCACCCCAAGGTTTAGGTTCTAGGGGGCGCCAAAGATAACACTAAAATCCACATATTTAAAAGTCTTATAACTTTTTATTTTTGTCCTCACTGGCCTCCAAGTTTTCTAGGATGATGCAATGTCCAGCCATCAACACATTTGTGAAGGAATTTTTACTCCCCAAAAGAGCACCCCCCCATGGCAGGAGAAAAAAGTCCATTTTTTCTTGTCCCCTAAGGTGAAAATACACATTGTTGAGTGTCACGCCTATACGCTTTGTCAAAATGACACAAAAATTGACACACACATGTAACTCAATAAGATCTACAAAAAAGTCAATGCGCGCGTATCTGTCAAATGTACGGTTAAAGGGTTATTCCGCATTTTTTGCCGATACGCACACATTGGAATTTCGCTAACTCCTCCGAAGGCTTTCGTTCCACCGGCACCACATTTGCTCAGGCCAATCTACACCCCATGGCCATTAAAAGTTATTCAAATCATGATGCTGCACCCCATGGTTTAGGTTCTAGGGGGCGCCAAAAATAACCCAAAAATCCACATTCTTAAATGTTTTATAACTTTTTATTTTTGTCCTCACTGGCCTCCAAGTTTTCTAGGATGATGCAATGTCCAGCCATCAACACATTTGTGAAGGAATTTTTACTCCCCAAAAGAGCGCCCCCCCCATGGCAGGAGAAAAAAGTCCATTTTTTCTTGTCCCATAAGGTGAAAAAACACATTGTTGACCGTCATACCTGTACGCTTTGTCATATTGACACAAAATTTGACAATCACATGTATCTCAATAAGATCTACGAAAAAGTCAATGCGCGCGTATCTGTAAAATGTACGGTTAAAGGGCTATTTTGCATTTTTTGCCGATTCGCACACATTGGAATGTGGCTAACTCCTCCTAAGGCTTTCGTCCCACTGACACCAAATTTGCTCAGGCCAATCTACACCCCATGGCCATTCAAAGTTGTAAAAATCATGACGCTGCACCCCACGGTTTACGTTCTAGGGGGCGCCAAAGATGACCCAAATATCCACATTCTTAATTGAATCCACATCCCCCCCCCCATCCCCCATCCCCCATGGCAGGAGAAACAGTCAAGTTTTTCCTGCCCATCACTCAATGGCTCAATCGCATCACTCTCCCGGCAACACCGTAACGAGGAGCAACTTGCCGTTTGGATATATCCTAGCTGTGTTTGTGCCCTCACTCATGGTCCAGACTTTTTTCAAATAGGACATGTAGTTTGTCTGCAGCGAGTGTTTTGGTAGAAACTGCGCCTCCCATTCATTATAATGGGAAATGACCACAGACAAGTGCGCACACCATCTTTGGACCTTGAGTGTGACGCGATCGGGAGGGGGAGGCGGTCGCGCTGGGGGCGGCGCAACGCGACTCGGGCCCGACAGTGCCCCACCGGGGTCCTAGTTAGGGCCCGAGCCAGCTGCAGAGCAGCCGGGCGTAGGCCCTATTATTCCCCAAGTGGTTTTTCTTTGTTTCTTTCTTTCTTTCTTTCTTTAGGGCCCGAGCGTAGCTGCTAAGCAGCTGCGAGAGCCCTCTTGTTCCTGCATGTTTCCTTCTTTTGTTATTATTATTATTTTTCCTCCCCTTTGAACTGGAAAACGGCCCACTTCCCACTGGCGAAAACTCATGAAATTTGGCAGGACGACCGGGCCTGGTGAAAAATTTGATATTCCGAAGTCGCCCAAACAAGAAAATGCAAAATGGCTCCATAGCGCCCCCTAAGGTGAAAATTCACACTATTGACTGTCACGCGTGTACGCTTTGTCAAAATGACACCAAAATTGACACACACATGTATCTCCATAAGATCTACAAAAAAGTCAGTGCGGGCGTATCTGTCAAATGTACGGTTAAAGGGTTATTTCGCATTTTTTGCCGATCCGCACACATTGGAATTTCGCTAACTCCTCCGAAGGCTTTTGTTCCACCAGCACCACATTTGCTCAGGCCAATCTACACCCCATGGCCATTAAAAGTTATTCAAATCATGACGCTGCACCCCACGGTTTAGGTTCTAGGGGGCGCCAAAGATAACCCTAAGATCCACATATTTAAAAGTCTTATAACTTTTTATTTTTGCCCTCACTGGCCTCCAAGTTTTCTAGGATGATGCAATGTCCAGCCATCAACACATTTGTGAAGGAATTTTTACTCCCCAAAAGAGCGCCCCCCCATGGCAGGAGAAAAAAGTCCATTTTTTCTTGTCCCCTAAGGTGAAAATACACATTGTTGAGTGTAACACCTGTACGCTTTGGCAAAATGACACAAAAATTGACACACACATGTATCTCAATAAGATCTACGAAAAAGTCAATGCGCGCGTATCTGTCAAATGTACGGTTAAAGGGTTATTCCGCATTTTTTGCCGATCCGCACACATTGGAATTTCGCTAACTCCTCCGAAGGCTTTCGTTCCACCGGCACCACATTTGCTCAGGCCAATCTACACCCCATGGCCATTAAAAGTTATTCAAATCATGACGCTGCACCCCACGGTTTAGGTTCTAGGGGGCGCCAAAGATAACCCTAAAATCCACATATTTAAAAGTCTTATAACTTTTTATTTTTGTCCTCACTGGCCTCCAAGTTTTCTAGGATGATGCAATGTCCAGCCATCAACACATTTGTGAAGGAATTTTTACTCCCCAAAAGAGCGCCCCCCCATGGCAGGAGAAAAAAGTCAATTTTTTCTTGTCCCCTAAGGTGGAAATTCACACTATTGACTGTCACGCCTGTACGCTTTATCATATTGACACAAAAATTGACACACATATGTATCTCAATAAGATCTACAAAAAAGTCAATGCGCGCGTATCTGTCAAATGTACGGTTAAAGGGCTATTTTGCATTTTTTGCCGATTCGCACACATTGGAATGTGGCTAACTCCTCCTAAGGCTTTCGTCCCACTGACACCAAATTTGCTCAGGCCAATCTACACCCCATGGCCATTCAAAGTTGTAAAAATCATGACGCTGCACCCCACGGTTTACGTTCTAGGGGGCGCCAAAGATGACCCAAAAATCCACATTCTTAAAGGAATCCACATTCCCCCCCCCCCCCCCACAAGGCAGGAGAAAAAGTCAAGTTAACCCTGCCCATCGCTCAATGGCTCAATCGCATCGCTCTCCAGGCAACACTGTAAGGAGGAGCAACCTGCCATTTCGATATATCATAGCTGTGTTTGTGCCCTCACTCATGGTCCAGACTTTTTTCAAATAGGACATGAAGTTTGTCTGCAGCGAGTGTTTTGGTAGAAACTGCGCCTCCCATTCATTATAATGGGAAATGACCACAGACAAGTGCGCACACCATCTTTGGACCTTGAGTGTGACGCGATCGGGAGGGGGAGGCGGTCGCGCTGGGGGCGGCGCGACGCGGCTCGGGCCCGACAGTGCCCCACCGGGGCCCTAGTTATTATTTTTCCTCCGCTTTAAACTGGAAAATGGTCCACTTCCCACTGGCGAAAACTCATGAAATTTGGCAGGACGACCGGGCCTGGTGAAAAATTCGATATTCTGAAGTCGCCCAAACAAGAAAATGCAAAATGGCTCCATAGCGCCCCCTAAGGTGAAAATTCACACTATTGACTGTCACGCCTGTACGCTTTGTCATATTGACACAAAAATTGACACACACATGTATCTCAATAAGATCTACAAAAAAGTCAGTGCGGGCGTATCTGTCAAATGTACGGTTAAAGGGTTATTTTGCATTTTTTGCAGATCCGCACACATTGGAATTTCGCTAACTCCTCCGAAGGCTTTCGTTCCACCGGCACCACATTTGCTCAGGCCAATCTACACTCCATGGCCATTCAAAGTTGTACAAATCATAATGCTGCACCCCATGGTTTAGGTTCTAGGGGGCGCCAAAAATAACCCAAAAATCCACATTCTTAAAAGTTTTATAAATTTTTTTTTTTGTCCTCACTGGCCTCCAAGTTTTCTAGGATGATGCAATGTCCAGCCATCAACACATTTGTGAAGGAATTTTTACTCCCCAAAAGAGCGCCCCCCCATGGCAGGAATAAAAAGTCCATTTTTTTCTTGTCCCCTAAGGTGAAAATACACATTGTTGAGTGTCACGCCTGTACGCTTTGTCGTATTGACAAAAAATTTGACACACACGTGTATCTCAATAAGATCTACGAAAAAGTCAATGGGCGCGTATCTGTAAAATGTACGGCTAAAGGGCTATTTTGCATTTTTTGCCGATTCGCACACATTGGAATGTGGCTAACTCCTCCTAAGGCTTTCGTCCCACTGACACCAAATTTGCTCAGGCCAATCTACACCCCATGGCCATTCAAAGTTGTAAAAATCATGCCGCTGCACCCCATGGTTTACGTTCTAGGGGGCGCCAAAGATGACCCAAATATCCACATTCTTAAAAGTCGTTTTGGCCACTGCAGGAGTACAGAGTACTGCAGGATACACACACACAGACACACACACACACACACACACACACACACACACACACACTCAGAGTCTGTTTTTTAGCACCTGCAAAAACATGCTATTTACATATTTGACAACAATGCAGAGGCTTCCTTTTGCCCCTGAAAAAAATCAAATTTCTAACACAACTTGACTGCTCATTTCTCCAAAAGACAACCATGAAGCTCCATCCAAACCTGAAGCAGGCAGTTGGTGCATGTGTACAGTAACCTGAGGGGAGTGAGGTGACTGCTTCTGAGGAGAACATGAGCAGTGAAGATTCACCTTGGAGCGAGAACAGGGACGTGCACATGATTATACGGGGGCAGGGGCTCAAGTTTTTTCCAGTCGTTTATACAATATGGAAATTAATGTGAAATTAAAAAACAAAGTATTAATAGAAAGGTAATGACTGTCCTGTGTAGGTGACAGTGATATCCAATAGGCTAGGCACTCACAAGGCTGGCTGTGGCAAGTGTAAGTGAAAGCAACACGCACTGGCAGGAAGAACAGCAAACGCCGATGAAGGAAAAGGGTCTTTGCAGTGATGGGCGTTACCAGAGAGGACGATGGCCAGAGGACGCGAATGGGACGGGGAGGCAGCGCGTTGGGGGGGGGGGGGGGCGACACAGCTCGGGCCCGCCAGTGCCCCAACGGGGCCCTAGTTCTTTCTTTCTTTCTTCTTTTTCCTCCCCTTTGAACTGGAAAATGGCCCACTTCCCACTGGCGAAAACTCATGAAATTTGGCAGGACGACCGGGCCTGGTGAAAAATTCGATATTCTGAAGTCGCCCAAACAATAAAATGCAAAATGGCTCCATAGCGCCCCCTAAGGTGAAAATTCACACTATTCACTGTCACGCCTGTACGCTTTGTCAAAATGACACAAAAATTGACACACACATGTATCTCAATAAGATCTACAAAAAAGTCAGTGCGGGCGTATCTGTCAAATGTACGGTTAAAGGGTTATTTCGCATTTTTTGCCGATCCGCACACATTGGAATTTCGCTAACTCCTCCGAAGGCTTTCGTTCCACCGGCACCACATTTGCTCAGGCCAATCTACACCCCATGGCCATTAAAAGTTATTCAAATCATGACGCTGCACCCCACGGTTTAGGTTCTAGGGGGCGCCAAAGATAACCCTAAGATCCACATATTTAAAAGTCTTATAACTTTTTATTTTTGCCCTCACTGGCCTCCAAGTTTTCTAGGATGATGCAATGTCCAGCCATCAACACATTTGTGAAGGAATTTTTACTCCCCAAAAGAGCGCCCCCCATGGCAGGAGAAAAAAGTCCATTTTTTCTTGTCCTCTAAGGTGAAAATACACATTGTTGAGTGTAACACCTGTACGCTTTGGCAAAATGACACAAAAATTGACACACACATGTATCTCAATAAGATCTACGAAAAAGTCAATGCGCGCGTATCTGTTACATGTACGGTTAAAGGGTTATTCCGCATTTTTTGCCGATCCGCACACATTGGAATTTCGCTAACTCCTCCGAAGGCTTTCGTTCCACCGGCACCACATTTGCTCAGGCCAATCTACACCCCATGGCCATTAAAAGTTATTCAAATCATGACGCTGCACCCCACGGTTTAGGTTCTAGGGGGCGCCAAAGATAACCGTAAAATCCACATATTTAAAAGTCTTATAACTTTTTATTTTTGTCCCCACTGGCCTCCAAGTTTTCTAGGATGATGCAATGTCCAGCCATCAACACATTTGTGAAGGAATTTTTACTCCCCAAAAGAGCGCCCCCCCATGGCAGGAGAAAAAAGTCAATTTTTTCTTGTCCACTAAGGTGAAAATACACATTGTTGAGTGCTACGCCTGTATGTTTTGTCGTATTGACACAAAATTTTACATACACGTGTATTTTAATAAGATCTTCGAAAAAGTCAATGGCCACGTATCTGTAAAATGTACGGTTAAAGGGTTATTTTGCATTTTTTGCAGATTCGCACACATTGGAATTTCGCTAACTCCTCCGAAGGCTTTTGTTCCACCGGCACCACATTTGCTCAGGCCAATCTACACCCCATGGCCATTAAAAGTTATTCAAATCATGACGCTGCACCCCACGGTTTAGGTTCTAGGGGGCGCCAAAGATAACCCTAAAATCCACATATTTAAAAGTCTTATAACTTTTTATTTTTGTCCTCACTGGCCTCCATGTTTTCTAGGATGATGCAATGTCCAGCCATCAACACATTTGTGAAGGAGTTTTTTCTCGTTAAAAGAGCGCCCCCCATGGCAGGAGAATAAAGTCAAGTTTTTCCTGTTCATCATTCAATGGCTCAAACGCACTGCTCTCTCGGCAAAAGCGAAAGGAGGAGCAACTTGCCATTTGGATATATCTTAGCTGTGTTTGTGCCCTCACTCATGGTCCAGACTTTTTTCAAATAGGACATGGAGTTTTTCTGCAGCGAGCGCTTTGGTAGAAACTGCGCCTCCCGTTCATTATAATGGTAAATGACCACAAACAAGTGCGCACACCATCTTTGGACCTTGAGTGTGACGCGATCGGGTGGGGGAGGCGGTCGCGCTGGGGGCGGCGTGACACGGCTCGGGCCCGCCAGTGCCCCAACGGGGCCCTAGTTAGGGCCCGAGCGTAGCTGCTAAGCAGCTGCGAGAGCCCTCTTGTTCCTGCATGTTTCCTTCTTTCGTTATTATTTTTCCTCCGCTTTAAACTGGAAAATGGCCCACTTCCCACTGGCGAAAACTCAGGAAATTTGGCAGGACGACCGGGCCTGGTGAAAAATTCGATATTCTGAAGTCGCCCAAACAATAAAATGCAAAATGGCTCCATAGCGCCCCCTAAGGTGAAAATTCACATGACCGCTGTACGCTTTGTCATATTGACACAAAAATTGACACACACATGTATCTCAATAAGATCTACAAAAAAGTCAGTGCGGGCGTATCTGTCAAATGTACGGTTAATGGGTTATTTTGCATTTTTTGCAGATCTGCACACATTGGAATTTCGCTAACTCCTCCGAAGGCTTTCATTCGACCGGCACCACATTTGCGCAGGTCAATCTACCCCCCATGGCCATTAAAAGTTGTACAAATCATGATGCTGCACCCCACGGTTTACGTTCTAGGGGGCGCCAAAGATAACCCAAAATCCACATTCTTAAAAGTCTTATAACTTTTTATTTTTGTCCTCACTGCCCTCCAAGTTTTCTAGGATGATGCAATGTCCAGCCATCAACACATTTGTGAAGGAATTTTTACTCCCCAAAAGAGCGCCCCCCCATGGCAGGAGAAAAAAGTCAATTTTTTCATGTCCCCTTACATGAAAATACACATTGTTGAGTGTCACGCCTGAACGCTTTGTCATATTGACACAAAAATTGACAATCATGTGTATCTCAATTAGATCTACGAAAAAGTCAAAAAGCGCGTATCTGTATAATGTACGGTTAAAGGGCTATTTCGCATTTTTTGCTGATTCGCACACATTGGAATGTGGCTATCTCCTCCTAAGGCTTTCGTCCCACCGATACCAAATTTGCTCAGGGCAATCTACACCCCATGCCCATTCAAAGTTGTAAAAATCATGACGCTGCACCCCACGGTTTACGTTCTAGGGGGCGCCAAAGATGACCCAAAAATCCACATTCTTAAAAGTCATTTTGGCCACTGCAGGAGTACAGAGTACTGCAGTTCTAGGGGGCGCCAAAGATGACCCAAAAATCCACATTCTTAAAAGTCTTTTTGGCCACTGCAGGAGTACAGAGTACTGCAGGATACACACACATACACACACACACACACACACACACACACACACACACACACACACACACACACACACACACTCAGAGTCTGTTTTTTAGCACCTGCAAAAACATGCTGTTTACATATTTGACAAGAATGCAGAGGCTTCCTTTTGCCCCTGAAAAAAATCAGATTTCAAACACAACTTGACTGTTCATTTCTCCAAAAGACAACCATGAAGCTCCATCCAAACCTGAAGCAGATAGTTGGTGCATGTGTACAGTAACCTGAGGGGAGTGAGGTGACTATTTCTGAGGAGAACATGAGCAGTGAAGATTCACCTTGGAGCTAGAACAGGGACGTGCACATGATTATACAGGGGCAGGGGCTCAAGTTTTTTCCAGTCATTTATACAATATGGAAATTAATGTGAAATTAAACCACAAATATGTGTGATGAACTGTTTTTAAAACTTAAACTTCAAATAAAAATTGTAAACTTCAAAACAAATGCAAATTTTTAACAAAGAACATAGTAATTTACCTCTATTTACATCAAAATGCAGGCAATGGCCCAGGCGTTCTTTGTAAAATTATTTACAAAACACTGTATAGTCTCACAAATGTCACTTTTTATTTATGCCACTACAAAAAAACATGATGTAAATGATGCATGATGTAAAACATGATGTAAAAAACTTGTGTAGATCCTCCTCTATGTCAGTCCATGTGTAATTTTTCCATAATTCTTTGTTTTTTGCAGCATTTTTGTTAGTGTAACTGCAGATTGTGCTGACAGTCTATGGCAAAAAAAACAAAAACTGAAAATGCCTCAACATGAACCCCTGGTGGTCTCTGAGGGTGAAACCTGCTAACTGCTGCAGCTCTGTCAGCTTCAGTCTCCCATGCAGAGCTCGGAGCGCATGTGTGGCTCTGCACCCTTAGCAGCGTTGCTAACTCCTCAGTAAGGAAAGCCTGCTTCATGTCAGAGTCTCTAAACTCCAGAAGAAGTCGATAAAAGTCCCTTTCTTTCTAAAAGTCGTTAGGGGGTCTGAAAAGTAATTGAATCTAACAACAAAGTCGCTAGGTTTGCAACTACGTGTCCCAGACTGCATCCCTGCTGAGAGTCCCTCCCTCCCTTCTCATGTTGCAGGAAGAACGTAAGCGCCCGCCCCTTGTCAATCAGTCACCATATAATTTTGGATTGGTTGTTGTGGTGAAGTTTTCCACCAATAGGAGAGATGTTGTGGTGTGTTTTTTTTTTCTTTTGGCCAGCCTTTTCCGCCTGTAAGACCTGTCGCTAATGTGTGCATGCTATGTTTTCCTGTCTCATACAGCGCGATCGAGCGCCGAACGTGATCAAAATAAGCAGAAAAAAAGTATCGCGGACATAATTTATCATAACTCTGGTTTTATTTGGCCTATCAACACAATTTAAAAACTGGTATATAGGTTGAGGTCCTCACTTTTGAGATAAGTTGAAACGGAGAGTTAACGAGGCTCCGTCTTGCAGCTACATCCGGTTAAATATGTAATGTGACTTGAACGCTGGGGAGCGTCAATCGAATCGAATCAAACCTAACTCTCAGATGAATCTTCAAAATTCACCTCAGAAATATGCTTATTATTCTTCTCAGAGTACTGCAGGATACACACACAGACACACACATACACACGCACACACACACACACACTCAGAGTCTGTTTTTTAGCACCTGCAAACACATGCTATTTACATATTTGACAAGAATGCAGAGGCTTCCTTTTGCCCCTGAAAAAAATCAAATTTCAAACACAACTTGACTGTTCATTTCTCCAAAAGACAACCATGAAGCTCCATCCAAACCTGAAGCAGGCAGTTGGTGCATGTGTACAGTAACCTGAGGGGAGTGAGGTGACTGCTTCTGAGGAGAACATGAGCAGTGAAGATTCACCTTGGAGCTAGAACAGGGACGTGCACATGATAATACAGGGGCAGGGGCTCAAGTTTTTTCCAGTCGTTTATACAATACGGAAATTAATGTGAAATTAAAAAACAAAGTATGACTGTCCTGTGTAGGTGACAGTGATATCCAATAGGCTAGGCACTCACGAGGCTGGCTGTGGCAAGTGTAAGTGAAAGCAACACGCACTGGCAGGAAGAACAGCAAACGCCGATGAAGGAAAAGGGTCTTTGCAGTGATGGGCGTTACCAGAGAGGGCGATGATGGCCAGAGGACACGAATGGGACGGGGAGGCAGCGCGTTGGGGGGGGGGGGGTGCGACACGGCTCGGGCCCGCCAGTGCCCCAACGGGGCCCTAGTTCTTTCTTTCTTTCTTCTTTTTCCTCCCCTTTGAACTGGAAAATGGCCCACTTCCCACTGGCGAAAACTCATGAAATTTGGCAGGACGACCGGGCCTGGTGAAAAATTCGATATTCTGAAGTCGCCCAAACAATAAAATGCAAAATGGCTCCATAGCGCCCCCTAAGGTGGAAATTCACACTATTGACTGTCACGCCTGTACGCTTTGTCATATTGACACAAAAATTGACACACATATGTATCTCAATAAGATCTACAAAAAAGTCAGTGCGGCCGTATCTGTCAAAATTACGGTTAAAGGGTTATTTCGCATTTTTTGCCGATCCGCACACATTGGAATTTCGCTAACTCCTCCGAAGGCTTTCGTTCCACCGGCACCACATTTGCTCAGGCCAATCTACACCCCGTGGCCATTAAAAGTTATTCAAATCATGACGCTGCACCCCAAGGTTTAGGTTCTAGGGGGCGCCAAAGATAACACTAAAATCCACATATTTAAAAGTTCTATAACTTTTTATTTTTGTCCTCACTGGCCTCCAAGTTTTCTAGGATGATGCAATGTCCAGCCATCAACACATTTGTGAAGGAATTTTTACTCCCCAAAAGAGCGCCCCCCCATGGCAGGAGAAAAAAGTCCATTTTTTCTTGTCCCCTAAGGTGAAAATACACATTGTTGAGTGTCACGCCTATACGCTTTGTCAAAATGACACAAAAATTGACACACACATGTAACTCAATAAGATCTACAAAAAAGTCAATGCGCGCGTATCTGTCAAATGTACAGTTAAAGGGTTATTCCGCATTTTTTGCCGATACGCACACATTGGAATTTCGCTAACTCCTCCGAAGGCTTTCGTTCCACCGGCACCACATTTGCTCAGGCCAATCTACACCCCATGGCCATTAAAAGTTATTCAAATCATGATGCTGCACCCCATGGTTTAGGTTCTAGGGGGCGCCAAAAATAACCCAAAAATCCACATTCTTAAATGTTTTATAACTTTTTATTTTTGTCCTCACTGGCCTCCAAGTTTTCTAGGATGATGCAATGTCCAGCCATCAACACATTTGTGAAGGAATTTTTACTCCCCAAAAGAGCGCCCCCCCATGGTAGGAGAAAAAAGTCAATTTTTTCTTGTCCCCTTACATAAAAATACACATTGTTGAGTGTCACGCCTGAACGCTTTGTCATATTGACACAAAAATTGACAATCATGTGTATCTCAATTAGATCTACGAAAAAGTCAAAGAGCGCGTATCTGTATAATGTACGGTTAAAGGGCTATTTTGCATTTTTTGCCGATTCACACACATTGGAATGTGGCTATCTCCTCCTAAGGCTTTCGTCCCACCGATACCAAATTTGCTCAGGGCAATCTACACCCCATGCCCATTCAAAGTTGTAAAAATCATGACGCTGCACCCCACGGTTTACGTTCTAGGGGGCGCCAAAGATGACCCAAAAATCCACATTCTTAAAAGTCATTTTGGCCACTGCAGGAGTACAGAGTACTGCAGTTCTAGGGGGCGCCAAAGATGACCCAAAAATCCACATTCTTAAAAGTCTTTTTGGCCACTGCAGGAGTACAGAGTACTGCAGGATACACACACATATACACACACGCCAACATACACACACACACACACACACACACACACACACACACACACACACACACACACACACTCAGAGTCTGTTTTTTAGCACCTGCAAAAACATGCTGTTTACATATTTGACAAGAATGCAGAGGCTTCCTTTTGCCCCTGAAAAAAATCAAATTTCAAACACAACTTGACTGTTCATTTCTCCAAAAGACAACCATGAAGCTCCATTTCAAACCTGAAGCAGATAGTTGGTGCATGTGTACAGTAACCTGAGGGGAGTGAGGTGACTATTTCTGAGGAGAACATGAGCAGTGAAGATTCACCTTGGAGCTAGAACAGGGACGTGCACATGATTATACAGGGGCAGGGGCTCAAGTTTTTTCCAGTCATTTATACAATATGGAAATTAATGTGAAATTAAACCACAAATATGTGTGATGAACTGTTTTTAAAACTTAAACTTCAAATAAAAATTGTAAACTTCAAAACATATGCAAATTTTTAACAAAGAACATAGTAATTTACCTCTATTTACATCAAAATGCAGGCAATGGCCCAGGTGTTCTTTGTAAAATTATTTACAAAACACTGTATAGTCTCACAAATGTCACTTTTTATTTATGCCACTACAAAAAAACATGATGTAAATGATGCATGATGTAAAACATGATGTAAAAAACTTGTGTAGATCCTCCTCTATGTCAGTCCATGTGTAATTTTTCCATAATTCTTTGTTTTTTGCAGCATTTTTGTTAGTGTAACTGCAGATTTTGCTGACAGTGTCTATGGCACAAAAAAAAAAAAAAATTAAAATGCCTCAACATGAACCCCTGGTGGTCTCTGAGGGTGAAACCTGCTAACTGCTGCAGCTCTGTCAGCTTCAGTCTCCCATGCAGAGCTCTGAGCGCATGTGTGGCTCTGCACCCTTAGCAGCGTTGCTAACTCCTCAGTAAGGAAAGCCTGCTTCATGTCAGAGTCTCTAAACTCCAGAAGAAGTCGATAAAAGTCCCTTTCTTTCTAAAAAAAAGTCGTTAGGGTGTCTGAAAAGTCATTGAATCTAACAACAAAGTCGCTAGGTTTGCAACTACGTGTCCCAGACTGCATCCCTGCTGAGAGTCCCTCCCTCCCTTCTCATGTTGCAGGAAGAACGTAAGCGCCCGCCCCTTGTCAATCAGTCACCATATAATTTTGGATTGGTTGTTGTGGTGAAGTTTTCCACCAATAGGAGAGATGTTGTGGTGTGTTTTTTTTTTCTTTTGGCAAGCCTTTTCCGCCTGTAAGACCTGTCGCTAATGTCTGCATGCTATGTTTTCCTGTCTCATACAGCGCGATCGAGCGCCGAACGTGATCAAAATAAGCAGAAAAAAAGTATCGCGGACATAATTTATCATAACTCTGGTTTTATTTGGCCTATCAACACAATTTAAAAACTGGTATATAGGTTGAGGTCCTCACTTTTGAGATAAGTTGAAACGGAGAGTCAACGAGGCTCCGTCTTGCAGCTACATCAGGTTAAATATGTCATGTGACTTGAACGCACACATAGACACACACACACACACACACACGCACACACACACACACACACACACACACACACACACTCAGAGTCTGGTTTTTAGCACCTGCAAAAACATGCTATTTACATATTTGACAAGAATGCAGAGGCTCCTTTTGCCCCTGAAAAAAATCAAATTTCAAACACAACTTGACTGGTCATTTCTCCAAAAGACAACCATGAAGCTCCATCCAAACCTGAAGCAGGCAGTTGGTGCATGTGTACAGTAACCTGAGGGGAGTGAGGTGAGTGCTTCTGAGGAGAACATGAGCAGTGAAGATTCACCTTGGAGCTAGAACAGAGACATGCACATGATTATACAGGGGCAGGGGCTCAAGTTTTTTCCAGTCGTTTATACAATATGGAAATTAATGTGAAATTAAAACACAAAGTATTAATAGAAAGGTAATGACTGTCCTGTGTAGGTGACAGTGATATCCAATAGGCTAGGCACTCACGAGGCTGGCTGTGGCAAGTGTAAGTGAAAGCAACACGCACTGGCAGGAAGAACAGCAAACGCCGATGAAGGAAAAGGGTCTTTGCAGTGATGGGCGTTACCAGAGAGGGCGATGGCCAGAGGACACAAATGGGACGGGGAGGCAGCACGTTGGGGGGGGGGGGATGCGACACGGCTCGGGCCCGCCAGTGCCCCAACGGGGTCCTAGTTAGGGCCCGAGCGTAGCTGCTAAGCAGCTGCAAGAGCCCTATTATTCCCCAAGGGGTTTTTAGGGCCCGAGCCAGCTGCAGAGCAGCCGGGCGTAGGCCCTATTATTCCCCAAGTGGTTTTTAGGGCCCGAGCGTAGCTGCTAAGCAGCTGCGAGAGCCCTCTTGTTCCTGTAGTTTCCTTCTTTTGTTATTATTATTTTTCCTCCCCTTTGAACTGGAAAATGGCCCACTTCCCACTGGCGAAAACTCATGAAATTTGGCAGGACGACCGGGCCTGGTGAAAAATTTGATATTCCGAAGTCGCCCAAACAAGAAAATGCAAAATGGCTCCATAGCGCCCCCTAAGGTGAAAAATTCACCTGACGCCTGTACGCTTTGTCAAAATGACACAAAAATTGACACACACATGTATCTCAATAAGATCTACAAAAAAGTCAGTGCGGGCGTATCTGTCAAATGTACGGTTAAAGGGTTATTGCGCATTTTTTGCCGATCCGCACACATTGGAATTTCGCTAACTCCTCCGAAGGCTTTCGTTCCACCGGCACCACATTTGCTCAGGCCAATCTACACCCCATGGCCATTAAAAGTTATTCAAATCATGACGCTGCACCCCACGGTTTAGGTTCTAGGGGGCGCCAAAGATAACACTAAAATCCACATATTTCAAAGTCTTATAACTTTTTATTTTTGTCCTCACTGGCCTCCAAGTTTTCTAGGATGATGCAATGTCCAGCCATCAACACATTTGTGAAGGAATTTTTACTCCCCAAAAGAGCGCCCCCCCATGGCAGGAGAAAAAAGTCCATTTTTTCTTGTCCCCTAAGGTGAAAATACACATTGTTGAGTGTCACGCCTGTACGCTTTGTCAAAATGACACAAAAATTGACACACACATGTATCTCAATAAGATCTACAAAAAAGTCAATGGGCGCGTATCTGTCAAATGTACGGTTAAAGGGTTATTCCGCATTTTTTGCCGATTCGCACACATTGGAATTTCGCTAACTCCTCCGAAGGCTTTCGTTCCACCGGCACCACATTTGCTCAGGCCAATCTACACCCCATGGCCATTAAAAGTTATTCAAATCATGATGCTGCACCCCATGGTTTAGGTTCTAGGGGGCGCCAAAAATAACCCAAAAATCCACATTCTTAAATGTTTTATAACTTTTTATTTTTGTCCTCACTGGCCTCCAAGTTTTCTAGGATGATGCAATGTCCAGCCATCAACACATTTGTGAAGGAATTTTTACTCCCCAAAAGAGCGCCCCCCCATGGTAGGAGAAAAAAGTCAATTTTTTCTTGTCCCCTTACATAAAAATACACATTGTTGAGTGTCACGCCTGAACGCTTTGTCATATTGACACAAAAATTGACAATCATGTGTATCTCAATTAGATCTACGAAAAAGTCAAAGAGCGCGTATCTGTATAATGTACGGTTAAAGGGCTATTTTGCATTTTTTGCCGATTCGCACACATTGGAATGTGGCTATCTCCTCCTAAGGCTTTCGTCCCACCGATACCAAATTTGCTCAGGGCAATCTACACCCCATGCCCATTCAAAGTTGTAAAAATCATGACGCTGCACCCCACGGTTTACGTTCTAGGGGGCGCCAAATATGACCCAAAAATCCACATTCTTAAAAGTCATTTTGGCCACTGCAGGAGTACAGAGTACTGCAGTTCTAGGGGGCGCCAAAGATGACCCAAAAATCCACATTCTTAAAAGTCTTTTTTCGGCCACTGCAGGAGTACAGAGTACTGCAGGATACACACACATATACACACACGCCAACATACACACACACACACACACACACACACACACACACAGACACACACACACACTCAGAGTCTGTTTTTTAGCACCTGCAAAAACATGCTGTTTACATATTTGACAAGAATGCAGAGGCTTCCTTTTGCCCCTGAAAAAAATCAAATTTCAAACACAACTTGACTGTTCATTTCTCCAAAAGACAACCATGAAGCTCCATTTCAAACCTGAAGCAGATAGTTGGTGCATGTGTACAGTAACCTGAGGGGAGTGAGGTGACTATTTCTGAGGAGAACATGAGCAGTGAAGATTCACCTTGGAGCTAGAACAGGGACGTGCACATGATTATACAGGGGCAGGGGCTCAAGTTTTTTCCAGTCATTTATACAATATGGAAATTAATGTGAAATTAAACCACAAATATGTGTGATGAACTGTTTTTAAAACTTAAACTTCAAATAAAAATTGTAAACTTCAAAACATATGCAAATTTTAAACAAAGAACATAGTAATTTACCTCTATTTACATCAAAATGCAGGCAATGGCCCAGGCGTTCTTTGTAAAATTATTTACAAAACACTGTATAGTCTCACAAATGTCACTTTTTATTTATGCCACTACAAAAAAACATGATGTAAATGATGCATGATGTAAAACATGATGTAAAAAACTTGTGTAGATCCTCCTCTATGTCAGTCCATGTGTAATTTTTCCATAATTCTTTGTTTTTTGCAGCATTTTTGTTAGTGTAACTGCAGATTGTGCTGACAGTGTCTATGGCACAAAAAAAAAAAAAATTAAAATGCCTCAACATGAACCCCTGGTGGTCTCTGAGGGTGAAACCTGCTAACTGCTGCAGCTCTGTCAGCTTCAGTCTCCCATGCAGAGCTCTGAGCGCATGTGTGGCTCTGCACCCTTAGCAGGGTTGCTAACTCCTCAGTAAGGAAAGCCTGCTTCATGTCAGAGTCTCTAAACTCCAGAAGAAGTCGATAAAAGTCCCTTTCTTTCTAAAAAAAAGTCGTTAGGGGGTCTGAAAAGTCATTGAATCTAACAACAAAGTCGCTAGGTTTGCAACTACGTGTCCCAGACTGCATCCCTGCTGAGAGTCCCTCCCTCCCTTCTCATGTTGCAGGAAGAACGTAAGCGCCCGGCCCTTGTCAATCAGTCACCATATAATTTTGGATTGGTTGTTGTGGTGAAGTTTTCCAACAATAGGAGAGATGTTGTGGTGTGTTTTTTTTTTCTTTTGGCAAGCCTTTTCCGCCTGTAAGAGCTGTCGCTAATGTCTGCATGCTATGTTTTCCTGTCTCATACAGCGCGATCGAGCGCCGAACGTGATCAAAATAAGCAGAAAAAAAGTATCGCGGACATAATTTATCATAACTCTGGTTTTATTTGGCCTATCAACACAATTTAAAAACTGGTATATAGGTTGAGGTCCTCACTTTTGAGATAAGTTGAAACGGAGAGTCAACGAGGCTCCGTCTTGCAGCTACATCCGGTTAAATATGTCATGTGACTTGAACGCACACACAGACACACACACGCACACACACACACACACACACTCAGAGTCTGGTTTTTAGCACCTGCAAAAACATGCTATTTACATATTTGACAAGAATGCAGAGGCTCCTTTTGCCCCTGAAAAAAATCAAATTTCAAACACAACTTGACTGGTCATTTCTCCAAAAGACAACCATGAAGCTCCATCCAAACCTGAAGCAGGCAGTTGGTGCATGTGTACAGTAACCTGAGGGGAGTGAGGTGAGTGCTTCTGAGGAGAACATGAGCAGTGAAGATTCACCTTGGAGCTAGAACAGAGACATGCACATGATTATACAGGGGCAGGGGCTCAAGTTTTTTCCAGTCGTTTATACAATATGGAAATTAATGTGAAATTAAAACACAAAGTATTAATAGAAAGGTAATGACTGTCCTGTGTAGGTGACAGTGATATCCAATAGGCTAGGCACTCACGAGGCTGGCTGTGGCAAGTGTAAGTGAAAGCAACACGCACTGGCAGGAAGAACAGCAAACGCCGATGAAGGAAAAGGGTCTTTGCAGTGATGGGCGTTAACAGAGAGGGCGATGGCCAGAGGACACAAATGGGACGGGGAGGCAGCACGTTGGGGGGGGGACGCGACACGGCTCGGGCCCGCCAGTGCCCCAACGGGGTCCTAGTTCTTTGTTTCTTTCTTTCTTTCTTTCTTTCTTTAGGGCCCGAGCGTAGCTGCTAAGCAGCTGCGAGAGCCCTCTTGTTCCTGTAGTTTCCTTCTTTTGTTATTAGGGCCCGAGCGTAGCTGCTAAGCAGCTGCGAGAGCCCTCTTGTTCCTGATGGATTCTTCTTTCGTTATTTTTCCTCCGCTTTAAACTGGAAAATGGCCCACTTCCCACTGGCGAAAACTCAGGAAATTTGGCAGGACGACCGGGCCTGGTGAAAAATTTGATATTCTGAAGTCGCCCAAACAAAAAAATGAAAAATGGCTCCATAGCGCCCCCTATGGTGAAAACTCACCTGACGCCTGTACGCTTTGTCAAAATGACACAAAATTTGACACACATGTGTATCTCAATAAGATCTACAAAAAAGTCAGTGCGGGCGTATCTGTCAAATGTACGGTTAAAGGGCTATTTCGCATTTTTTGCCGATCCGCACACATTGGAATTTCGCTAACTCCTCCGAAGGCTTTCGTTCCACCGGCACCAAATTTGCTCAGGCCAATCTACACCCCATGGCCATTAAAAGTTGTACAAATCATGATGCTGCACCCCACGGTTTACGTTCTAGGGGGCGCCAAAAATAACCCAAAAATCCACATTCTTAAAAGTCTTATAACTTTTTATTTTTGTCCTCACTGGCCTCCAAGTTTTCTAGGATGATGCAATGTCCAGCCATCAACACATTTGTGAAGGAATTTTTACTCGCCAAAAGAGCGCCCCCCCATGGCAGGAGAAAAAGTCCATTTTTTCTAGTCCCCTAAGGCGAAAATACACATTGTTGAATGTCACGCCTGTACGCTTCGTCATATTGACACAAAATTTGACAATCACGTGTATCTCAATAAGATCTACGAAAGAGTCAATGCGCGCGTATCAGTAAAATGTACGGTTAAAGGGCTATTTCGCATTTTTTGCCGTTTCGCACACATTGGAATGTGGCTAACTCCTCCTAAGGCTTTCGTCCCACTGACACCAAATTTGCTCAGGCCAATCTACACTCCATGGCCATTCAAAGTTGTAAAAATCATGACGCTGCACCCCACGGTCTATGTTCTAGGGGGCGCCAAAGAGGACCCAAATATCCACATTTTTAAAAGTCTTATAACTTTTTATTTTTGTCCTCACTGGCCTCCAAGTTTTCTAGGATGATGCAATGTCCAGCCATCAACACATTTGTGAAGGAATGTTTACTCCCCAAAAGAGCGCCCCCCCATGGCAGGAGAAAAAAGTCCATTTTTTCTTGTCCCCTAAGGTGAAAATACACATTGTTGAGTGTCATGCCTGTACGCTTTGTCAAAATGACACAAAATTCAACACACACGTGTATCTCAATAAGATCTACGAAAAAGTAAATGCAGGCGTATCTGTCAAATGTACGGTTAAAGGGCTATTTTGCATTTTTTGCCGATTCGCACACATTGGAATGTAGCTAACTCCTCCGAAGGCTTTCGCTCCACCGGCACCAAATTTGCTCAGGCCAATCTACACCCCATGGCCATTCAAAGTTGTAAAAATCATGACGCTGCACCCCACGGTTTAAGTTCTAGGGGGCGCCAAAGATGACCCAAATATCCATATTCTTAAAAGTGTTATAACATTTTATTTTTGTCCTCACTGGCCTCCATGTTTTCTAGGATGATGCAATGTCCAGCCATCAACACATTTGTGAAGGAGTTTTTTCTCGTTAAAAGAGCGCCCCCCATGGCAGGAGAATAAAGTCAAGTTTTTCCTGTTCATCGTTCAATGGCTCAAACGCATCGCTCTCTCGGCAAAAGCGAAAGGAGGAGCAACTTGCCATTTGGATATATCTTAGCTGTGTTTGTGCCCTCACTCATGGTCCAGACTTTTTTCAAATAGGACATGGAGTTTTTCTGCAGCGAGCGTTTTGGTAGAAACTGCGCCTCCCATTCATTATAATGGTAAATGACCACAGACAAGTGCGCACACCATCTTTGGACCTTGAGTGTGACGCGATTGGGTGGGGGAGGCGGTCGCGCTGGGGGCGGCGCGACACGGCTCGGGCCCGCCAGTGCCCCACCGGGGCCCTAGTTATTATTATTATTTTTCCTCCCCTTTGAACTGGAAAATGGCCCACTTCCCACTGGCGAAAACTCATGAAATTTGGCAGGACGACCGGGCCTGGTGAAAAATTTGATATTCCGAAGTCGCCCAAACAAGAAAATGCAAAATGGCTCCATAGCGCCCCCTAAGGTGAAAATTCACACTATTCACTGTCACGCCGGTACGCTTTGTCAAAATGACACAAAAATTGACACACACATGTATCTCAATAAGATCTACAAAAAAGTCAGTGCGGGCGTATCTGTCAAATGTACGGTTAAAGGGTTATTTCGCATTTTTTGCCGATCCGCACACATTGGAATTTCGCTAACTCCTCCGAAGGCTTTCGTTCCACCGGCACCACATTTGCTCAGGCCAATCTACACCCCATGGCCATTAAAAGTTATTCAAATCATGACGCTGCACCCCAAGGTTTAGGTTCTAGGGGGCGCCAAAGATAACCCTAAGATCCACATATTTAAAAGTCTTATAACTTTTTATTTTTGCCCTCACTGGCCTCCAAGTTTTCTAGGATGATGCAATGTCCAGCCATCAACACATTTGTGAAGGAATTTTTACTCCCCAAAAGAGCACCCCCCCATGGCAGGAGAAAAAAGTCCATTTTTTCTTGTCCCCTAAGGTGAAAATACACATTGTTGAGTGTAACACCTGTACGCTTTGGCAAAATGACACAAAAATTGACACACACATGTATCTCAATAAGATCTACGAAAAAGTCAATGCGCGCGTATCTGTCAAATGTACGGTTAAAGGGTTATTCCGCATTTTTTGCCGATCCGCACACATTGGAATTTCGCTAACTCCTCCGAAGGCTTTCGTTCCACCGGCACCACATTTGCTCAGGCCAATCTACACCCCATGGCCATGAAAAGTTATTCAAATCATGACGCTGCACCCCACGGTTTAGGTTCTAGGGGGAGCCAAAGATAACCGTAAAATCCACATATTTAAAAGTCTTATAACTTTTTATTTTTGTCCCCACTGGCCTCCAAGTTTTCTAGGATGATGCAATGTCCAGCCATCAACACATTTGTGAAGGAATTTTTACTCGGCAAAAGAGCCCCCCCATGGCAGGAGACAAGAGTCAATTTTTTCTTGTCCACTAAGGTGAAAATACACATTGTTGAGTGCTACGCCTGTATGTTTTGTCGTATTGACACAAAATTTTACATACACGTGTATTTACATAAGATCTTCGAAAAAGTCAATGGCCACGTATCTGTAAAATGTACGGTTAAAGGGTTATTTCGCATTTTTTGCAGATTCGCACACATTGGAATTTCGCTAATTCCTCCGAAGGCTTTTGTTCCACCGGCACCACATTTGCTCAGGCCAATCTACACCCCATGGCCATTAAAAGTTATTCAAATCATGACGCTGCACCCCACGGTTTAGGTTCTAGGGGGCGCCAAATATAACCCTAAAATCCACATATTTAAAAGTCTTATAACTTTTTATTTTTGTCCTCACTGGCCTCCATGTTTTCTAGGATGATGCAATGTCCAGCCATCAACACATTTGTGAAGGAGTTTTTTCTCTTTAAAAGAGCGCCCCCCCATGGCAGGAGAATAAAGTCAAGTTTTTCCTGTTCATCATTCAATGGCTCAAACGCACTGCTCTCTCGGCAAAAGCGAAAGGACGAGCAACTTGCCATTTGGATATATCTTAGCTGTGTTTGTGCCCTCACTCATGGTCCAGACTTTTTTCAAATAGGACATGGAGTTTTTCTGCAGCGAGCGTTTTGGTAGAAACTGCGCCTCCCGTTCATTATAATGGTAAATGACCACAAACAAGTGCGCACACCATCTTTGGACCTTGAGTGTGACGCGATCGGGTGGGGGAGGCGGTCGCGCTGGGGGCGGCGTGACACGGCTCGGGCCCGCCAGTGCCCCAACGGGGCCCTAGTTATTTTTCCTCCCCTTTGAACTGGAAAATGGCCCACTTCCCACTGGCGAAAACTCATGAAATTTGGCAGGACGACCGGGCCTGGTGAAAAATTTGATATTCCGAAGTCGCCCAAACAAGAAAATGCAAAATGGCTCCATAGCGCCCCCTAAGGTGAAAATTCACACTATTGACTGTCACGCCTGTACGCTTTGTCAAAATGACACAAAAATTGACACACACATGTATCTCAATAAGATCTACAAAAAAGTCAGTGCGGGCGTATCTGTCAAATGTACGGTTAAAGGGTTATTTCGCATTTTTTGCCGATCCGCACACATTGGAATTTCGCTAACTCCTCCGAAGGCTTTCGTTCCACCGGCACCACATTTGCTCAGGCCAATCTACACCCCATGGCCATTAAAAGTTATTCAAATCATGACGCTGCACCCCACGGTTTAGGTTCTAGGGGGCGCCAAAGATAACCCTAAGATCCACATATTTAAAAGTCTTATAACTTTTTATTTTTGCCCTCACTGGCCTCCAAGTTTTCTAGGATGATGCAATGTCCAGCCATCAACACATTTGTGAAGGAATTTTTACTCCCCAAAAGAGCGCCCCCCCATGGCAGGAGAAAAAAGTCCATTTTTTCTTGTCCCCTAAGGTGAAAATACACATTGTTGAGTGTAACACCTGTACGCTTTGGCAAAATGACACAAAAATTGACACACACATGTATCTCAATAAGATCTACGAAAAAGTCAATGCGCGCGTATCTGTCAAATGTACGGTTAAAGGGTTATTCCGCATTTTTTGCCGATCCGCACACATTGGAATTTCGCTAACTCCTCCGAAGGCTTTCGTTCCACCGGCACCACATTTGCTCAGGCCAATCTACACCCCGTGGCCATTAAAAGTTATCAAAATCATGACGCTGCACCCCAAGGTTTAGGTTCTAGGGGGCGCCAATGATAACACTAAAATCACTTTATTTTTGTCCTCACTGGCCTCCAAGTTTTCTAGGATGATGCAATGTCCAGCCATCAACACATTTGTGAAGGAATTTTTACTCGCCAAAAGAGCGCCCCCCCATGGCAGGAGAAAAAAGTCAATTTTTTCTTGTCCACTAAGGTGAAAATACACATTGTTGAGTGCTACGCCTGTATGTTTTGTCGTATTGACACAAAATTTTACATACACGTGTATTTCAATAAGATCTTCGAAAAAGTCAATGGCCACGTATCTGTAAAATGTACGGTTGAAGGGTTATTTCGCATTTTTTGCAGATTCGCACACATTGGAATTTCGCTAATTCCTCCGAAGGCTTTCGTTCCACCGGCACCACATTTGCTCAGGCCAATCTACACCCCATGGCCATTAAAAGTTATTCAAATCATGACGCTGCACCCCACGGTTTAGGTTCTAGGGGGCGCCAAAGATAACCCTAAAATCCACATATTTAAAAGTCTTATAACTTTTTATTTTTGTCCTCACTGGCCTCCATGTTTTCTAGGATGATGCAATGTCCAGCCATCAACACATTTGTGAAGGAGTTTTTTCTCTTTAAAAGAGCGCCCCCCATGGCAGGAGAATAAAGTCAAGTTTTTCCTGTTCATCATTCAATGGCTCAAACGCACTGCTCTCTCGGCAAAAGCGAAAGGAGGAGCAACTTGCCATTTGGATATATCTTAGCTGTGTTTGTGCCCTCACTCATGGTCCAGACTTTTTTCAAATAGGACATGGAGTTTTTCTGCAGCGAGCGTTTTGGTAGAAACTGCACCTCCCGTTCATTATAATGGTAAATGACCACAAAAAAGTGCACACACCATCTTTGGACCTTGAGTGTGACGCGATCGGGTGGGGGAGGCGGTCGCGCTGGGGGCGGCGTGACACGGCTCGGGCCCGCCAGTGCCCCAACGGGGCCCTAGTTCTTTCTTTTTTCTTTTTCCTCCCCTTTGAACTGGAAAATGGCCCACTTCCCACTGGCGAAAACTCATGAAATTTGGCAGGACGACCGGGCCTGGTGAAAAATTTGATATTCTGAAGTCGCCAAAACAATAAAATGCAAAATGGCTCCATAGCGCCCCCTAAGGTGGAAATTCACACTATTGACTGTCACGACTGTACGCTTTGTCATATTGACACAAAAATTGACACACATATGTATCTCAATAAGATCTACAAAAAAGTCAGTGCGGCCGTATCTGTCAAAATTACGGTTAAAGGGTTATTTCGCATTTTTTGCCGATCCGCACACATTGGAATTTCGCTAACTCCTCCGAAGGCTTTCGTTCCACCGGCACCACATTTGCTCAGGCCAATCTACACCCCGTGGCCATTAAAAGTTATCAAAATCATGACGCTGCACCCCAAGGTTTAGGTTCTAGGGGGCGCCAAAGATAACACTAAAATCCACATATTTAAAAGTCTTATAACTTTTTATTTTTGTCCTCACTGGCCTCCAAGTTTTCTAGGATGATGCAATGTCCAGCCATCAACACATTTGTGAAGGAATTTTTACTCCCCAAAAGAGCGCCCCCCATGGCAGGAGAAAAAAGTCAATTTTTTCTTGTCCCCTAAGGTGAAAATACACATTGTTGAGTGTCACGCCTATACGCTTTGTCAAAATGACACAAAAATTGACACACACATGTAACTCAATAAGATCTACAAAAAAGTCCATGCGCGCGTATCTGTCAAATGTACAGTTAAAGGGTTATTCCGCATTATTTGCCGACACGCACACATTGGAATTTCGCTAACTCCTCCGAAGGCTTTCGTTCCACCGGCACCACATTTGCTCAGGCCAATCTACACCCCATGGCCATTAAAAGTTATTCAAATCATGATGCTGCACCCCATGGTTTAGGTTCTAGGGGGCGCCAAAAATAACCCAAAAATCCACATTCTTAAATGTTTCATAACTTTTTATTTTTGTCCTCACTGGCCTCCAAGTTTTCTAGGATGATGCAATGTCCAGCCATCAACACATTTGTGAAGGAATTTTTACTCCCCAAAAGAGCGCCCCCCCATGGTAGGAGAAAAAAGTCAATTTTTTCTTGTCCCCTTACATGAAAATACACATTGTTGAGTGTCACGCCTGAACGCTTTGTCATATTGACACAAAAATTGACAATCATGTGTATCTCAATTAGATCTACGAAAAAGTCAAAGAGCGCGTATCTGTATAATGTACGGTTAAAGGGCTATTTTGCATTTTTTGCCGATTCGCACACATTGGAATGTGGCTATCTCCTCCTAAGGCTTTCGTCCCACCGATACCAAATTTGCTCAGGGCAATCTACACCCCATGCCCATTCAAAGTTGTAAAAATCATGACGCTGCACCCCACGGTTTACGTTCTAGGGGGCGCCAAAGATGACCCAAAAATCCACATTCTTAAAAGTCATTTTGGCCACTGCAGGAGTACAGAGTACTGCAGTTCTAGGGGGCGCCAAAGATGACCCAAAAATCCACATTCTTAAAAGTCTTTTTGGCCACTGCAGGAGTACAGAGTACTGCAGGATACACACACATATACACACACGCCAACATACACACACACACACACACACACACACACACAGACACACACACACACTCAGAGTCTGTTTTTTAGCACCTGCAAAAACATGCTGTTTACATATTTGACAAGAATGCAGAGGCTTCCTTTTGCCCCTGAAAAAAATCAAATTTCAAACACAACTTGACTGTTCATTTCTCCAAAAGACAACCATGAAGCTCCATTTCAAACCTGAAGCAGATAGTTGGTGCATGTGTACAGTAACCTGAGGGGAGTGAGGTGACTATTTCTGAGGAGAACATGAGCAGTGAAGATTCACCTTGGAGCTAGAACAGGGACGTGCACATGATTATACAGGGGCAGGGGCTCAAGTTTTTTCCAGTCGTTTATACAATATGGAAATTAATGTGAAATTAAACCACAAATATGTGTGATGAACTGTTTTTAAAACTTAAACTTCAAATAAAAATTGTAAACTTCAAAACATATGCAAATTTTTAACAAAGAACATAGTGATTTACCTCTATTTACATCAAAATGCAGGCAATGGCCCAGGCGTTCTTTGTAAAATTATTTACAAAACACTGTATAGTCTCACAAATGTCACTTTTTATTTATGCCACTACAAAAAAACATGATGTAAATGATGCATGATGTAAAACATGATGTAAAAAACTTGTGTAGATCCTCCTCTATGTCAGTCCATGTGTAATTTTTCCATAATTCTTTGTTTTTTGCAGCATTTTTGTTAGTGTAACTGCAGATTGTGCTGACAGTGTCTATGGCACAAAAAAAAAAAAAAATTAAAATGCCTCAACATGAACCCCTGGTGGTCTCTGAGGGTGAAACCTGCTAACTGCTGCAGCTCTGTCAGCTTCAGTCTCCCATGCAGAGCTCTGAGCGCATGTGTGGCTCTGCACCCTTAGCAGCGTTGCCTGCTTCATGTCAGAGTCTCTAAACTCCAGAAGAAGTCGATAAAAGTCACTTTCTTTCTAAAAAAAAGTCGTTAGGGGGTCTGAAAAGTCATTGAATCTAACAACAAAGTCGCTAGGTTTGCAACTACGTGTCCCAGACTGCATCCCTGCTGAGAGTCCCTCCCTCGCTTCTCATGTTGCAGGAAGAACGTAAGCGCCCGCCCCTTGTCAATCAGTCACCATATAATTTTGGATTGGTTGTTGTGGTGAAGTTTTCCACCAATAGGAGAGATGTTGTGGTGTGTTTTTTTTTTCTTTTGGCAAGCCTTTTCCGCCTGTGAGACCTGTCGCTAATGTCTGCATGCTATGTTTTCCTGTCTCATACAGCGCGATCGAGCGCCGAACGTGATCAAAATAAGCAGAAAAAAAGTATCGCGGACATAATTTATCATAACTCTGGTTTTATTTGGCCTATCAACACAATCTAAAAACTGGTATATAGGTTGAGGTCCTCACTTTTGAGATAAGTTGAAACGGAGAGTCAACGAGGCTCCGTCTTGCAGCTACATCCGGTTAAATATGTCATGTGACTTGAACGCACACACAGACACACACACACACACACACTCAGAGTCTGGTTTTTAGCACCTGCAAAAACATGCTATTTACATATTTGACAAGAATGCAGAGGCTCCTTTTGCCCCTGAAAAAAATCAAATTTCAAACACAACTTGACTGGTCATTTCTCCAAAAGACAACCATGAAGCTCCATCCAAACCTGAAGCAGGCAGTTGGTGCATGTGTACAGTAACCTGAGGGGAGTGAGGTGAGTGCTTCTGAGGAGAACATGAGCAGTGAAGATTCACCTTGGAGCTAGAACAGAGACATGCACATGATTATACAGGGGCAGGGGCTCAAGTTTTTTCCAGTCGTTTATACAATATGGAAATTAATGTGAAATTAAAACACAAAGTATTAATAGAAAGGTAATGACTGTCCTGTGTAGGTGACAGTGATATCCAATAGGCTAGGCACTCACGAGGCTGGCTGTGGCAAGTGTAAGTGAAAGCAACACGCACTGGCAGGAAGAACAGCAAACGCCGATGAAGGAAAAGGGTCTTTGCAGTGATGGGCGTTACCAGAGAGGGCGATGGCCAGAGGACACAAATGGGACGGGGAGGCAGCACGTTGGGGGGGGGGGGGGGGGGGCGACACGGCTCGGGCCCGCCAGTGCCCCAACGGGGTCCTAGTTAGGGCCCGAGCGTAGCTGCTAAGCAGCTGCGAGAGCCCTCTTGTTCCTGTAGTTTCCTTCTTTTGTTATTATTATTATTATTATTATTATTTTTCCTCCCCTTTGAACTGGAAAATGGCCCACTTCCCACTGGCAAAAACTCATGAAATTTGGCAGGACGACCGGGCCTCGTGAAAAATTTGATATTCCGAAGTCGCCCAAACAAGAAAATGCAAAATGGCTCCATAGCGCCCCCTAAGGTGAAAATTCACACTATTCACTGTCACGCCTGTACGCTTTGTCAAAATGACACAAAAATTGACACACACATGTATCTCAATAAGATCTACAAAAAAGTCAGTGCGGGCGTATCTGTCAAATGTACGGTTAAAGGGTTATTTCGCATTTTTTGCCGATCCGCACACATTGGAATTTCGCTAACTCCTCCGAAGGCTTTCGTTCCACCGGCACCACATTTGCTCAGGCCAATCTACACCCCATGGCCATTAAAAGTTATTCAAATCATGACGCTGCACCCCACGGTTTAGGTTCTAGGGGGCGCCAAAGATAACCCTAAGATCCACATATTTAAAAGTCTTATAACTTTTTATTTTTGCCCTCACTGGCCTCCAAGTTTTCTAGGATGATGCAATGTCCAGCCATCAACACATTTGTGAAGGAATTTTTACTCCCCAAAAGAGCGCCCCCCCATGGCAGGAGAAAAAAGTCCATTTTTTCTTGTCCTCTAAGGTGAAAATACACATTGTTGAGTGTAACACCTGTACGCTTTGGCAAAATGACACAAAAATTGACACACACATGTATCTCAATAAGATCTACGAAAAAGTCAATGCGCGCGTATCTGTTACATGTACGGTTAAAGGGTTATTCCGCATTTTTTGCCGATCCGCACACATTGGAATTTCGCTAACTCCTCCGAAGGCTTTCGTTCCACCGGCACCACATTTGCTCAGGCCAATCTACACCCCATGGCCATTAAAAGTTATTCAAATCATGACGCTGCACCCCACGGTTTAGGTTCTAGGGGGCGCCAAAGATAACCGTAAAATCCACATATTTAAAAGTCTTATAACTTTTTATTTTTGTCCCCACTGGCCTCCAAGTTTTCTAGGATGATGCAATGTCCAGCCATCAACACATTTGTGAAGGAATTTTTACTCCCCAAAAGAGCGCCCCCCCATGGCAGGAGAAAAAAGTCAATTTTTTCTTGTCCACTAAGGTGAAAATACACATTGTTGAGTGCTACGCCTGTATGTTTTGTCGTATTGACACAAAATTTTACATACACGTGTATTTTAATAAGATCTTCGAAAAAGTCAATGGCCACGTATCTGTAAAATGTACGGTTAAAGGGTTATTTTGCATTTTTTGCAGATTCGCACACATTGGAATTTCGCTAACTCCTCCGAAGGCTTTTGTTCCACCGGCACCACATTTGCTCAGGCCAATCTACACCCCATGGCCATTAAAAGTTATTCAAATCATGACGCTGCACCCCACGGTTTAGGTTCTAGGGGGCGCCAAAGATAACCCTAAAATCCACATATTTAAAAGTCTTATAACTTTTTATTTTTGTCCTCACTGGCCTCCATGTTTTCTAGGATGATGCAATGTCCAGCCATCAACACATTTGTGAAGGAGTTTTTTCTCGTTAAAAGAGCGCCCCCCCATGGCAGGAGAATAAAGTCAAGTTTTTCCTGTTCATCATTCAATGGCTCAAACGCACTGCTCTCTCGGCAAAAGCGAAAGGAGGAGCAACTTGCCATTTGGATATATCTTAGCTGTGTTTGTGCCCTCACTCATGGTCCAGACTTTTTTCAAATAGGACATGGAGTTTTTCTGCAGCGAGCGCTTTGGTAGAAACTGCGCCTCCCGTTCATTATAATGGTAAATGACCACAAACAAGTGCGCACACCATCTTTGGACCTTGAGTGTGACGCGATCGGGTGGGGGAGGCGGTCGCGCTGGGGGCGGCGTGACACGGCTCGGGCCCGCCAGTGCCCCAACGGGGCCCTAGTTCTTTCTTTCTTTCTTCTTTTTCCTCCCCTTTGAACTGGAAAATGGCCCACTTCCCACTGGCGAAAACTCATGAAATTTGGCAGGACGACCGGGCCTGGTGAAAAATTCGATATTCTGAAGTCGCCCAAACAATAAAATGCAAAATGGCTCCATAGCGCCCCCTAAGGTGGAAATTCACACTATTGACTGTCACGCCTGTACGCTTTGTCATATTGACACAAAAATTGACACACATATGTATCTCAATAAGATCTACAAAAAAGTCAGTGCGGCCGTATCTGTCAAAATTACGGTTAAAGGGTTATTTCGCATTTTTTGCCGATCCGCACACATTGGAATTTCGCTAACTCCTCCGAAGGCTTTCGTTCCACCGGCACCACATTTGCTCAGGCCAATCTACACCCCGTGGCCATTAAAAGTTATTCAAATCATGACGCTGCACCCCAAGGTTTAGGTTCTAGGGGGCGCCAAAGATAACACTAAAATCCACATATTTAAAAGTTCTATAACTTTTTATTTTTGTCCTCACTGGCCTCCAAGTTTTCTAGGATGATGCAATGTCCAGCCATCAACACATTTGTGAAGGAATTTTTACTCCCCAAAAGAGCGCCCCCCCATGGCAGGAGAAAAAAGTCCATTTTTTCTTGTCCCCTAAGGTGAAAATACACATTGTTGAGTGTCACGCCTATACGCTTTGTCAAAATGACACAAAAATTGACACACACATGTAACTCAATAAGATCTACAAAAAAGTCAATGCGCGCGTATCTGTCAAATGTACAGTTAAAGGGTTATTCCGCATTTTTTGCCGATACGCACACATTGGAATTTCGCTAACTCCTCCGAAGGCTTTCGTTCCACCGGCACCACATTTGCTCAGGCCAATCTACACCCCATGGCCATTAAAAGTTATTCAAATCATGATGCTGCACCCCATGGTTTAGGTTCTAGGGGGCGCCAAAAATAACCCAAAAATCCACATTCTTAAATGTTTTATAACTTTTTATTTTTGTCCTCACTGGCCTCCAAGTTTTCTAGGATGATGCAATGTCCAGCCATCAACACATTTGTGAAGGAATTTTTACTCCCCAAAAGAGCGCCCCCCCATGGTAGGAGAAAAAAGTCAATTTTTTCTTGTCCCCTTACATAAAAATACACATTGTTGAGTGTCACGCCTGAACGCTTTGTCATATTGACACAAAAATTGACAATCATGTGTATCTCAATTAGATCTACGAAAAAGTCAAAGAGCGCGTATCTGTATAATGTACGGTTAAAGGGCTATTTTGCATTTTTTGCCGATTCACACACATTGGAATGTGGCTATCTCCTCCTAAGGCTTTCGTCCCACCGATACCAAATTTGCTCAGGGCAATCTACACCCCATGCCCATTCAAAGTTGTAAAAATCATGACGCTGCACCCCACGGTTTACGTTCTAGGGGGCGCCAAAGATGACCCAAAAATCCACATTCTTAAAAGTCATTTTGGCCACTGCAGGAGTACAGAGTACTGCAGTTCTAGGGGGCGCCAAAGATGACCCAAAAATCCACATTCTTAAAAGTCTTTTTGGCCACTGCAGGAGTACAGAGTACTGCAGGATACACACACATATACACACACGCCAACATACACACACACACACACACACACACACACACACACACACACAGACACACACACACACTCAGAGTCTGTTTTTTAGCACCTGCAAAAACATGCTGTTTACATATTTGACAAGAATGCAGAGGCTTCCTTTTGCCCCTGAAAAAAATCAAATTTCAAACACAACTTGACTGTTCATTTCTCCAAAAGACAACCATGAAGCTCCATTTCAAACCTGAAGCAGATAGTTGGTGCATGTGTACAGTAACCTGAGGGGAGTGAGGTGACTATTTCTGAGGAGAACATGAGCAGTGAAGATTCACCTTGGAGCTAGAACAGGGACGTGCACATGATTATACAGGGGCAGGGGCTCAAGTTTTTTCCAGTCATTTATACAATATGGAAATTAATGTGAAATTAAACCACAAATATGTGTGATGAACTGTTTTTAAAACTTAAACTTCAAATAAAAATTGTAAACTTCAAAACATATGCAAATTTTTAACAAAGAACATAGTAATTTACCTCTATTTACATCAAAATGCAGGCAATGGCCCAGGTGTTCTTTGTAAAATTATTTACAAAACACTGTATAGTCTCACAAATGTCACTTTTTATTTATGCCACTACAAAAAAACATGATGTAAATGATGCATGATGTAAAACATGATGTAAAAAACTTGTGTAGATCCTCCTCTATGTCAGTCCATGTGTAATTTTTCCATAATTCTTTGTTTTTTGCAGCATTTTTGTTAGTGTAACTGCAGATTTTGCTGACAGTGTCTATGGCACAAAAAAAAAAAAAAATTAAAATGCCTAAACATGAACCCCTGGTGGTCTCTGAGGGTGAAACCTGCTAACTGCTGCAGCTCTGTCAGCTTCAGTCTCCCATGCAGAGCTCTGAGCGCATGTGTGGCTCTGCACCCTTAGCAGCGTTGCTAACTCCTCAGTAAGGAAAGCCTGCTTCATGTCAGAGTCTCTAAACTCCAGAAGAAGTCGATAAAAGTCCCTTTCTTTCTAAAAAAAAGTCGTTAGGGTGTCTGAAAAGTCATTGAATCTAACAACAAAGTCGCTAGGTTTGCAACTACGTGTCCCAGACTGCATCCCTGCTGAGAGTCCCTCCCTCCCTTCTCATGTTGCAGGAAGAACGTAAGCGCCCGCCCCTTGTCAATCAGTCACCATATAATTTTGGATTGGTTGTTGTGGTGAAGTTTTCCACCAATAGGAGAGATGTTGTGGTGTGTTTTTTTTTTCTTTTGGCAAGCCTTTTCCGCCTGTAAGACCTGTCGCTAATGTGTGCATGCTATGTTTTCCTGTCTCATACAGCGCGATCGAGCGCCGAACGTGATCAAAATAAGCAGAAAAAAAGTATCGCGGACATAATTTATCATAACTCTGGTTTTATTTGGCCTATCAACACAATTTAAAAACTGGTATATAGGTTGAGGTCCTCACTTTTGAGATAAGTTGAAACGGAGAGTCAACGAGGCTCCGTCTTGCAGCTACATCAGGTTAAATATGTCATGTGACTTGAACGCACACATAGACACACACACACGCACACACACACGCACACACACACACACACACACACACACACACTCAGAGTCTGGTTTTTAGCACCTGCAAAAACATGCTATTTACATATTTGACAAGAATGCAGAGGCTCCTTTTGCCCCTGAAAAAAATCAAATTTCAAACACAACTTGACTGGTCATTTCTCCAAAAGACAACCATGAAGCTCCATCCAAACCTGAAGCAGGCAGTTGGTGCATGTGTACAGTAACCTGAGGGGAGTGAGGTGAGTGCTTCTGAGGAGAACATGAGCAGTGAAGATTCACCTTGGAGCTAGAACAGAGACATGCACATGATTATACAGGGGCAGGGGCTCAAGTTTTTTCCAGTCGTTTATACAATATGGAAATTAATGTGAAATTAAAACACAAAGTATTAATAGAAAGGTAATTACTGTCCTGTGTAGGTGACAGTGATATCCAATAGGCTAGGCACTCACGAGGCTGGCTGTGGCAAGTGTAAGTGAAAGCAACACGCACTGGCAGGAAGAACAGCAAACGCCGATGAAGGAAAAGGGTCTTTGCAGTGATGGGCGTTACCAGAGAGGGCGATGGCCAGAGGACACAAATGGGACGGGGAGGCAGCACGTTGGGGGGGGGGGGGATGCGACACGGCTCGGGCCCGCCAGTGCCCCAACGGGGTCCTAGTTCTTTGTTTCTTTAGGGCCCGAGCGTAGCTGCTAAGCAGCTGCGAGAGCCCTCTTGTTCCTGTAGTTTCCTTCTTTTGTTATTAGGGCCCGAGCGTAGCTGCTAAGCAGCTGCGAGAGCCCTCTTGTTCCTGTAGTTTCCTTCTTTTGTTATTATTATTATTATTTTTCCTCCCCTTTGAACTGGAAAATGGCCCACTTCCCACTGGCGAAAACTCATGAAATTTGGCAGGACGACCGGGCCTGGTGAAAAATTTGATATTCCGAAGTCGCCCAAACAAGAAAATGCAAAATGGCTCCATAGCGCCCCCTAAGGTGAAAATTCACACTATTCACTGTCACGCCGGTACGCTTTGTCAAAATGACACAAAAATTGACACACACATGTATCTCAATAAGATCTACAAAAAAGTCAGTGCGGGCGTATCTGTCAAATGTACGGTTAAAGGGTTATTTCGCATTTTTTGCCGATCCGCACACATTGGAATTTCGCTAACTCCTCCGAAGGCTTTCGTTCCACCGGCACCACATTTGCTCAGGCCAATCTACACCCCATGGCCATTAAAAGTTATTCAAATCATGACGCTGCACCCCACGGTTTAGGTTCTAGGGGGCGCCAAAGATAACCCTAAGATCCACATATTTAAAAGTCTTATAACTTTTTATTTTTGCCCTCACTGGCCTCCAAGTTTTCTAGGATGATGCAATGTCCAGCCATCAACACATTTGTGAAGGAATTTTTACTCGGCAAAAGAGCGCCCCCCCATGGCAGGAGAAAAAAGTCCATTTTTTCTTGTCCCCTAAGGTGAAAATACACATTGTTGAGTGTAACACCTGTACGCTTTGGCAAAATGACACAAAAATTGACACACACATGTATCTCAATAAGATCTACGAAAAAGTCAATGGCCACGTATCTGTAAAATGTATGGTTAAAGGGTTATTCCGCATTTTTTGCCGATCCGCACACATTGGAATTTCGCTAACTCCTCCGAAGGCTTTCGTTCCACCGGCACCACATTTGCTCAGGCCAATCTACACCCCATGGCCATTAAAAGTTATTCAAATCATGACGCTGCACCCCACGGTTTAGGTTCTAGGGGGCGCCAAATATAACCCTAAAATCCACATATTTAAAAGTCTTATAACTTTTTATTTTTGTCCTCACTGGCCTCCATGTTTTCTAGGATGATGCAATGTCCAGCCATCAACACATTTGTGAAGGAGTTTTTTCTCTTTAAAAGAGCGCCCCCCCATGGCAGGAGAATAAAGTCAAGTTTTTCCTGTTCATCATTCAATGGCTCAAACGCACTGCTCTCTCGGCAAAAGCGAAAGGAGGAGCAACTTGCCATTTGGATATATCTTAGCTGTGTTTGTGCCCTCACTCATGGTCCAGACTTTTTTCAAATAGGACATGGAGTTTTTCTGCAGCGAGCGTTTTGGTAGAAACTGCGCCTCCCGTTCATTATAATGGTAAATGACCACAAACAAGTGCGCACACCATCTTTGGACCTTGAATGTGACGCGATCGGGTGGGGGAGGCGGTCGCGCTGGGGGCGGCGTGACACGGCTCGGGCCCGCCAGTGCCCCAACGGGGCCCTAGTTATTATTTTTCCTCCCCTTTGAACTGGAAAATGGCCCACTTCCCACTGGCGAAAACTCATGAAATTTGGCAGGACGACCGGGCCTGGTGAAAAATTTGATATTCCGAAGTCGCCCAAACAATAAAATGCAAAATGGCTCCATAGCGCCCCCTAAGGTGAAAATTCACACTATTGACTGTCACGCCAGTACGCTTTGTCAAAATGACACAAAAATTGACACACACATGTATCTCAATAAGATCTACAAAAAAGTCAGTGCGGGCGTATCTGTCAAATGTACGGTTAAAGGGTTATTTCTCATTTTTTGCCGATCCGCACACATTGGAATTTCGCTAACTCCTCCGAAGGCTTTCGTTCCACCGGCACCACATTTGCTCAGGCCAATCTACACCCCATGGCCATTAAAAGTTATTCAAATCATGACGCTGCACCCCACGGTTTAGGTTCTAGGGGGCGCCAAAGATAACCCTAAGATCCACATATTTAAAAGTCTTATAACTTTTTATTTTTGCCCTCACTGGCCTCCAAGTTTTCTAGGATGATGCAATGTCCAGCCATCAACACATTTGTGAAGGAATTTTTACTCCCCAAAAGAGCGCCCCCCCATGGCAGGAGAAAAAAGTCCATTTTTTCTTGTCCCCTAAGGTGAAAATACACACTATTGACTGTCACGCCTGTACGCTTTGGCAAAATGACACAAAAATTGACACACACATGTATCTCAATAAGATCTACGAAAAAGTCAATGCGCGCGTATCTGTCAAATGTACGGTTAAAGGGTTATTCCGCATTTTTTGCCGATCCGCACACATTGGAATTTCGCTAACTCCTCCGAAGGCTTTCGTTCCACCGGCACCACATTTGCTCAGGCCAATCTACACCCCATGGCCATTAAAAGTTATTCAAATCATGACGCTGCACCCCACGGTTTAGGTTCTAGGGGGCGCCAAAGATAACCCTAAGATCCACATATTTAAAAGTCTTATAACTTTTTATTTTTGCCCTCACTGGCCTCCAAGTTTTCTAGGATGATGCAATGTCCAGCCATCAACACATTTGTGAAGGAATTTTTACTCCCCAAAAGAGCGCCCCCCCATGGCAGGAGAAAAAAGTCAATTTTTTCTTGTCCCCTAAGGTGAAAATACACACTATTGACTGTCACGCCTGTACGCTTTGGCAAAATGACACCAAAATTGACACACACATGTATCTCAATAAGATCTACAAAAAAGTCAATGCGCACGTATCTGTCAAATGTACGGTTAAAGGGTTATTCCGCATTTTTTGCCGATCCGCACACATTGGAATGTGGCTAACTCCTCCGAAGGCTTTCGTTCCACCGGCACCACATTTGCTCAGGCCAATCTACACCCCATGGCCATTAAAAGTTATTCAAATCATGACGCTGCACCCCACGGTTTAGGTTCTAGGGGGCGCCAAAGATAACCCTAAGATCCACATATTTAAAAGTCTTATAACTTTTTATTTTTGCCCTCACTGGCCTCCAAGTTTTCTAGGATGATGCAATGTCCAGCCATCAACACATTTGTGAAGGAATTTTTACTCCCCAAAAGAGCGCCCCCCATGGCAGGAGAAAAAAGTCCATTTTTTCTTGTCCCCTAAGGTGAAAATACACATTGTTGAGTGTAACACCTGTACGCTTTGGCAAAATGACACAAAAATTGACACACACATGTATCTCAATAAGATCTACGAAAAAGTCAATGCGCGCGTATCTGTCAAATGTACGGTTAAAGGGTTATTCCGCATTTTTTGCCGATCCGCACACATTGGAATTTCGCTAACTCCTCCGAAGGCTTTCGTTCCACCGGCACCACATTTGCTCAGGCCAATCTACACCCCATGGCCATTAAAAGTTATTCAAATCATGACGCTGCACCCCACGGTTTAGGTTCTAGGGGGCGCCAAAGATAACACTAAAATCCACATATTTAAAAGTCTTATAACTTTTTATTTTTGTCCTCACTGGCCTCCAAGTTTTCTAGGATGATGCAATGTCCAGCCATCAACACATTTGTGAAGGAATTTTTACTCCCCAAAAGAGCGCCCCCCCATGGCAGGAGAAAAAAGTCAATTTTTTCTTGTCCCCTAAGGTGGAAATTCACACTATTGACTGTCACGCCTGTACGCTTTATCATATTGACACAAAAATTGACACACATATGTATCTCAATAAGATCTACAAAAAAGTCAATGCGCGCGTATCTGTCAAATGTACGGTTAAAGGGCTATTTTGCATTTTTTGCCGATTCGCACACATTGGAATGTGGCTAACTCCTCCTAAGGCTTTCGTCCCACTGACACCAAATTTGCTCAGGCCAATATACACCCCATGGCCATTCAAAGTTGTAAAAATCATGACGCTGCACCCCACGGTTTACGTTCTAGGGGGCGCCAAAGATGACCCAAAAATCCACATTCTTAAAGGAATCCACATCCCCCCCCAAGGCAGGAGAAAAAGTCAAGTTAACCCTGCCCATCGCTCAATGGCTCAATCGCATCGCTCTCCAGGCAACACCGTAAGGAGGAGCAACCTGCCATTTCGATATATCATAGCTGTGTTTGTGCCCTCACTCATGGTCCAGACTTTTTTCAAATAGGACATGAAGTTTGTCTGCAGCGAGTGTTTTGGTAGAAACTGCGCCTCCCATTCATTATAATGGGAAATGACCACAGACAAGTGCGCACACCATCTTTGGACCTTGAGTGTGACGCGATCGGGAGGGGGAGGCGGTCGCGCTAGGGGCGGCGCGACGCGGCTCGGGCCCGACAGTGCCCCACCGGGGCCCTAGTTATTATTTTTCCTCCCCTTTGAACTGGAAAATGGCCCACTTCCCACTGGCGAAAACTCATGAAATTTGGCAGGACGACCGGGCCTGGTGAAAAATTTGATATTCCGAAGTCGCCCAAACAAGAAAATGCAAAATGGCTCCATAGCGCCCCCTAAGGTGGAAATTCACACTATTGACTGTCACGCCTGTACGCTTTGTCAAAATGACACAAAAATTGACACACACATGTATCTCAATAAGATCTACAAAAAAGTCAGTGCGGGCGTATCTGTCAAATGTACGGTTAAAGGGTTATTTCGCATTTTTTGCCGATCCGCACACATTGGAATTTCGCTAACTCCTCCGAAGGCTTTCGTTCCACCGGCACCACATTTGCTCAGGCCAATCTACACCCCATGGCCATTAAAAGTTATTCAAATCATGACGCTGCACCCCACGGTTTAGGTTCTAGGGGGCGCCAAAGATAACCCTAAGATCCACATATTTAAAAGTCTTATAACTTTTTATTTTTGCCCTCACTGGCCTCCAAGTTTTCTAGGATGATGCAATGTCCAGCCATCAACACATTTGTGAAGGAATTTTTACTCCCCAAAAGAGCGCCCCCCCATGGCAGGAGAAAAAAGTCCATTTTTTCTTGTCCCCTAAGGTGAAAATACACATTGTTGAGTGTAACACCTGTACGCTTTGGCAAAATGACACAAAAATTGACACACACATGTATCTCAATAAGATCTACGAAAAAGTCAATGCGCGCGTATCTGTCAAATGTACAGTTAAAGGGTTATTTCGCATTTTTTGCCGATCCGCACACATTGGAATTTCGCTAACTCCTCCGAAGGCTTTCATTCCACCGGTACCACATTTGCTCAGGCCAATCTACACCCCATGGCCATTAAAAGTTATTCAAATCATGACGCTGCACCCCACGGTTTAGGTTCTAGGGGGCGCCAAAGATAACCCTAAGATCCACATATTTAAAAGTCTTATAACTTTTTATTTTTGCCCTCACTGGCCTCCAAGTTTTCTAGGATGATGCAATGTCCAGCCATCAACACATTTGTGAAGGAATTTTTACTCCCCAAAAGAGCGCCCCCCCATGGCAGGAGAAAAAAGTCAAGTTTTTCTTGTCCCCTAACGTGAAAATACACATTGTTGAGTGTCACGCCTAAACGCTTTGTCATATTGACACAAAATTTGACAATCACGTGTATCTCAATAAGATCTACGAAAAAGTCAAAGAGCGCGTATCTGTATAATGTACGGTTAAAGGGCTATTTTGCATTTTTTGCCGATCTGCACACATTGGAATTTCGCTAACTCCTCCGAAGGCTTTCGTTCCACCGGCACCAAATTTGCTCAGGCCAATCTACACCCCATGGCTATTAAAAGTTGTACAAATCATGACGCTGCACCCCACGGTTTAGGTTCTAGGGGGCGCCAAAGATAACCCAAAAATCCACATTCTTAAAAGTCTTATAACTTTTTATTTTTCTCCTCACTGGCCTCCAAGTTTTCTAGGATGATGCAATGTCCAGCCATCAACACATTTGTGAAGGAATTTTTACTCGCCAAAAGAGCGCCCCCCCCATGGCAGGAGAAAAAAGTCAATTTTTTCTTGTCCCCTAAGGCGAAAATACACATTGTTGAATGTCACGCCTGTACGCTTCGTCATATTGACACAAAATTTGACAATCACGTGTATCTCAATAAGATCTACAAAAGAGTCAATGCGCGCGTATCAGTAAAATGTACGGTTAAAGGGCTATTTCGCATTTTTTGCCGTTTCGCACACATTGGAATGTGGCTAACTCCTCCTAAGGCTTTCGTCCCACTGACACCAAATTATCTCAGGCCAATCTACACTCCATGGCCATTCAAAGTTGTAAAAATCATGACGCTGCACCCCACGGTCTACGTTCTAGGGGGCGCCAAAGAGGACCCAAATATCCACATTTTTAAAAGTCTTATAACTTTTTCTTTTTGTCCTCACTGGCCTCCAAGTTTTCTAGGATGATGCAATGTCCAGCCATCAACACATTTGTGAAGGAATGTTTACTCCCCAAAAGAGCGCCCCCCCATGGCAGGAGAATAAAGTCAAGTTTTTCCTGTTCATCGTTCAATGGCTCAAACGCATCGCTCTCTCGGCAAAAGCGAAAGGAGGAGCAACTTGCCATTTGGATATATCTTAGCTGTGTTTGTGCCCTCACTCATGGTCCAGACTTTTTTCAAATAGGACATGGAGTTTTTCTGCAGCGAGCGTTTTGGTAGAAACTGCGCCTCCCATTCATTATAATGGTAAATGACCACAGACAAGTGCGCACACCATCTTTGGACCTTGAGTGTGACGCGATTGGGTGGGGGAGGCGGTCGCGCTGGGGGCGGCGCGACACGGCTCGGGCCCGCCAGTGCCCCACCGGGGCCCTAGTTCTTTCTTTCTTTCTTCTTTTTCCTCCCCTTTGAACTGGAAAATGGCCCACTTCCCACTGGCGAAAACTCAGGAAATTTGGCAGGACGACCGGGCCTGGTGAAAAATTCGATATTCTGAAGTCGCCCAAACAATAAAATGCAAAATGGCTCCATAGCGCCCCCTAAGGTGGAAATTCACACTATTGACTGTCACGCCTGTACGCTTTGTCATATTGACACAAAAATTGACACACATATGTATCTCAATAAGATCTACAAAAAAGTCAGTGCGGCCGTATCTGTCAAATGTACGGTTAAAGGGTTATTTCGCATTTTTTTCCGATCCGCACACATTGGAATTTCGCTAACTCCTCCGAAGGCTTTCGTTCCACCGGCACCACATTTGCTCAGGCCAATCTACACCCCGTGGCCATTAAAAGTTATCAAAATCATGACGCTGCACCCCAAGGTTTAGGTTCTAGGGGGCGCCAAAGATAACACTAAAATCCACATATTTAAAAGTCTTATAACTTTTTATTTTTGTCCTCACTGGCCTCCAAGTTTTCTAGGATGATGCAATGTCCAGCCATAAACACATTTGTGAAGGAATTTTTACTCCCCAAAAGAGCGCCCCCCCATGGCAGGAGAAAAAAGTCCATTTTTTCTTGTCCCCTAAGGTGAAAATACACATTGTTGACTGTCACGCCTTTACGCTTTGTCAAAATGACACAAAAATTGACACACACATGTAACTCAATAAGATCTACGAAAAAGTCAACGCGCGCGTATCTGTCAAATGTACGGTTAAAGGGTTATTCCGCATTTTTTGCCGATCCGCACACATTGGAATTTCGCTAACTCCTCCGAAGGCTTTCTGTCCACCGGCACCACATTTGCTCAGGCCAATCTACACCCCATGGCCATTAAAAGTTATTCAAATCATGACGCTGCACCCCACGGTTTAGGTTCTAGGGGGCGCCAAAGACAACCCTAAAATCCACATATTTAAAAGTCTTATAACTTTTTATTTTTGTCCTCACTGGCCTCCAAGTTTTCTAGGATGATGCGATGTCCAGCCATCAACACATTTGTGAAGGAATTTTTACTCCCCAAAAGAGCGCCCCCCCCCATGGCAGGAGAAAAAAGTCCATTTTTTCTTGTCCCCTAAGGTGAAAATTCACATTGTTGAGTGTGACACCTGTACGCTTTGTCATATTGACACAAAATTTGACAATCACGTGTATCTCAATAAGATCTACGAAAAAGTCAATGCACGCGTATCTGTCAAATGTACGGTTAGAGGGCTATTTTGCATTTTTTGCCGATTCGCACACATTGGAATGTGGCTAACTCCTCCTAAGGCTTTTGTCCCACTGACACCAAATTTCCTCAGACCAATCTACACCCCATGGCCATTCAAAGTTGTAAAAATCATGACACTGCACCCCACGGTTAACGTTCTAGGGGGCGCCAAAGATGACCCAAATATCCACATTCTTAAAAGAATCCACATCCCCCCCCCATCCCCCCCCCATGGCAGGAGAAAAAGTCAAGTTTTTCCTGCCCATCGCTCAATGGCCCATCGCATCGCTCTCCAGGCAACACCGTAAGTAGGAGCAACCTGCAATTTGGATATATCCTAGCTGTGTTTGTGCCCTCACTCATGGTCCAGACTTTGTTCAAATAGGACATGAAGTTTGTCTGCAGCGAGCGTTTTGGTAGAAACTGCGCCTCCCATTCATTATAATGGGAAATGACCACAGACAAGTGCGCACACCATCTTTGGACCTTGAGTGTGACGCAATCAGGAGGGGGAGGCGGTCGCGCTGGGGGCGGCGCGACGCGGCTCGGGCCCGACAGTGCCCCACCGGGGCCCTAGTGTTATTATTATTATTATTTTTCCTCCGCTTTAAACTGGAAAATGGCCCACTTCCCACTGGCGAAAACTCATGAAATTTGGCAGGACGACCGGGCCTGGTGAAAAATTCGATATTCTGAAGTCGCCCAAACAATAAAATGCAAAATGGCTCCATAGCGCCCCCTAAGGTGGAAATTCACACTATTGACTGTCACGTCTGTACGTTTTGTCATATTGACACAAAAATTGACACACATATGTATCTCAATAAGATCTACAAAAAAGTCAGTGCGGGCGTATCTGTCAAATGTACGGTTAAAGGGTTATTTCGCATTTTTTGCCGATCCGCACACATTGGAATTTCGCTAACTCCTCCGAAGGCTTTCGTTCCACCGGCACCACATTTGCTCAGGCCAGTCTACACCCCATGGCGATTCAAAGTTGTACAAATCATGACGCTGCACCCCACGGTTTAGGTTCTAGGGGGCGCCAAAGATAACCCAAAAATCAACATTCTTAAAAGTCTTATAACTTTTTATTTTTGTCCTCACTGCCCTCCAAGTTTTCTAGGATGATGCAATGTCCAGCCATCAACACATTTGTGAAGGAATTTTTACTCCCCAAAAGAGCGTCCCCCCATGGCAGGAGAAAAAAGTCCATTTTTTCTTGTCCCCTTACATGAAAATACACATTGTTGAGTGTCACGCCTGAACGCTTTGTCATATTGACACAAAAATTGACAATCATGTGTATCTCAATTAGATCTACGAAAAAGTCAAAGAGCGCGTATCTGTATAATGTACGGTTAAAGGGCTATTTCGCATTTTTTGCCGATTCGCACACATTGGAATGTGGCTATCTCCTCCTAAGGCTTTCGTCCCACTGATACCAAATTTGCTCAGGGCAATCTACACCCCATGCCCATTCAAAGTTGTAAAAATCATGACGCTGCACCCCACGGTTTACGTTCTAGGGGGCGCCAAAGATGACCCAAAAATCCACATTCTTAAAAGTCATTTTGGCCACTGCAGGAGTACAGAGTACTGCAGTTCTAGGGGGCGCCAAAGATGACCCAAAAATCCACATTCTTAAAAGTCATTTTGGCCACTGCAGGAGTACAGAGTACTGCAGTTCTAGGGGGCGCCAAAGATGACCCAAAAATCCACATTCTTAAAAGTCTTTTTGGCCACTGCAGGAGTACAGAGTACTGCAGGATACACACACATATACACACACGCCAACACACACACACACACACACACACACACACACACACACACACACTCAGAGTCTGTTTTTTAGCACCTGCAAAAACATGCTGTTTACATATTTGACAAGAATGCAGAGGCTTCCTTTTGCCCCTGAAAAAAATCAAATTTCAAACACAACTTGACTGTTCATTTCTCCAAAAGACAACCATGAAGCTCCATCCAAACCTGAAGCAGATAGTTGGTGCATGTGTACAGTAACCTGAGGGGAGTGAGGTGACTATTTCTGAGGAGAACATGAGCAGTGAAGATTCACCTTGGAGCTAGAACAGGGACGTGCACATGATTATACAGGGGCAGGGGCTCAAGTTTTTTCCAGTCATTTATACAATATGGAAATTAATGTGAAATTAAAAAACAAAGTATTAATAGAAAGGTAATGACTGTCCTGTGTAGGTGACAGTGATATCCAATAGGCTAGGCACTCACGAGGCTGGCTGTGGCAAGTGTAAGTGAAAGCAACACGCACTGGCAGGAAGAACAGCAAACGCCGATGAAGGAAAGGGTCTTTGCAGTGATGGGCGTTACCAGAGAGGACGATGGCCAGAGGACGCGAATGGGACAGGGAGGCAGCGCGTTGGGGGGGGCAGCGTGACACGGCTCGGGCCCGCCAGTGCCCCAACGGGGCCCTAGTTTCTTCTTTTTCCTCCCCTTTGAACTGGAAAATGGCCCACTTCCCACTGGCGAAAACTCATGAAATTTGGCAGGACGACCGGGCCTGGTGAAAAATTTGATATTCTGAAGTCGCCAAAACAATAAAATGCAAAATGGCTCCATAGCGCCCCCTAAGGTGGAAATTCACACTATTGACTGTCACGCCTGTACGCTTTGTCATATTGACACAAAAATTGACACACATATGTATCTCAATAAGATCTACAAAAAAGTCAGTGCGGCCGTATCTGTCAAAATTACGGTTAAAGGGTTATTTCGCATTTTTTGCCGATCCGCACACATTGGAATTTCGCTAACTCCTCCGAAGGCTTTCGTTCCAGCGGCACCACATTTGCTCAGGCCAATCTACACCCCGTGGCCATTAAAAGTTATCAAAATCATGACGCTGCACCCCAAGGTTTAGGTTCTAGGGGGCGCCAAAGATAACACTAAAATCCACATATTTAAAAGTCTTATAACTTTTTATTTTTGTCCTCACTGGCCTCCAAGTTTTCTAGGATGATGCAATGTCCAGCCATCAACACATTTGTGAAGGAATTTTTACTCCCCAAAAGAGCGCCCCCCCATGGCAGGAGAAAAAAGTCCATTTTTTCTTGTCCCCTAAGGTGAAAATACACATTGTTGAGTGTCACGCCTATACGCTTTGTCAAAATGACACAAAAATTGACACACACATGTATCTCAATAAGATCTACGAAAAAGTCAATGCGCGCGTATCTGTCAAATGTACGGTTAAAGGGTTATTCCGCATTTTTTGCCGATCCGCACACATTGGAATGTGGCTAACTCCTCCTAAGGCTTTCGTTCCACCGGCACCACATTTGCTCAGGCCAATCTACACCCCATGGCCATTAAAAGTTATTCAAATCATGACGCTGCACCCCACGGTTTAGGTTCTAGGGGGCGCCAAAGACAACCCTAAAATCCACATATTTAAAAGTCTTATAACTTTTTATTTTTGTCCTCACTGGCCTCCAAGTTTTCTAGGATGATGCAATGTCCAGCCATCAACACATTTGTGAAGGAATTTTTACTCCCCAAAAGAGCGCCCCCCCATGGCAGGAGAAAAAAGTCCATTTTTTCTTGTCCCCTAAGGTGAAAATACATATTGTTGAGATTCACGCCTATATGCTTTGTCATAATGACACAAAATTTGACAATCACGTGCCTTGCTTGGTATCATTTTTTTTCAGCACAACCTCACCTGTGCGAATTTACAGTTATTTTATCATGTTGACATACTGAATTTACACAATGGACCCAAATTCACACACAAAACATAAAATCCGAGTGGAAAAAAGTAACATTTTTACTGTGAAAACCACAAATATGTGTGATGAACTGTTTTTAAAACTTAAACTTCAAATAAAAATTGTAAACTTCAAAACATATGCAAATTTTTAACAAAGAACATAGTGATTTACCTCTATTTACATCAAAATGCAGGCAATGGCCCAGGCGTTCTTTGTAAAATTATTTACAAAACACTGTATAGTCTCACAAATGTCACTTTTTATTTATGCCACTACAAAAAAACATGATGTAAATGATGCATGATGTAAAACATGATGTAAAAAACTTGTGTAGATCCTCCTCTATGTCAGTCCATCTGTAATTTTTCCATAATTCTTTGTTTTTTGCAGCATTTTTGTTAGTGTAACTGCAGATTGTGCTGACAGTGTCTATGGCACAAAAAAAAAAAAAAATTAAAATGCCTCAACATGAACCCCTGGTGGTCTCTGAGGGTGAAACCTGCTAACTGCTGCAGCTCTGTCAGCTTCAGTCTCCCATGCAGAGCTCTGAGCGCATGTGTGGCTCTGCACCCTTAGCAGCGTTGCTAACTCCTCAGTAAGGAAAGCCTGCTTCATGTCAGAGTCTCTAAACTCCAGAAGAAGTCGATAAAAGTCCCTTTCTTTCTAAAAAAAAGTCGTTAGGGGGTCTGAAAAGTCATTGAATCTAACAACAAAGTCGCTAGGTTTGCAACTACGTGTCCCAGACTGCATCCCTGCTGAGAGTCCCTCCCTCCCTTCTCATGTTGCAGGAAGAACGTAAGCGCCCTCCCCTTGTCAATCAGTTACCATATAATTTTGGATTGGTTGTTGTGGTGAAGTTTTCCACCAATAGGAGAGATGTTGTGGTGTGTTTTTTTTTTCTTTTGGCAAGCCTTTTCCGCCTGTAAGACCTGTCGCTAATGTCTGCATGCTATGTTTTCCTGTCTCATACAGCGCGATCGAGCGCCGAACGTGATCAAAATAAGCAGAAAAAAAGTATCGCGGACATAATTTATCATAACTCTGGTTTTATTTGGCCTATCAACACAATTTAAAAACTGGTATATAGGTTGAGGTCCTCACTTTTGAGATAAGTTGAAACGGAGAGTCAACGAGGCTCCGTCTTGCAGCTACATCCGGTTAAATATGTCATGTGACTTGAACGCACACACAGACACACACACACGCACACACACACACACACACACACACACACACACACACACACACACACTCAGAGTCTGGTTTTTAGCACCTGCAAAAACATGCTATTTACATATTTGACAAGAATGCAGAGGCTCCTTTTGCCCCTGAAAAAAAAATCAAATTTCAAACACAACTTGACTGGTCATTTCTCCAAAAGACAACCATGAAGCTCCATCCAAACCTGAAGCAGGCAGTTGGTGCATGTGTACAGTAACCTGAGGGGAGTGAGGTGAGTGCTTCTGAGGAGAACATGAGCAGTGAAGATTCACCTTGGAGCTAGAACAGAGACATGCACATGATTATACAGGGGCAGGGGCTCAAGTTTTTTCCAGTCGTTTATACAATATGGAAATTAATGTGAAATTAAAACACAAAGTATTAATAGAAAGGTAATGACTGTCCTGTGTAGGTGACAGTGATATCGAATAGGCTAGGCACTCACGAGGCTGGCTGTGGCAAGTGTAAGTGAAAGCAACACGCACTGGCAGGAAGAACAGCAGAACAGCAGTCTTTGCAGTGATGGGCGTTACCAGAGAGGGCGATGGCCAGAGGACACAAATGGGACGGGGAGGCGGTCGCGTTGGGGGGGGGGGGGGGGAGCTCGGGCCCGCCAGTGCCCCAACGGGGTCCTAGTCTTTGTTTCTTTCTTAGGGCCCGAGCGTAGCTGCTAAGCAGCTGCGAGAGCCCTCTTGTTAGGGCCCGAGCCAGCTGCAGAGCAGCCGGGCGTAGGCCCTATTATTCCCCAAGTGGTTTTTCTTTGTTTCTTTCTTTCTTTCTTTCTTTAGGGCCCGAGCGTAGCTGCTAAGCAGCTGCGAGAGCCCTCTTGTTCCTGCATGTTTCCTTCTTTCGTTATTATTTTTCCTCCGCTTTAAACTGGAAAATGGCCCACTTCCCACTGGCGAAAACTCAGGAAATTTGGCAGGACGACCGGGCCTGGTGAAAAATTCGATATTCTGAAGTCGCCCAAACAATAAAATGCAAAATGGCTCCATAGCGCCCCCTAAGGTGAAAATTCACATGACGGCTGTACGCTTTGTCATATTGACACAAAAATTGACACACACATGTATCTCAATAAGATCTACAAAAAAGTCAGTGCGGGCGTATCTGTCAAATGTACGGTTAATGGGTTATTTTGCATTTTTTGCAGATCTGCACACATTGGAATTTCGCTAACTCCTCCGAAGGCTTTCGTTCGACCGGCACCACATTTGCGCAGGCCAATCTACACCCCATGGCCATTAAAAGTTGTACAAATCATGACGCTGCACCCCACGGTTTACGTTCTAGGGGGCGCCAAAGATAACCCAAAATCCACATTCTTAAAAGTCTTATAACTTTTTATTTTTGTCCTCACTGCCCTCCAAGTTTTCTAGGATGATGCAATGTCCAGCCATCAACACATTTGTGAAGGAATTTTTACTCCCCAAAAGAGCGCCCCCCCATGGCAGGAGAAAAAAGTCAATTTTTTCTTGTCCCCTTACATGAAAATACACATTGTTGAGTGTCACGGCTGAACGCTTTGTCATATTGACACAAAAATTGACAATCATGTGTATCTCAATTAGATCTACGAAAAAGTCAAAAAGCGCGTATCTGTATAATGTACGGTTAAAGGGCTATTTCGCATTTTTTGCCGATTCACACACATTGGAATGTGGCTATCTCCTCCTAAGGCTTTCGTCCCACCGATACCAAATTTGCTCAGGGCAATCTACACCCCATGCCCATTCAAAGTTGTAAAAATCATGACGCTGCACCCCACGGTTTACGTTCTAGGGGGCGCCAAAGATGACCCAAAAATCCACATTCTTAAAAGTCATTTTGGCCACTGCAGGAGTACAGAGTACTGCAGTTCTAGGGGGCGCCAAAGATGACCCAAAAATCCACATTCTTAAAAGTCTTTTTGGCCACTGCAGGAGTACAGAGTACTGCAGGATACACACACATACACACACACACACACACACACACACACACACACTCAGAGTCTGTTTTTTAGCACCTGCAAAAACATGCTGTTTACATATTTGACAAGAATGCAGAGGCTTCCTTTTGCCCCTGAAAAAAATCAAATTTCAAACACAACTTGACTGTTCATTTCTCCAAAAGACAACCATGAAGCTCCATCCAAACCTGAAGCAGATAGTTGGTGCATGTGTACAGTAACCTGAGGGGAGTGAGGTGACTATTTCTGAGGAGAACATGAGCAGTGAAGATTCACCTTGGAGCTAGAACAGGGACGTGCACATGATTATACAGGGGCAGGGGCTCAAGTTTTTTCCAGTCATTTATACAATATGGAAATTAATGTGAAATTAAACCACAAATATGTGTGATGAACTGTTTTTAAAACTTAAACTTCAAATAAAAATTGTAAACTTCAAAACATATGCAAATTTTTAACAAAGAACATAGTAATTTACCTCTATTTACATCAAAATGCAGGCAATGGCCCAGCAATCTTTGTAAAATTATTTACAAAACACTGTATAGTCTCACAAATGTCACTTTTTATTTATGCCACTACAAAAAAACATGATGTAAATGATGCATGATGTAAAACATGATGTAAAAAACTTGTGTAGATCCTCCTCTATGTCAGTCCATGTGTAATTTTTCCATAATTCTTTGTTTTTTGCAGCATTTTTGTTAGTGTAACTGCAGATTGTGCTGACAGTCTATGGCAAAAAAACAAAAACTGAAAATGCCTCAACATGAACCCCTGGTGGTCTCTGAGGGTGAAACCTGCTAACTGCTGCAGCTCTGTCAGCTTCAGTCTCCCATGCAGAGCTCTGAGCGCATGTGTGGCTCTGCACCCTTAGCAGCGTTGCTAACTCCTCAGTAAGGAAAGCCTGCTTCATGTCAGAGTCTCTAAACTCCAGAAGAAGTCGATAAAAGTCCCTTTCTTTCTAAAAAAAGTCGTTAGGGGGTCTGAAAAGTAATTGAATCTAACAACAAAGTCGCTAGGTTTGCAACTACGTGTCCCAGACTGCATCCCTGCTGAGAGTCCCTCCCTCCCTTCTCATGTTGCAGGAAGAACGTAAGCGCCCGCCCCTTGTCAATCAGTCACCATATAATTTTGGATTGGTTGTTGTGGTGAAGTTTTCCACCAATAGGAGAGATGTTGTGGTGTGTTTTTTTTTTCTTTTGGCAAGCCTTTTCCGCCTGTAAGACCTGTCGCTAATGTGTGCATGCTATGTTTTCCTGTCTCATACAGCGCGATCGAGCGCCGAACGTGATCAAAATAAGCAGAAAAAAAGTATCGCGGACATAATTTATCATAACTCTGGTTTTATTTGGCCTATCAACACAATTTAAAAACTGGTATATAGGTTGAGGTCCTCACTTTTGAGATAAGTTGAAACGGAGAGTTAACGAGGCTCCGTCTTGCAGCTACATCCGGTTAAATATGTCATGTGACTTGAACGCTGGGGAGCGTCAATCGAATCGAATCAAACCTAACTCTCAGATGAATCTTCAAAATTCACCTCAGAAATATGATTATTATTCTTCTCAGAGTACTGCAGGATACACACACACACACACAGACACACACACACACACGCACACACACACTCAGAGTCTGTTTTTTAGCACCTGCAAAAACATGCTATTTACATATTTGACAAGAATGCAGAGGCGACACGGCTCGGGCCCGCCAGTGCCCCAACGGGGCCCTAGTTCTTTCTTTCTTTCTTCTTTTTCCTCCCCTTTGAACTGGAAAATGGCCCACTTCCCACTGGCGAAAACTCATGAAATTTGGCAGGACGACCGGGCCTGGTGAAAAATTCGATATTCTGAAGTCGCCCAAACAATAAAATGCAAAATGGCTCCATAGCGCCCCCTAAGGTGGAAATTCACACTATTGACTGTCACGCCTGTACGCTTTGTCATATTGACACAAAAATTGACACACATATGTATCTCAATAAGATCTACAAAAAAGTCAGTGCGGCCGTATCTGTCAAAATTACGGTTAAAGGGTTATTTCGCATTTTTTGCCGATCCGCACACATTGGAATTTCGCTAACTCCTCCGAAGGCTTTCGTTCCACCGGCACCACATTTGCTCAGGCCAATCTACACCCCGTGGCCATTAAAAGTTATTCAAATCATGACGCTGCACCCCAAGGTTTAGGTTCTAGGGGGCGCCAAAGATAACACTAAAATCCACATATTTAAAAGTTCTATAACTTTTTATTTTTGTCCTCACTGGCCTCCAAGTTTTCTAGGATGATGCAATGTCCAGCCATCAACACATTTGTGAAGGAATTTTTACTCCCCAAAAGAGCGCCCCCCCATGGCAGGAGAAAAAAGTCCATTTTTTCTTGTCCCCTAAGGTGAAAATACACATTGTTGAGTGTCACGCCTATACGCTTTGTCAAAATGACACAAAAATTGACACACACATGTAACTCAATAAGATCTACAAAAAAGTCAATGCGCGCGTATCTGTCAAATGTACAGTTAAAGGGTTATTCCGCATTTTTTGCCGATACGCACACATTGGAATTTCGCTAACTCCTCCGAAGGCTTTCGTTCCACCGGCACCACATTTGCTCAGGCCAATCTACACCCCATGGCCATTAAAAGTTATTCAAATCATGATGCTGCACCCCATGGTTTAGGTTCTAGGGGGCGCCAAAAATAACCCAAAAATCCACATTCTTAAATGTTTTATAACTTTTTATTTTTGTCCTCACTGGCCTCCAAGTTTTCTAGGATGATGCAATGTCCAGCCATCAACACATTTGTGAAGGAATTTTTACTCCCCAAAAGAGCGCCCCCCATGGTAGGAGAAAAAAGTCAATTTTTTCTTGTCCCCTTACATAAAAATACACATTGTTGAGTGTCACGCCTGAACGCTTTGTCATATTGACACAAAAATTGACAATCATGTGTATCTCAATTAGATCTACGAAAAAGTCAAAGAGCGCGTATCTGTATAATGTACGGTTAAAGGGCTATTTTGCATTTTTTGCCGATTCACACACATTGGAATGTGGCTATCTCCTCCTAAGGCTTTCGTCCCACCGATACCAAATTTGCTCAGGGCAATCTACACCCCATGCCCATTCAAAGTTGTAAAAATCATGACGCTGCACCCCACGGTTTACGTTCTAGGGGGCGCCAAAGATGACCCAAAAATCCACATTCTTAAAAGTCATTTTGGCCACTGCAGGAGTACAGAGTACTGCAGTTCTAGGGGGCGCCAAAGATGACCCAAAAATCCACATTCTTAAAAGTCTTTTTGGCCACTGCAGGAGTACAGAGTACTGCAGGATACACACACATATACACACACGCCAACATACACACACACACACACACACACACACACACACACACACACACACACACACACACACACTCAGAGTCTGTTTTTTAGCACCTGCAAAAACATGCTGTTTACATATTTGACAAGAATGCAGAGGCTTCCTTTTGCCCCTGAAAAAAATCAAATTTCAAACACAACTTGACTGTTCATTTCTCCAAAAGACAACCATGAAGCTCCATTTCAAACCTGAAGCAGATAGTTGGTGCATGTGTACAGTAACCTGAGGGGAGTGAGGTGACTATTTCTGAGGAGAACATGAGCAGTGAAGATTCACCTTGGAGCTAGAACAGGGACGTGCACATGATTATACAGGGGCAGGGGCTCAAGTTTTTTCCAGTCATTTATACAATATGGAAATTAATGTGAAATTAAACCACAAATATGTGTGATGAACTGTTTTTAAAACTTAAACTTCAAATAAAAATTGTAAACTTCAAAACATATGCAAATTTTTAACAAAGAACATAGTAATTTACCTCTATTTACATCAAAATGCAGGCAATGGCCCAGGTGTTCTTTGTAAAATTATTTACAAAACACTGTATAGTCTCACAAATGTCACTTTTTATTTATGCCACTACAAAAAAACATGATGTAAATGATGCATGATGTAAAACATGATGTAAAAAACTTGTGTAGATCCTCCTCTATGTCAGTCCATGTGTAATTTTTCCATAATTCTTTGTTTTTTGCAGCATTTTTGTTAGTGTAACTGCAGATTTTGCTGACAGTGTCTATGGCACAAAAAAAAAAAAAAATTAAAATGCCTCAACATGAACCCCTGGTGGTCTCTGAGGGTGAAACCTGCTAACTGCTGCAGCTCTGTCAGCTTCAGTCTCCCATGCAGAGCTCTGAGCGCATGTGTGGCTCTGCACCCTTAGCAGCGTTGCTAACTCCTCAGTAAGGAAAGCCTGCTTCATGTCAGAGTCTCTAAACTCCAGAAGAAGTCGATAAAAGTCCCTTTCTTTCTAAAAAAAAGTCGTTAGGGTGTCTGAAAAGTCATTGAATCTAACAACAAAGTCGCTAGGTTTGCAACTACGTGTCCCAGACTGCATCCCTGCTGAGAGTCCCTCCCTCCCTTCTCATGTTGCAGGAAGAACGTAAGCGCCCGCCCCTTGTCAATCAGTCACCATATAATTTTGGATTGGTTGTTGTGGTGAAGTTTTCCACCAATAGGAGAGATGTTGTGGTGTGTTTTTTTTTTCTTTTGGCAAGCCTTTTCCGCCTGTAAGACCTGTCGCTAATGTCTGCATGCTATGTTTTCCTGTCTCATACAGCGCGATCGAGCGCCGAACGTGATCAAAATAAGCAGAAAAAAAGTATCGCGGACATAATTTATCATAACTCTGGTTTTATTTGGCCTATCAACACAATTTAAAAACTGGTATATAGGTTGAGGTCCTCACTTTTGAGATAAGTTGAAACGGAGAGTCAACGAGGCTCCGTCTTGCAGCTACATCAGGTTAAATATGTCATGTGACTTGAACGCACACATAGACACACACACACGCACACACACACGCACACACACACACACACACACACACACACACTCAGAGTCTGGTTTTTAGCACCTGCAAAAACATGCTATTTACATATTTGACAAGAATGCAGAGGCTCCTTTTGCCCCTGAAAAAAATCAAATTTCAAACACAACTTGACTGGTCATTTCTCCAAAAGACAACCATGAAGCTCCATCCAAACCTGAAGCAGGCAGTTGGTGCATGTGTACAGTAACCTGAGGGGAGTGAGGTGAGTGCTTCTGAGGAGAACATGAGCAGTGAAGATTCACCTTGGAGCTAGAACAGAGACATGCACATGATTATACAGGGGCAGGGGCTCAAGTTTTTTCCAGTCGTTTATACAATATGGAAATTAATGTGAAATTAAAACACAAAGTATTAATAGAAAGGTAATTACTGTCCTGTGTAGGTGACAGTGATATCCAATAGGCTAGGCACTCACGAGGCTGGCTGTGGCAAGTGTAAGTGAAAGCAACACGCACTGGCAGGAAGAACAGCAAACGCCGATGAAGGAAAAGGGTCTTTGCAGTGATGGGCGTTACCAGAGAGGGCGATGGCCAGAGGACACAAATGGGACGGGGAGGCAGCACGTTGGGGGGGGGGGGATGCGACACGGCTCGGGCCCGCCAGTGCCCCAACGGGGTCCTAGTTCCTGATGGATTCTTCTTTCGTTATTTTTCCTCCGCTTTAAACTGGAAAATGGCCCACTTCCCACTGGCGAAAACTCAGGAAATTTGGCAGGACGACCGGGCCTGGTGAAAAATTCGATATTCTGAAGTCGCCCAAACAAAAAAATGAAAAATGGCTCCATAGCGCCCCCTATGGTGAAAACTCACCTGACGCCTGTACGCTTTGTCAAAATGACACAAAATTTGACACACATGTGTATCTCAATAAGATCTACAAAGAAGTCAGTGCGGGCGTATCTGTCAAATGTACCGTTAAAGGGCTATTTCGCATTTTTTGACAATCCGCACACATTGGAATTTCGCTAACTCCTCCGAAGGCTTTCGTTCCACCGGCACCAAATTTGCTCAGGACAATCTAGACCCCATGGCCATTAAAAGTTGTACAAATCATGACACTGCACCCCACGGTTTACATTCTAGGGGGCGCCAAAGATAACCCAAAAATCCACATATTTAAAACTCTTATAACTTTTTATTTTTGTCCTCACTGGCCTCCAAGTTTTCTAGGATGATGCAATGTCCAGCCATCAACACATTTGTGAAGAAATTTTTACTCCCCAAAAGAGCGCCCCCCCATGGCAGGAGAAAAAAGTCCATTTTTTCTTGTCCCATAAGGTGAAAATACACATTGTTGACTGTCATACCTGTACGCTTTGTCATATTGACACAAAATTTGACAATCACATGTTTCTCAATAAGATCTACGAAAAAGTCAATGCGCGCGTATCTGTAAAATGTACGGTTAAAGGGCTATTTTGCATTTTTTGCCGATTCGCACACATTGGAATGTGGCTAACTCCTCCTAAGGCTTTCGTCCCACTGACACCAAATTTGCTCAGGCCAATCTACACCCCATGGCCATTTAAAGTTGTAAAAATCATGACGCTGCACCCCACGGTTTAGGTTCTAGGGGGCGCCAAAGATAACCCAAAAATCCACATATTTAAAAGTCTTATAACTTTTTATTTTTGTCCTCACTCGCCTCCAAGTTTTCTAAGATGATGCAATGTCCAGCCATCAACACATTTGTGAAGGAATTTTTACTCCCCAAAAGAGCGCCCCCCCATGGCAGGAGAAAAAAGTCCATTTTTTCTTGTCCCATAAGGTGAAAATACACATTGTTGAGTGTCACGCCTGTACGCTTTGTCAAATTGACCCAAAATTTGACAATCACGTGTATCTCAATAAGATCTATGAAAAAGTCAATGCGCAAATATCTGTAAAATGTACGGTTAAAGGGCTATTTTGCATTTTTTGCCGATTCGCACACATTGGAATGTGGCTAACTCCTCCTAAGGCTTTCGTCCCACTGACACCAAATTTGCTCAGGCCAATCTACACCCCATGGCCATTAAAAGTTGTACAAATCATGACGCTGCACCCCACGGTTTACGTTCTAGGGGGCGCCAAAGATGACCCAAATATCCACATTCTTAAAAGAATCCACATCCCCCCCCTCCCCCCATGGCAGGAGAAAAAGTCAAGTTTTTCCTTCCCATCGCTCAATGGCTCAATCGCATCGCTCTCTCGGCAAAAGCGAAAGGTGGATCCATTTGGATATAACCTAGCTGTGTTTGTGCCCTCACTCATGGTCCAGACTTTTTTCAAATAGGACATGTAGTTTGTCTGCAGCGAGTGTTTTGGTAGAAACTGCGCCTCCCATTCATTATAATGGGAAATGACCACAGACAAGTGCGCACTCCATCTTTGGACCTTGAGTGTGACGCGATCGGGAGGTGGAGGCGGTCGCGCTGGGGGCGGCACGACACGGCTCGGGCCCGACAGTGCCCCACCGGGGCCCTAGTTATTATTTTTCCTCCGCTTTAAACTGGAAAATGGCCCACTTCCCACTGGCGAAAACTCAGGAAATTTGGCAGGACGACCGGGCCTGGTGAAAAATTCGATATTCTGAAGTCGCCCAAACAATAAAATGCAAAATGGCTCCATAGCGCCCCCTAAGGTGAAAATTCACACTATTGACTGTCACGCCTGTACGCTTTGTCATATTGACACAAAAATTGACACACACATGTATCTCAATAAGATCTAAAAAAAAGTCAGTGCGGGCGTATCTGTCAAATGTACGGTTAAAGGGTTATTGCGCATTTTTTGCCGATCCGCACACATTGGAATTTCGCTAACTCCTCCGAAGGCTTTCGTTCCACCGGCACCACATTTGCTCAGGCCAATCTACACTCCATGGCCATTCAAAGTTGTACAAATCATGACGCTGCACCCCACGGTTTAGGTTCTAGGGGGCGCCAAAAATAACCCAAAAATCCACATTCTTAAAAGTTTTATAACTTTTTTTTTTTGTCCTCACTGGCCTCCAAGTTTTCTAGGATGATGCAATGTCCAGCCATCAACACATTTGTGAAGGAATTTTTACTCCCCAAAAGAGCGCCCCCCCATGGCAGGACAAAAAAGTCAATTTTTTCTTGTCCCCTAAGGTGAAAATACACATTGTTGAGATTCACGCCTGTACGCTTTGTCATATTGACAAAAAATTTGACACACACGTGTATCTCAATAAGATCTACGAAAAAGTCAATGCACGCGTATCTGTAAACTGTACGGCTAAAGGGCTATTTTGCATTTTTTGCCGATTCGCACACATTGGAATGTGGCTTACTCCTCCTAAGGATTTCGTCCCACTGACAACAAATTTGCTCAGGCCAATCTACACCCCATGGCCATTAAAAGTTGTAAAAATCATGACGCTGCACCCCACGGTTTACGTTCTAGGGGGCGCCAAAGAGGACCCAAAAATCCACATTCTTAAAAGTCTTAGAACTTTTTATTTTTGTCCTCACTGGCCTCCAAGTTTTCTAGGATGATGCAATGTCTAGCCATCAACACATTTGTGAAGGAATTTTTACTCCCCAAAACAGCGCCCCCCCATGGCCGGAGAAAAAGTCAAGTTTTTCCTGCCCATCGCTCAATGGCTCAATCGCATCGCTCTCCAGGCAACACCGTAAGGAGGAGCAACCTGCCATTTGGATATATCCTAGCTGTGTTTGTGCCCTCACTCATGGTCCAGACTTTTTTCAAATAGGACATGTAGTTTGTCTGCAGCGAGCGTTTTGGTAGAAACTGCGCCTCCCATTCATTATAATGGTAAATGACCACAGACAAGTGCGAACACCATCTTTGGACCTTGAGTGTGACGCGATCGGGAGGGAGAGGCGGTCGTGTTGGGGGCGGCGCGACACAGCTCGGGCCCGCCAGTGCCCCAACGGGGCCCTAGTTATTTTTGTCCTCACTGGCCTCCAAGTTCTCTAGGATGATGCAATGTCCAGCCATCAACACATTTGTGAAGGAATTTTTACTCGCCAAAAGAGCGCCCCCCCCATGGCAGGAGAAAAAAGTCCATTTTTTCTTGTCTCCTAAGGCAAAAATACACATTGTTGACTGTCACGCCTTTACGCTTTGTCAAAATGACACAAAATTTGACACACACATGTATCTCAATAAGATCTACAAAAAAGTCAGTGCGGGCGTATCTGTCAAATGTACGGTTAAAGGGTTATTTCGCATTTTTTGCCGATCCGCACACATTGGAATTTCGCTAACTCCTCCTAAATCTTTTGTCCCATCGGCTTCAAATTTGCTCAGGTCAATCTACACCCCATGGCCATTCAAAGTTGTACAAATCATGACGCTGCACCCCACAGTTTACGTTCTAGGGGGCGCCAAAGAGGACCCAAATATCCACATTTTTAAAAGTCTTATAACTTTTTATTTTTGTCCTCACTGGCCTCCAAGTTTTCTAGGATGATGCAATGTCCAGCCATCAACACATTTGTGAAGGAATTTTTCTCCCCAAAAGAGCGCCCCCCATGGCAGGAGAAAAAGTCAAGTTTTTCCTGCCCATTGCTCAATGGCTCAAACGCATCGCTCTCTCTGCAAAACCGAAAGGAGGAGCAACTTGCCATTTGGATATATACTAGCTGTGTTTGTGCCCTCACTCATGGTCCAGACTTTTTTCAAATAGGACATGTAGTTTGTCTGCAGCGAGCGTTTTGGTAGAAACTGCGCCTCCCATTCATTATAATGGGAAATGACCACAGACAAGTGCGCACACCATCTTTGGACCTTGAGTGTGACGCGATCGGGAGGGGGAGGCGGTCGCGCTGGGGGCGGCGCGACGCGGCTCGGGCCCGACAGTGCCCCACCGGGGCCCTAGTTATTATTTTTCCTCCCCTTTGAACTGGAAAATGGCCCACTTCCCACTGGCGAAAACTCATGAAATTTGGCAGGACGACCGGGCCTGGTGAAAAATTTGATATTCCGAAGTCGCCCAAACAAGAAAATGCAAAATGGCTCCATAGCGCCCCCTAAGGTGAAAATTCACACTATTCACTGTCACGCCGGTACGCTTTGTCAAAATGACACAAAAATTGACACACACATGTATCTCAATAAGATCTACAAAAAAGTCAGTGCGGGCGTATCTGTCAAATGTACGGTTAAAGGGTTATTTCGCATTTTTTGCCGATCCGCACACATTGGAATTTCGCTAACTCCTCCGAAGGCTTTCGTTCCACCGGCACCACATTTGCTCAGGCCAATCTACACCCCATGGCCATTAAAAGTTATTCAAATCATGACGCTGCACCCCACGGTTTAGGTTCTAGGGGGCGCCAAAGATAACCCTAAGATCCACATATTTAAAAGTCTTATAACTTTTTATTTTTGCCCTCACTGGCCTCCAAGTTTTCTAGGATGATGCAATGTCCAGCCATCAACACATTTGTGAAGGAATTTTTACTCCCCAAAAGAGCGCCCCCCCATGGCAGGAGAAAAAAGTCAATTTTTTCTTGTCCCCTAAGGTGAAAATACACATTGTTGAGTGTAACACCTGTACGCTTTGGCAAAATGACACAAAAATTGACACACACATGTATCTCAATAAGATCTACGAAAAAGTCAATGCGCGCGTATCTGTCAAATGTACGGTTAAAGGGTTATTCCGCATTTTTTGCCGATCCGCACACATTGGAATTTCGCTAACTCCTCCGAAGGCTTTCGTTCCACCGGCACCACATTTGCTCAGGCCAATCTACACCCCATGGCCATTAAAAGTTATTCAAATCATGACGCTGCACCCCACGGTTTAGGTTCTAGGGGGAGCCAAAGATAACCGTAAAATCCACATATTTAAAAGTCTTATAACTTTTTATTTTTGTCCCCACTGGCCTCCAAGTTTTCTAGGATGATGCAATGTCCAGCCATCAACACATTTGTGAAGGAATTTTTACTCGGCAAAAGAGCGCCCCCCCCCATGGCAGGAGAAAAAAGTCAATTTTTTCTTGTCCACTAAGGTGAAAATACACATTGTTGAGTGCTACGCCTGTATGTTTTGTCGTATTGACACAAAATTTTACATACACGTGTATTTCAATAAGATCTTCGAAAAAGTCAATGGCCACGTATCTTTAAAATGTACGGTTAAAGGGTTATTTCGCATTTTTTGCAGATTCGCACACATTGGAATTTCGCTAATTCCTCCGAAGGCTTTCGTTCCACCGGCACCACATTTGCTCAGGCCAATCTACACCCCATGGCCATTAAAAGTTATTCAAATCATGACGCTGCACCCCACGGTTTAGGTTCTAGGGGGCGCCAAATATAACCCTAAAATCCACATATTTAAAAGTCTTATAACTTTTTATTTTTGTCCTCACTGGCCTCCATGTTTTCTAGGATGATGCAATGTCCAGCCATCAACACATTTGTGAAGGAGTTTTTTCTCTTTAAAAGAGCGCCCCCCATGGCAGGAGAATAAAGTCAAGTTTTTCCTGTTCATCATTCAATGGCTCAAACGCACTGCTCTCTCGGCAAAAGCGAAAGGAGGAGCAACTTGCCATTTGGATATATCTTAACTGTGTTTGTGCCCTCACTCATGGTCCAGACTTTTTTCAAATAGGACATGGAGTTTTTCTGCAGCGAGCGTTTTGGTAGAAACTGCGCCTTCCGTTCATTATAATGGTAAATGACCACAAACAAGTGCGCACACCATCTTTGGACCTTGAGTGTGACGCGATCGGGTGGGGGAGGCGGTCGCGCTGGGGGCGGCGTGACACGGCTCGGGCCCGCCAGTGCCCCAACGGGGCCCTAGTTTCTTCTTTTTCCTCCCCTTTGAACTGGAAAATGGCCCACTTCCCACTGGCGAAAACTCATGAAATTTGGCAGGATGACCGGGCCTGGTGAAAAATTTGATATTCCGAAGTCGCCCAAACAAGAAAATGCAAAATGGCTCCATAGCGCCCCCTAAGGTGAAAATTCACACTATTGACTGTCACGCCTTTACGCTTTGTCATATTGACACAAAAATTGACACACACATGTATCTCAATAAGATCTACAAAAAAGTCAGTGCAGGCGTATCTGTCAAATGTACGGTTAAAGGGTTATTGCGCATTTTTTGCCGACCCGCACACATTGGAATTTCGCTAACTCCTCCGAAGGCTTTCGTTCCACCGGCACCACATTTGCTCAGGCCAATCTACACCCCATGGCCATTAAAAGTTATTCAAATCATGACGCTGCACCCCACGGTTTAGGTTCTAGGGGGCGCCAAAGATAACCCTAAAATCCACATATTTAAAAGTCTTATAACTTTTTATTTTTGACCTCACTGGCCTCCAGGTTTTCTAGGATGATGCAATGTCCAGCCATCAACACATTTGTGAAGGAATTTTTAATCCCCAAAAGAGCGCCCCCCCATGGCAGGAGAAAAAAGTCCATTTTTTCTTGTCCCCTAAGGTGAAAATACACATTGTTGAGTGTCACGCCTGTACGCTTTGTCATATTGACACAAAATTTGACACACACATGTATCTCAATAAGATCTACGAAAAAGTCAATGCGCGCGTATCTGTCAAATGTACGGTTAAAGGGTTATTCCGCATTTTTTGCTGATCCGCACACATTGGAATTTCGCTAACTCCTCCTAAGGCTGGCGTTCCACCGGCACCACATTTGCTCAGGCCAATCTACACCCCATGGCCATTAAAAGTTATTCAAATCATGACGCTGCACCCCACGGTTTAGGTTCTAGGGGGCGCCAAAGATAACCCTAAAATCCACATATTTCAAAGTCTTATAACTTTTTATTTTTGTCCTCACTGGCCTCCAAGTTTTCTAGGATGATGCAATGTCCAGCCATCAACACATTTGTGAAGGAATTTTTACTCCCCAAAAGAGCGCCCCCCCATGGCAGGAGAAAAAAGTCAATTTTTTCTTGTCCCATAAGGTGAAAAAACACATTGTTGACTGTCATACCTGTACGCTTTGTCATATTGACACAAAATTTGACAATCACATGTATCTCAATAAGATCTACGAAAAAGTCAATGCGCGCGTATCTGTAAAATGTACGGTTAAAGGGCTATTTTGCATTTTTTGCCGATTCGCACACATTGGAATGTGGCTAACTCCTCCTAAGGCTTTCGTCTCACTGACACCAAATTTGCTCAGGCCAATCTACACCCCATGGCCATTCAAAGTTGTAAAAATCATGACGCTGCACCCCACGGTTTACGTTCTAGGGGGCGCCAAAGATGACCCAAATATCCACATTCTTAAAAGAATCCACATCCCCCCCATCCCCCAACCCCCATGGCAGGAGAAACAGTCAAGTTTTTCCTGCCCATCACTCAATGGCTCAATCGCATCACTCTCCCGGCAACACCGTAACAAGGAGCAACTTGCCGTTTGGATATATCCTAGCTGTGTTTGTGCCCTCACTCATGGTCCAGACTTTTTTCAAATAGGACATGTAGTATGTCTGCAGCGAGTGTTTTGGTAGAAACTGCGCCTCCCATTCATTATAATGGGAAATGACCACAGACAAGTGCGCACACCATCTTTGGACCTTGAGTGTGACGCGATCGGGAGGGGGAGGCGGTCGCGCTGGGGGCGGCGCAACGCGGCTCGGGCCCGACAGTGCCCCACCGGGGCCCTAGTTAGGGCCCGAGCGTAGCTGCTAAGCAGCTGCGAGAGCCCTCTTGTTCCTGATGGATTCTTCTTTCGTTATTTTTCCTCCGCTTTAAACTGGAAAATGGCCCATTTCCCACTGGCGAAAACTCAGGAAATTTGGCAGGACGACCGGGCCTGGTGAAAAATTCGATATTCTGAAGTCGCCCAAACAAAAAAATGAAAAATGGCTCCATAGCGCCCCCTATGGTGAAAACTCACCTGACGCCTGTACGCTTTGTCAAAATTACACAAAATTTGACACACATGTGTATCTCAATAAGATCTACAAAAAAGTCAGTGCGGGCGTATCTGTCAAATGTACGGTTAAAGGGCTATTTCGCATTTTTTGCCGATCCGCACACATTGGAATTTCGCTAACTCCTCCGAAGGCTTTCGTTCCACCGGCAACAAATTTGCTCAGGCCAATCTACACCCCATGGCCATTAAAAGTTGTACAAATCATGACGCTGCACCCCACGGTTTACATTCTAGGGGGCGCCAAAGATAACCCAAAAATCCACAGTCTTAAAAGTCTTATAACTTTTTATTTTTGTCCTCACTGGCCTCCAAGTTTTCTAGGATGATGCAATGTCCAGCCATCAACACATTTGTGAAGAAATTTTTACTCCCCAAAAGAGCGCCCCCCCATGGCAGGAGAAAAAAGTCCATTTTTTCTTGTCCCCTAAGGTGAAAATACACATTGTTGAGTGTCATGCCTGAACGCTTTGTCATATTGACACAAAATTTGACACACACGTGTATCTCAATAAGATCTACGAAAAAGTCAATGAGCGCGTATCTGTATAATGTACGGTTAAAGGGCTATTTCGCATTTTTTGCCGATCCGCACACATTGGAATTTCGCTAACTCCTCCGAAGGCTTTCGTTCCACCGGCACCAAATTTGCTCAGGCCAATCTACACCACATGGCCATTAAAAGTTATTCAAATCATGACGCTGCACCCCACGGTTTAGGTTCTAGGGGGCGCCAAAGATAACCCTAAAATCCACATATTTCAAAGTCTTATAACTTTTTATTTTTGTCCTCACTGGCCTCCAAGTTTTCTAGGATGATGCAATGTCCAGCCATCAAAACATTTGTGAAGGAATTTTTACTCCCCAAAAGAGCGCCCCCCCATGGCAGGAGAAAAAAGTCCATTTTTTCTTGTCCCATAAGGTGAAAATACACATTGTTGAGTGTCACGCCTGTACGCTTTGTCAAAATGACACAAAATTTGACAATCACGTGTATCTCAATAAGATCTATGAAAAAGTCATGCGCAAATATCTGTAAAATGTACGGTTAAAGGGCTATTTTGCATTTTTTGCCGATTCGCACACATTGGAATGTGGCTAACTCCTCCTAAGGCTTTCGTCCCACTGACACCAAATTTGCTCAGGCCAATCTATTCCCCATGGCGATTCAAAGTTGTAAAAATCATGACGCTGCACCCCACGGTTTACGTTCTAGGGGGTGCCAAAGATGACCCAAATATCCACATTCTTAAAAGAATCCACATCCCCCCCCTCCCCCCATGGCAGGAGAAAAAGTCAAGTTTTTCCTGCCCATCACTCAATGGCTCAATCGCATCGCTCTCTCGGCAAAAGCGAAAGGAGGAGCAACTTGCCATTTGGATATATCCTAGCTGTGTTTGTGCCCTCACTCATGGTCCAGACTTTTTTCAAATAGGACATGTAGTTTGTCTGCAGCGAGTGTTTTGGTAGAAACTGCGCCTCCCATTCATTATAATGGGAAATGACCACAGACAAGTGCGCACTCCATCTTTGGACCTAGAGTGTGACGCGATCGGGAGGTGGAGGCGGTCGCGCTGGGGGCGGCGCGACACGGCTCGGGCCCGACAGTGCCCCACCGGGGCCCTAGTTAGGGCCCGAGCGTAGCTGCTAAGCAGCTGCGAGAGCCCTATTATTCCCCAAGTGGTTTTTCTTTGTTTCTTTTTTCTTTTTCCTCCCCTTTGAACTGGAAAATGGCCCACTTCCCACTGGCGAAAACTCATGAAATTTGGCAGGACGACCGGGCCTGGTGAAAAATTTGATATTCCGAAGTCGCCCAAACAAGAAAATGCAAAATGGCTCCATAGCGCCCCCTAAGGTGAAAATTCACACTATTGACTGTCACGCCTGTACGCTTTGTCAAAATGACACAAAAATTGACACACACATGTATCTCAATAAGATCTACAAAAAAGTCAGTGCGGGCGTATCTGTCAAATGTACGGTTAAAGGGTTATTTCGCATTTTTTGCCGATCCGCACACATTGGAATTTCGCTAACTCCTCCGAAGGCTTTCGTTCCACCGGCACCACATTTGCTCAGGCCAATCTACACCCCATGGCCATTAAAAGTTATTCAAATCATGACGCTGCACCCCACGGTTTAGGTTCTAGGGGGCGCCAAAGATAACCCTAAAATCCACATATTTAAAAGTCTTATAACTTTTTATTTTTGCCCTCACTGGCCTCCAAGTTTTCTAGGATGATGCAATGTCCAGCCATCAACACATTTGTGAAGGAATTTTTACTCCCCAAAAGAGCGCCCCCCCATGGCAGGAGAAAAAAGTCCATTTTTTCTTGTCCCCTAAGGTGAAAATACACATTGTTGAGTGTCACGCCTGTACGCTTTGTCAAAATGACACAAAAATTGACACACACATGTATCTCAATAAGATCTACAAAAAAGTCCATGCGCGCGTATCTGTCAAATGTAAGGTTAAAGGGTTATTCCGCATTTTTTGCCGATTCGCACACATTGGAATTTCGCTAACTCCTCCGAAGGCTTTCGTTCCACCGGCACCACATTTGCTCAGGCCAATCTACACCCCATGGCCATTAAAAGTTATTCAAATCATGACGCTGAACCCCACGGTTTACGTTCTAGGGGGCGCCAAAGATAACCCAAAAATCCACATTTTTAAAAGTCTTATAACTTTTTATTTTTGTCCTCACTGGCCTCCAAGTTTTCTAGGATGATGCAATGTCCAGCCATCAACACATTTGTGAAGGAATTTTTACTCCCTAAAAGAGCGCCCCCCCATGGCAGGAGAAAAAAGTCCATTTTTTCTTGTCCCCTAAGGTGAAAATACACATTGTTGACTGTCACGCCTGTACGCTTTGGCAAAATGACACAAAAATTGACAATCATGTGTATCTCAATTAGATCTACGAAAAAGTCAAAGAGCGCGTATCTGTATAATGTACGGTAAAAGGGCTATTTTGCATTTTTTGCCGATTCGCACACATTGGAATTTTGCTAACTCCTCCTAAGGCTTTCGTCCCACTGACACCAAATTTGCTCAGGCCAATCTACACTCCATGGCCATTCAAAGTTGTAAAAATCATGACGCTGCACCCCACGGTTTACGTTTTAGGGGGCGCCAAAGATGACCCAAATATACATTACAGTAGACAAAGTAGTTTTGCCCACTGAGTGGCGCCAAAGGGACTTGTCTGTGGAGTCTGTGAGTCACTATTGGCCGTTTTTGACTACTTTAGATTTTACCTTTATATTTCCTCTTACAAAATTTTTACCTTGCCTTGCCTGGTATCATTTTTTTCAGCACAACCTCACCTGTGTCAATTTACAGTTATTTTATCATTTTGACATACTATATTTACACATTGGACCCAAATTCACACACAAAACATAAAATCCGAGTGGAAAAAAGTAACGTTTTTACTGTGAAAACCACAAATATGTGTGATGAACTGTTTTTAAAACTTAAACTTCAAATAAAAATTGTAAACTTCAAAACATATGCAAATTTTTAACAAAGAACATAGTAATTTACCTCTATTTACATCAAAATGCAGGCAATGGCCCAGGTGTTCTTTGTAAAATTATTTACAAAACACTGTATAGTCTCACAAATGTCACTTTTTATTTATGCCACTACAAAAAAACATGATGTAAATGATGCATGATGTAAAACATGATGTAAAAAACTTGTGTAGATCCTCCTCTATGTTAGTCCATGTGTAATTTTTCCATAATTCTTTGTTTTTTGCAGCATTTTTGTTAGTGTAACTGCAGATTGTGCTGACAGTGTCTATGGCACAACAAAAAAAAAAAAACTGAAAATGCCTCAACATGAACCCCTGGTGGTCTCTGAGGGTGAAACCTGATAACTGCTGCAGCTCTGTCAGCTTCAGTCTCCCATGCAGAACTCGGAGCGCATGTGTGGCTCTGCACCCTTAGCAGCGTTGCTAACTCCTCAGTAAGGAAAGCCTGCTTCATGTCAGAGTCTCTAAACTCCAGAAGAAGTCTATAAAAGTCACTTTCTTTCTAAAAAAAAAGTCGTTAGGGGGTCTGAAAAGTCATTGAATCTAACAACAAAGTCGCTAGGTTTGCAACTACGTGTCCCAGACTGCATCCCTGCTGAGAGTCCCTCCCTCCCTTCTCATATTGCAGGAAGAACGTAAGCGCCCGCCCCTTGTCAATCAGTCACCATATAATTTTGGATTGGTTGTTGTGGTGAAGTTTTCCACCAATAGGAGAGATGTTGTGGTGTGTTTTTTTTTTTCCTTTGGCAAGCCTTTTCCGCCTGTAAGACCTGTCGCTAATGTCTGCATGCTATGTTTTCCTGTCTCATACAGCGCGATCGAGCGCCGAACGTGATCAAAATAAGCAGAAAACAAGTATCGCGGACATAATTTATCATAACTCTGGTTTTATTTGGCCTATCAACACAATTTAAAAACTGGTATATAGGTTGAGGTCCTCACTTTTGAGATAAGTTGAAACGGAGTCAACGAGGCTCCGTCTTGCAGCTACATCCGGTTAAATATGTCATGTGACTTGAACGCACACACACACACACACACACACACACACACACAGACACACACACACACGCACACACACACACTCAGAGTCTGGTTTTTAGCACCTGCAAAAACATGCTATTTACATATTTGACAAGAATGCAGAGGCTCCTTTTGCCCCTGAAAAAAATCAAATTTCAAACACAACTTGACTGGTCATTTCTCCAAAAGACAACCATGAAGCTCCATCCAAACCTGAAGCAGGCAGTTGGTGCATGTGTACAGTAACCTGAGGGGAGTGAGGTGACTGCTTCTGAGGAGAACATGAGCAGTGAAGATTCACCTTAGAGCTAGAACAGAGACGTGCACATGATTATACAGGGGCAGGGGCTCAAGTTTTTTCCAGTTGTTTATACAATATGGAAATTAATGTGAAATTAAAAAACAAAGTATTAATAGAAAGGTAATGACTGTCCTGAGTAGGTGACAGTGATATCCAATAGGCTAGGCACTCAAGAGGCTGGCTGTGGCAAGTGTAAGTGAAAGCAACACGCACTGGCAGGAAGAACAGCAAACGCCGATGAAGGAAAAGGGTCTTTGCAGTGATGGGCGTTACCAGAGAGGGCGATGGCCAGAGGACACAAATGGGACGGGGAGGCAGCGCGTTGGGGGGGGGGGTGCGACACAGCTCGGGCCCGCCAGTGCCCCAACGGGGTCCTAGTTCTTCTTTTTCCTCCCCTTTGAACTGGAAAATGGCCCACTTCCCACTGGCGAAAACTCAGGAAATTTGGCAGGACGACCGGGCCTGGTGAAAAATTTGATATTCCGAAGTCGCCCAAACAAGAAAATGCAAAATGGCTCCATAGCGCCCCCTAAGGTGAAAATTCACACTATTGACTGTCACGCCTGTACGCTTTGTCAAAATGACACAAAAATTGACACACACATGTATCTCAATAAGATCTACAAAAAAGTCAGTGCGGGCGTATCTGTCAAATGTACGGTTAAAGGGTTATTGCGCATTTTTTGCCGATCCGCACACATTGGAATTTCGCTAACTCCTCCGAAGGCTTTCGTTCCACCGGCACCACATTTGCTCAGGCCAATCTACACCCCATGGCCATTAAAAGTTATTCAAATCATGACGCTGCACCCCACGGTTTAGGTTCTAGGGGGCGCCAAAGATAACCCTAAAATCCACATATTTAAAAGTCTTATAACTTTTTATTTTTGCCCTCACTGGCCTCCAAGTTTTCTAGGATGATGCAATGTCCAGCCATCAACACATTTGTGAAGGAATTTTTACTCCCCAAAAGAGCGCCCCCCCATGGCAGGAGAAAAAAGTCCATTTTTTTCTTGTCCCCTAAGGTGAAAATACACATTGTTGAGTGTCACGCCTGTACGCTTTGTCAAAATGACACAAAAATTGACACACACATGTATCTCAATAAGATCTACAAAAAAGTCCATGCGCGCGTATCTGTCTAATGTACGGTTAAAGGGTTATTCCGCATTTTTTGCCGATTCGCACACATTGGAATTTCGCTAACTCCTCCGAAGGCTTTCGTTCCACCGGCACCACATTTGCTCAGGCCAAATTACACCCCATGGCCATTAAAAGTTATTCAAATCATGACGCTGCACCCCACGGTTTACGTTCTAGGGGGCGCCAAAGATAACCCAAAAATCCACATTTTTAAAAGTCTTATAACTTTTTATTTTTGTCCTCACTGGCCTCCAAGTTTTCTAGGATGATGCAATGTCCAGCCATCAACACATTTGTGAAGGAATTTTTACTCCCCAAAAGAGCGCCCCCCCGTGGCAGGAGAAAAAAGGCCATTTTTTCTTGTCCCCTAAGGTGAAAATACACATTGTTGACTGTCACGCCTGTACGCTTTGGCAAAATGACACAAAAATTGACAATCATGTGTATCTCAATTAGATCTACGAAAAAGTCAAAGAGCGCGTATCTGTATAATGTACGGTAAAAGGGCTATTTTGCATTTTTGGCCGATTCGCACACATTGGAATTTCGCTAACTCCTCCTAAGGCTTTCGTCCCACTGACACCAAATTTGCTCAGGCCAATCTACACTCCATGGCCATTCAAAGTTGTAAAAATCATGACGCTGCACCCCACGGTTTACGTTTTAGGGGGCGCCAAAGATGACCCAAATATACATTACAGTAGACAAAGTAGTTTTGCCCACTGAGTGGCGCCAAAGGGACTTGTCTGTGGAGTCTGTGAGTCACTATTGGCCGTTTTTGACTACTTTAGATTTTACCTTTATATTTCCTCTTACAAAATTTTTACCTTGCCTTGCCTGGTATCATTTTTTTCAGCACAACCTCACCTGTGTCAATTTACAGTTATTTTATCATTTTGACATACTATATTTACACATTGGACCCAAATTCACACACAAAACATAAAATCCGAGTGGAAAAAAGTAACGTTTTTACTGTGAAAACCACAAATATGTGTGATGAACTGTTTTTAAAACTTAAAAATTTGCATATGTTTTGAAGTTTACAATTTTTATTTGAAGTTTAACAAAGAACATAGTAATTTACCTCTATTGACATCAAAATGCAGGCAATGGCCCAGGTGTTCTTTGTAAAATTATTTACAAAACACTGTATAGTCTCACAAATGTCACTTTTTATTTATGCCACTACAAAAAAACATGATGTAAATGATGCATGATGTAAAACATGATGTAAAAAACTTGTGTAGATCCTCCTCTATGTTAGTCCATGTGTAATTTTTCCATAATTCTTTGTTTTTTGCAGCATTTTTGTTAGTGTAACTGCAGATTGTGCTGACAGTGTCTTTGGCAAAAAAAAAAAAAAAAAACTGAAAATGCCTCAACATGAACCCCTGGTGGTCTCTGAGGGTGAAACCTGCTAACTGCTGCAGCTCTGTCAGCTTCAGTCTCCCATGCAGAGCTCGGAGCGCATGTGTGGCTCTGCACCCTTAGCAGCGTTGCTAACTCTTCAGTAAGGAAAGCCTGCTTCATGTCAGAGTCTCTAAACTCCAGAAGAAGTCGATAAAAGTCACTTTCTTTCTAAAAAAAAAGTCGTTAGGGGGTCTGAAAAGTCATTGAATCTAACAACAAAGTCGCTAGGTTTGCAACTACGTGTCCCAGACTGCATCCCTGCTGAGAGTCCCTCCCTCCCTTCTCATATTGCAGGAAGAACGTAAGTTCCCGCCCCTTGTCAATCAGTCACCATATAATTTTGGATTGGTTGTTGTGGTGAAGTTTTCCACCAATAGGAGAGATGTTGTGGTGTGTTTTTTTTTTCCTTTGGCAAGCCTTTTCCGCCTGTAAGACCTGTCGCTAATGTCTGCATGCTATGTTTTCCTGTCTCATACAGCGCGATCGAGCGCCGAACGTGATCAAAATAAGGAGAAAACAAGTATCGTGGACATAATTTATCATAACTCTGGTTTTATTTGGCCTATCAACACAATTTAAAAACTGGTATATAGGTTGAGGTCCTCACTTTTGAGATAAATTGAAACGGAGAGTCAACGAGGCTCCGTCTTGCAGCTACATCCGGTTAAATATGTCATGTGACTTGAACGCACACACACACACACACACACACACACACACACACACACACACACACACACAGACACACACACACACACGCACACACACACACTCAGAGTCTGGTTTTTAGCACCTGCAAAAACATGCTATTTACATATTTGACAAGAATGCAGAGGCTCCTTTTGCCCCTGAAAAAAATCAAATTTCAAACACAACTTGACTGGTCATTTCTCCAAAAGACAACCATGAAGCTCCATCCAAACCTGAAGCAGGCAGTTGGTGCATGTGTACAGTAACCTGAGGGGAGTGAGGTGACTGCTTCTGAGGAGAACATGAGCAGTGAAGATTCACCTTAGAGCTAGAACAGAGACGTGCACATGATTATACAGGGGCAGGGGCTCAAGTTTTTTCCAGTTGTTTATACAATATGGAAATTAATGTGAAATTAAAAAACAAAGTATTAATAGAAAGGCAATGACTGTCCTGTGTAGGTGACAGTGATATCCAATAGGCTAGGCACTCACGAGGCTGGCTGTGGCAAGTGTAAGTGAAAGCAACACGCACTGGCAGGAAGAACAGCAAACGCCGATGAAGGAAAAGGGTCTTTGCAGTGATGGGCGTTACCAGAGAGGGCGATGGCCAGAGGACACAAATGGGACGGGGAGGCAGCGCGTTGGGGGGGGGACGCGACACAGCTCGGGCCCGCCAGTGCCCCAACGGGGTCCTAGTTTTTTTTTGTTACTACTTAAAGTGATCTCAGTGGTCTTTAAATTGTGATCATGAAGTTTTTACCAAAAATCGCGTTACCTGTGTCATTTTCAAGCGCTTCTCTTCTGCAGAGCTCCAGTCTATCATCAGCAATTCGCTCCTGAGTCGTGGGAGGAGACAGCGCTGCTCTGGACACTCATCTTCACATTAGCTTGCAGCCTAACATTGTCAGTGTAGTAGAAGTGGCAGGTAACAGAAGAGCTATTCAGCTCTCAGACACTAATGTCTTTAGGAGCATAATGAAAGCCAATATCATAATCAGCTTTCTTACAAGAATTGCAGTCCACTAACGCACACACTTGTTCCATGATCATCCTCTCTATTTCTCCTCTGTATGCAGAGTGTGGTCTGCATAGTGGGGCTTTGGGGGCGGAGCTTGGGTTGGTTACATAAGAAATCTCACTGTTTCTGAACCCGCCGTTTGGGTCTGCCAGAGATTCACAGAGATTTGAATGAAGAAATACTCAGAAAAGCAATTTCGCATTTAGTTTTCTCATGATATGTCCTGTAGCATCATAACAATGCCATATAAGCATATAAAAAAACAAGAAAAACTTGATTTTCATTTGAGTGGGTCTTTGTGAGGAGCCAGTTGGTTTTAAAATGAAAAGAGATGCTTCTTTATGACCTAAAACAGCAAATAAGACCATCTGCTACAAGACACGCAATTCCTGTCTGTAATTTCAAAGTCTGTGACAGCTGTAAGAGGTAGGAGTCAGATCAGACAACTAACAGCATGCTGAAGAAAAAGCCTTTGCCACTTCAACCAAAGCATATGTTTGAAGTCAGGAATAAATTTGACTGTTTGAAGACAGCTGGAGGGGATCCTTGTCAGGAAAAAAATGGACAAACAGAAATTTCTCTCACAGTATTGATGAGAAAATGTTCAAAAGAGAAACCGATCAATCGTGAATTACTTCAAAAATATCATGACTGGAGATACTTTCATGCAGAAGTAACAGTGAAAACTTTGATGTTTGAGCTATAAACCTTCCCATAGCCCAGAAGTAAACCTGCCTTCACCAACACATTAGCACAATACCACCCTGCACAGAATACATAACACATATACATACATACAAATGTGTTTTTCCAGGTCCAAATCCATATCTGGCAAATCGACAAAGAGGTACAGGTAATCGCTATTAAAAGGCTAACATTGTTCTGTAAGTTAATGCCACATATGCATATATTGTGGATGAATAAATATAAGACATTTTCATTATTGTATTTATTTAAGTTTTTTGTGAATAGCTTTGGTCTCTTTGTATTTCTGTTGTTGGTGTGTGTGAAAATGTGGAATTTTTTGACAGCAGAAGAAAATGACTGCAGAAACATTTTTCAGTTTGCATTATTATTATTTAGCTTTCGTTCACCTTACAGCATTATAGCAAAGATGTTTAAAAATACATTTGTGGAGTTTTCACAATCATTTTGTTCCCATAAGCACTGTTCTACTTTCACTGAGCTAATCCAGTATCAAGATTGAATTGCTATTCCTAGTCACAGTCATTCATTTTTTTTATTTTTTTTTTTATTTAGCCTACAAACACTGTAAATGACAAGAAAAAAAACATACTAAGTTTTAAATTCTTTACTGCTCAGATTTTTTATTTTGTTCAGCTAAAATAGCTATTGTTAAAGACGTTTAAAAAAAAGAGCAGGTAAAACGAATGACCTATTTCGAGGTGAGCCAGTAGTTGACGCTATTGCTTATGCTGTTGATTGATTCTGCACTAAAGAGCAGAGAAGAAGAAGGAGGCAGTCTGAGAAGCACGTTAGTTTGTGGTCATTAGTAGCAGCTAGTCTTCCCTTCACTTCAGACAAGCAGGCAAGTGTCAGCGTTTTAATTCACCACAATGAACGGTTTAGACGAACAGATGGCCCCGCAGACCTTTCTTTACGGTGAGAGATGATAAATCCATGTATCCTGTTTGAGCTAAATACGTGTAATGTTACATTTTTGTGTTCTTGTGAAGACGACTGATAGCAGAGAAAACGAGGTCAGACAGCAGCTGAACTGGACCTATAATGAAAGTTTATATTTTAGTTAGTGTATCAGATGTTTCAAGGTGTAATGTCACGGTCTGTTTTTAATTCTGACATTATATCGAGGGGGTTAAACGAGTTCACGAGAGCAGCACTGCTTCAAGAAGACTACACGTGTTTGACTATCAACATGGCGGCGCCCATGATTTTCGAACAGTGTTGAAATTTAAGCATCTTCCTTTCAATTGAGGTTGAAAATACTTTAACATTAATCAAAAAGACTGCTGTCCTTGTGTAGGTAACTAAAGCTGGTAACTTAGCGGTCAGGGTTTGGCTTGTGGGGAGCACGCATGTCAACGTGGTTGCGAACACATGTGGGTCCACGCTGGCTCCAGAGACCCCCAATTTTTTAACGTGGATGAAGGTTTTTAAGTGGATTTCCTGCTATCACAGTTTAGCATTCCGATGTTTTTAACAATTAGATAATACTACTTTAGCTGAATTTAGTATCTTTTGACATAATACTTTCTCTGGACTACATCCAGATTGTCTCTGTGTGCCCTCACCTGATTTAACCTTCCTCCTCTGAGATATGGAGACTTTACACATGTTTGTTTTTATTAACAGAAAAGAGACACTTTTTGAAAACCTTAGGTGGACTTTATGGATATATCTTTCATGTTCATGAGGACCTACAGGCAGATGGAATAAGTGCCCTTTAACTAACAGTTAAAAATGCAAATATATTTGTCAGGATGTGTTGCAGACACTCAAATATATTGTTAAATATGTACCAAACAATGATCATTGATTTTAGATATTAAAGTTATATTCCAAAATGAAGAGATTCCCTCAGCACCAGTCATAGGGATATATTCATTTCAGTAGTCTGAGTGTGGCTCCCCCTTGTGTGCATTTAAAACATTGCAATATGTATTGCTTGATTGAAGTTTATTTGAACATATAAAAAAGAAATAATATAATACAACAACAAATGACAGAAAGTTATTCGAGTTCATAAAGGAGTGGGAAGAAGTCGAGACTTATCTAGTCCCACCCCTTATCTACTCTAATGGTTTAAATATATATCATGTATATCATTATATAATATTAATCATCATAGTAATAATAGCAATAAAAAAAATCACCACAGTGAAAATAATAAATAACAACAACAAAACAATGATGATAACGATAATAGTTACTGTGAATGTACATCCCTGTATCCCGTGAAAACATATTCTCTAATTTTGTTTTAAACTGTTTTATGTTTGGACATTGTTTTAACTCCTCACCCATACCATTCCACAGTCTCACCCCACAGAGTAAAATGCAAAATTGTTTTCTACTTGTACGGATTTTATCAATTTTGAAGTTATACTTCCCTCTTAATTGATAACCCCCCCTCTCAATCCCCAAAGAAATTGTGTATATTTTGTGGTAGAAGGTTATTTTTAGCTTCATGCATAATTTGTGCGGTTTGGAATTTCACAATGTCTGTAAGTTTAAGTAACCTTTTTTTGAAGAATAATCAGTGAATTGATTGAATTCATACATAGTTATTGCCCCAAATCTCTGCACAGTAATTTAAGTATGGTAAGACAATGGAACAGTATAGGATACGGAGTCATTTAAGATCTAGAACCTGTTTTGCTTTGTTTAAAACTGTTTAAATGTAGCCTGCCACCCTCACTTTGAAACAAAGAACTGAACTGTGTCAAGTTTAAATCCAGTATTTATTTGTTTGCACCTGAAAACTACTGCTTTTGGTTTGTAATGCACAAACTGTTGGCTGATTATTGAACGCCTTTTCATCAGGGTGCCTGCTGGAAGCTGGAAAGGAAGTGATATTCAATCCTGAGGATGATGACTTGGAGCATCAGCTAGATCTGAGGATGGTGAGTAACCTGAGACCGAAGTTGTTTAGAAAAAAAAAACACATTAAAAATATATTTAAAGGGATATTCCGGCGTAAAATTAGGTTAAGGTCAAACACAACGTAACACCGAGTTAGACACCCTGTCGAGAGATTAATGTTGCCGACCGCTCGTTTCTGTAGTTATACCAACTCTAGTAATGTCAGAGACATAATACCGCATCTGACTTGCAGCCAGCTGAGAAGAACGACAGAGATAGTGGACTTATTTTTCTTGGATATCTTTTACTTGCAAGGAGTCAGCAGCTTACAACAAAGGCAGCTTCCTCTCACTGAGGAATTCAGATTTTTGCACATCCTTTATACAGTGAAGACACAGACACCCCCGCCCACTAACATCATCTCACAAGTGACATGACATTAAAATGGTATCCAAATATGGCACAGGTTACAGCTGTGGTCTGTACTGGGAAGACAAAGACAGCTTAGTTCATCACCAGGTTCCTGCTTATCAGTTCTATGTCACACTGTTGGGAAAACAACCTGTGAGTGAAATTGTAGCCTTCATCTAGTTGCATGGTTTCAGCCGAAAAGTATCAGTCCCAACTCCAAGGCCATACTTCTCCTTTCCCATGCTCATTAAAAAGAAACAGATATGACTCTGCATGCATTCACACCAAGCGAGTTTCAGTAAATGATGATTAACATACTTGTATAATGATAAAATACACATGTGATAGCATATATATACAATTTTTCTTTCAAGTAACGACCGCAGATAGCAATACAGAGAGCTGCATGCTCCACCAAAAAGCCCACTCTATAGCCGCAAATAATGTTCAGAACAGCACCTTACTTCATCAACTGTACATATTGGGGTCCCAGACATAGCACTAGCCACCAAACATGTTTTTAACTTTACCTAGTTTCTTTAGCAAAGAGACTAAACACAACTCACCCACTCTCTTCCAGCAGCCGTTTGTTTGTAAGGAGACCCCGACTGCAGCAGGGTGGCGCAGCTCAAGGAAAAACATTTATGATCATTACTTCATCATCATATTAATTATTTTGCACTGCAGACGAGGTAGTTCTTCTGCCTTAGCGTCTTGGTCTGATTGCATTTCCATGAGGAAATGATCATAAATGTTCTTCCTTGAGCTGCGTCACCCTGCAGCAGTTAATGGACTCGCCGGGACGTCTCCTTATAAACAAGCGGCTGCTGGAAGAGAGTGGGTGAGTTGTGTTTCGTCTCCTTGCTGAAGAAACCAGGCAAAGCTAAAAAGATGTTTGGTGGCTAGTGCTATGGCTGGGACCCTATATGTACTGTTAATGAAGTTAGGTGCTGTTCTGAACATTATTTGTGGCTATAGAGTGGCGTTTTGGTTGAGCGCGTGGCTCTCTGTATTGCTATCTGCGGTCGTTACTAAAGTTGGTATAGCTAGAGAAGCAAGTGGTCAGCAACATTCATCTCTCGACGGGGTGTCTAACTCGGTGTTACTGTGTTTTTGACCCTAACTTAATTTTACGCCAGAATATCCCTTTTTAAGTATGTCATTCCCTCTGATAAAAATGTAATTGATTAACTTTTATTCACCACGATGTATGACCTGTATCATGTCTGAATACTGGACAAATAGGGGCGCATATGTCTTCTTTCTTGTCACACTAAATCATTCAGTTTTACTTAATCTAGTTTTAAGCAGACCCTGTGCAAAAGCATCTCATGGGTTTACAGGCAGATCTAATGTCAAGTGTTTTCTTGTCCTCTCTAGGCCTGTGTGGACCTGAACACAAAAGATGAACTTCACACTGTGGAGGTGGAAGGACAAGACACAGAAGGGCAGAAAGTCAAAGCAGTGCTGGTTTCACTGAAACCCTCCACCCTGCCAAGCGTAAGAGAACGATTATATTTTCATCATTGTGTTAAAGACCATTGTGTTGAGTAATCCTTTTGGGAATCTTCTAGGTGTGTAACATGGATGTTCATGCGTTTCTTTGTTTCAGGTGTGTCTCGGCGGTTTCACAATCACATCCCCAGCAATTTTCCGTCTGAAGTCAGGTTCTGGTCCAATCCACCTCAGTGGACAGCACCTTGTCAGTAAGTATTCATCACCACAGTGTGTGGACGCTTAAGCTGTCGAGAAAGGAAGTACTACAACAGGTTAAAACCCTTACAGGGTGAACAGGGCTCTGACTTGATGCAGTGGCATGCTGTTAAAGGAAATTCCCATAGAGTATTGACCAATCAGTGTCATGTATCCAACTCAGCCGTCTCAGTTCTCAGTGTCTGATTATAGCACTGTTGTTCTCAATATCCATGGAGTTTATTTTAAATCTCTTAAATTTCTAATTTGCTCTTCCAGTGATGGAGGCTGACCAGTCTTTTGATGAAGAGGAGGATGAGGAAGAAGAAGAGGAGGAGGACAACGTCAGAACATCAAAGAAAAGACCTGCCACCTCCCCTGCCGTCAAGTCTCAGGTTTGTTCCAGTCTTCTCTCCCCTGTTTTCTTGGTTTGTGCTGACATGAATTTCCAGTCTAACTCTGATGTTTGATATTTGTGCAGAAAAAAATGAAAATGGACATGGACGAGGAGGATGACGATGATGAGGACGATGATGAGGATATGGATGATGAGTGAGTTTAGCTGTCATTCTTCATACCCTATATTTATTGTTTCTGTCTTTAATCACATCCCACTCAATCTTAGATAATTAAGCCGACAGCTTCATGCAAAATTTGAGAATCCACATTTTTCTATCGTTGGACATCTGGCTGACTGTGATCTGGTATCACATGTTCTGCAGGTCCTCCTTTTTAAAGGTCTGAAAAACTGAAGGTTTGTAGTGCTGCTAACTAAACAGCAAACATCGTGTGCACCAGCCGGTTTCTTTCTTTCACCCGGACTTTGAGCGAGCACAGCCTCGGTGCGTGGTTGGCTGGCTGTTCTCTGTCTCATTTTAAAGCCAGCTGGCATCATTTCAGAGCAGAGATGTTATGACAGTCGAGTTCGGTAGTTAATAGGTAGGTAGTTTTTTTTTAAATGTTCTTCACTCGCTTCTATCCCTGCTTACCAGGGATTCCCAATGCTCCCCAGAGAAATGGAGATAGAGGTCTGCTTGTTCATGTAATAATCGATTGGCCTTTTAGGAAAATGATTACTTCTTCAAGTAGTTGAGACACAGCTGCTTTTCCTCCAGCAGACTGACTGTAAATGTGTTTCTGACTTTAGTGGTGGGTGTTATTACCTGATTGTATTTTTGATGGTAAAGCAGTTTCAGGATGTTTCAGCTGCCTGTGTTTTTTGGAATAATTGATCCTGAGATGTGTTAGTACCTTAGTGAACAGTTGAGCTGGTTTCAGGCACTGAGATGATGTTTTAGTGAGAACAGTTAAGACTATTTGGCATAGTTGTTGTCAGTGAGGTGGATTTTTACATTTTCAGTTGAAGTCTTAACAATGAGAGTGCTCTGACAGACTGGGGTGCCAGTTGAGTCCAGCGGTCAATATACAGAGGTGCCCTAAAATAACTTAGAAAAAGAATTATTTTAGAAAGCACATAAGCACATTGAACTGCTTAGTAGGATCTGAAAAGTCACCTTCTTGTGTTTTTTATCCTTGTTTTCGTGTCAACATTGACCTTGTAAAGAGAGTGCAGTCTTAACTGTTTGCATCAGTGAGTCTACTCTGTAGATGTACCACAAAGAAACTTGATAAGCATCATTTGGCCAAATGATAAGGACCCAGACAAAGTATAATGATACTCTGATGCAGTTTGGTCGTCTCAGTCTGCTACAGGCTCTAATGTCACCAAGGCCCACACTTAAGTAATTATTCCATGATTAAAAACCTTGATGAGTCCATATAATCATGACATTGGGTTTCTTTGAGCGCAGACTTATGCTAGTACCCGTGGTAATTAGACGCTTTTTGTCGCTCTGAAACTCTTTAAGTCTTCATTTTTTTTAAGCATGATTTAAGTAAGGTTCTTGTTGGATTCAATACTTTTTTCTTTGTTAGAAATTTGTTTTTCACATATAACCAGACTCAAACTGCAGTAAAGCTGCATAAATCTACTGCTGAAATTGTGCTCAAGGGTCAGTGGTTCATTGAAGATGAATTAACTTCTGATGAATTGCTCCAATACAGAGGTCGCTTGTAAAAGAGAGACATAAAGAAGAAAAACAAGGAAATTAACATCAGAAAATATTACAGAAAAGGCAAAAATTGGTGCTGAATAATTCAGCAAATGGCAGAAATTAGTTTTTACCGTAATAATTTTTTGAATGCAGCTACTGTCGCACTGTCAGTGCTGTGCCCTTGCCTTTGTTTATTTTCCTTTTCTTGATGTACATAAAAAAATTTGTGTTTTATTTTAATTCTGATTTTTGTTTGTTAGTGATGATGAAGAAGACGAGGAGGATGAGGAAGAGTCACCTGTCAAGGTAAGCACCTAGACAGTTTCAGCAGATCTATATGAGTGAACTTGTAGTCCGATTTCACTAACAGTACCCTTTTTCCAGGCAAAGCCAGCACCATCCAAACAGAAGTCTCCTGCTCAGAACGGGAAAAACTCCAAACCAGAAACTCCAGCCAAAAAACAGGTGACAAAAAACTCCTGTTAAACTTTATAATTCACGTGCTGGCCATTTTTTTTTGCACCTTTTCCCCAATTTGTAACATTCACACAAAAAATCTTCTAACAGTATCTCAAATTCTTGTTTCCACGAAAAGACCCCTAAAGGAAAGGGTGAGAAGTCCCCTAAAACTCCACCAACTCCCAAAGCGGCCTTGACGGTTCCTGAAATGAAAGCCAAGATGATGGAGTCTGTCAAAAAGGTTGGTGTCCTAACACAGTGTTTGTTTTCCTCTCCTCTTTTACCATTCATTTTGAAAGATTGTACAGGATATCTTGACGTTTAATACAATCCTTCATGTTTTACAGGGGATATCATTACCTAAAGCCCAGCTCAAGTTTGAGAACTATGTGAAGAACAGTTATAGAGTCTCTGATGCAAAGGTACAGTACACCCCTACAGTATAAATCAACCACCAGTTGAATGTGATTATTTTTTTAATTGCTTGTCTGGAGATTGAATAGTACAGTCACAAAAAAGAGCCTCTTCCAAGCTCAAATTCTCAATATTTATTTTATCCTCGCAAATGAATAAATGTTTTCTGATTGGACCAAAAATCATTTACAAAGTGACAGTAAAGACAGAAGAAATCAATGCTGCACACTTGAAAAATAAAAAAGAGGATTTGTTTTTGTCTCGCCTTTTTTAAGTTAATGTTTTTAAAGCTTTTCTTTGCGTTGTGCTTGTTCCACCGTAATAACAGACTGTTTTGTTTTGTTTTGTTTTGTTTTGTTCTGTTTAGGAGGTGGCTGAGCTCTGGAAGTGGAGGCAGACTGTGAAGGATGCTAAATAACTGTCTTAGTCGTTTTATTATCTACTTTTTATGACTCAGTTGTTCCCATAACACCTCTGCAACCCTCTGAAGCTCCACCCTGTGCCTCACATCCTTGTTCTTTCCTAGTCTAGTCCAGCACCACCCGCCCTTTTTATGAGTAGACGGTGATGTCGTAGAAGGACGTACTCTGCATTGTTCCTCCTTCATCAGCCACTCATTTTGGGCAAATCAATTACTGGTTTGTTGAATAAACTTACAAATTTGCATATTTGTAAATGTGTAAATAAAACTCTTGCTAGGCTGTTGGCGTTCAAGTCTAGAGGGCATGTTATGTTTTTTTATGTAAATTTATTGGAACATTTGATTTGGTGTCATACAGAAAGCATCAAGTGCAACATCAATACACAAATTACATCTAGGACTAGCAGCTGAGGCTCCAATCAATATTTAACACAGATTATCATCACCGGTAGTGACTTAGTGCTGAACATAAACGTGAAAAACTTTGCACTTTCTGAAATGTTGTGAGATTCCTAAGATCAAGTTCCCACCACAAAAATCTGTCATTTTAGTTTGGAACATCAGAAATCCGGTTTCTTTGTTTTTGAGTTCACCGTCCGCTGCAGCAATCCTTGTCCTAAAGTGGCATTAGTTGGGGAAATTATCTCTTTAGAGTTTCCAACTCATAAAACCCTCTCAAGTCAGGAGTTTGAGTTTCGTCTACTTGTACTGTGATAGCTGAATTTTTGTGAGTTGCCTATAACTTTCCAAACCAGAATTTTGAAGTGTTATAACATCCTGAAAAATTACCCACTAAGAACGTAATAAAAAGAATAATTATGTTCCCGTTCAGCTAGACAAAGGAATATTAAAAATATATGGTGTTGAATTATGAGGCCTGCTTTAGTAGAAAACCATTTCGTGTTCGCAAGAAATGAGTTTCACTGTAGGACATGCCAAGTTTAATTAAATTAAAAAAATTGAATATGAATAAATTGTTCACTGAGATTAATAATTTTGCACATTTTAAGTTCAATGAAGTTATTTGTTGTGCATCAATCTGCTTTTTAATAAAGATTCAAGCTTGTGAAACTTGCCTGTTTCTTTACATATCCAGTGTAGAAATAAGATTTCTTTAATCTGACATTAACGGTCGGTTCTTCCTTTTGTTTTCAGTCTGTCATGAAACACTAATCAGCTCTAACATCATGTCGCCTTGCTAAAATTGTATGCTTCCTCTCTTTTGAGTTGCTGCTGTAGTACCAGATTTGACAAGACATGGACATGGACTCATGAAACCTCTGAAGGCATGCTGCTGTTATCTGGCACAAATGTTGGCAGCAGATCATTTAAATCCTGGAGGTTGCAAAGTTGAGATCCCCATGGATCTGGCATAGTTGTCCAGCACATCCTGCAGAGGCTGGATTGTTTCAGATCTAGGGCATTTGGTGGCTAAGTCAACATCTAAACTTGATTTGAAAAACAACCAGGTGTTTCTTATTTGGGCTAGTTTGTATACACTGACAACTTCCGACTGGGAATGCCCCACAAAAGCTACAGTTTTGGAGACACTTTAAATTCAAATTTAACTTTATTTATATGGCACTTTTCATACAAAAGAAAATGCAACTCGAAGTACCTCACAGAGGCTAAAACGGCAATAATGGCGTTAAGATATATTGTTAAAGAGACTTTGACCTCGAGTCATTGTAATTTGGCTGTGATCAGAGAGGTTTAACATTCTTGCACTTGACCATTTTTCCTGCTTTCAACACATCAACTTCTAGACTGAAATATCTGTTACTGCCAAACACCCCGCCCACTCACAGGTGCCTTTGCAACAATATAATCAATGAGAATAAATTCACCAATCAGAGGTCATTATGTGATGACACAGATGTTACTTAGCAGCATAAATGCTGTGTATGCTGGCAAAAGGCTCTGGAAAGAGACTTTGATCTGACTTTGATCTCTGAGTAGAGGCTATTGTATTTATAAAAAGTCTTGTTCTGTGCAGCATTAACACAGGAACATGCCTCTATGCTGCTACATGATTATGTATTGATAGTTCAGGGAAGTTGTTCAGGGACATGGCAAAAAAAGACACTTAAAGACCATCACTCAGTGAATCCTTACCTGTAACCGCCCGTTTAATAACCTCTTAAACAGACCAAGAGCATCATTTACTGTTAATGTGATAAATTAAAGATGGACAGTGATCATTTATCATCATGCAGTGATTCATTACCACAGAAATGCGCTGTGATGGTCTGGATTTACTGTGAAAAATGATAAGATTAGGGAGGCTACCAGAGGAATTTATGAGAAGAGGTTGGTCTTTCAAAAAATGTCTTTCCAGCAAATGAAGGGAGGATGTCCTCCCAGTATTTCCTCGAAGTGGCTTTCACAACACACATCATTTGATCAAAATAAACCGTTTGGGTGGAGGGCTTTTTATTTACAGCTACTTGTTAGGATAAACTGTCTCAGTCTAGTAGGACAGTTGCGTTAACAAGACAAATAAAAGTTGTCTTGATTGGTTGTATGGTGTGAGTTCTCAGGACAGAAGCAGACCAGGATCAGACATTTTGGCTGCTTAAACAAGAAAAAAACATTCTTACTTGTCAGATCTAACCTGAGGGAGGGAGGAGTAATGAAGGCAGAATGGGGACAGAGGAGAACTAGAGCAAGTCACTGCTGGATCGGATTAATCAGGAAACCATAGCTCGAAGGCATTTAATGACTAAGTGAGGGGATATGAGACAAAGTGTATAAAGACAGAATAAAGTGAAGTCAAGAAAAGAAAAAAGTTGTACCATGGGGATAAATCAGTTCAAAGATTTGCTCACATTGAAAACGTTTTAAAACAGATCAAAAAGGCTGACCTTAAAATATACTATCATCTGTATATTCATGAAAGCATTCACCAAAACTGTTTGGATTTACAACTCAGAGCAGTTACCTTTATACACCACAAGGTGGCAGTACAACCTAAAGCAAGTTTCACATTAAGAGCCATCATGCATTCATCCTCCTGGAGGAAGATGGCCTCCAGCCAAAGTGTGGCCCTGATCATTTTTAATTTGTGCTTGGGTAGGGGAATAATCTGCAACCTGAGACTCTCATGTTTACTCACAAACATTTCTAAATGCCAGCGTGAAGTGGATGTTAGCAAGTCATGACCAGTAGGATCCATACATAACAGCTGTATGTTTGATCCAATGTAATGTATTTTAGCCCAGCCTGATTCGAGTATGTCCTTATCTTCAAAACTGGACATTTATGAAGCTGCAGATGACTTCTGATTTTCTGCATTTATTTTCTTGAGCTGCGTTTTTAGCTGCATTTTTTCTGGGATGTCAGTAAACATGGATGCATTATATCAAACCAAAACAAGTGAATTTTTAACTTTTTATTTTATATACACATTACACAAACACTGAAAAATAACAATTAAAAAGTATTTTTTATAAAAACTGAGGATTTGATGAGTGCAGCAAAAGCTATTTTCACTGTTAAAAACCAGGATCATGACGTCGAGCCCATTCACACATCATTATCCAAACTGATAACACCTGGCATGCATGTATGTATAGCTTTAAAAATATTGGCAACATGAATTAAAAAGCAACAATCTACTGTAATTTATACAATTACGCTTTCACTTTGATATCTGATTGAAACATAGTCCACAGTGGTAGTGAATGATTTGTAACATTCATATAAATAAAAGGCACAAATGTGTGGAAATCATGATAGCAAACTGCTTCTGAGGTGCCAGCAAAACTACATACATTCAGCCCACACAGTTACAGATGGTGGCAGAGTTGTGTATGCTCATATCTGATTTCTATTCAGTGCACTCAACCTGATTTTCCAAACCACACTGCACACTTATGATGCCCTCTACTTTGTATCAAGTTGTATAAACTTACAGGCGTATTTCCATGTACTTAGTGCTTCACAAGCGTCAGCGACGTGGGCGGTTTACTGTGTAGTCTACGCATCAGTCGGCACTGACTGTAGCTTTAAATGGGTCAATAAGCTTTTTAGGAGGTAAACAGCTACTTTTAAAAAGCTTTAATGCAATTTGTTAAAATAATATTACAGTAACATCACAGGGTAGACCCTGAAGTAACTAAAACACAAAATAAAAAAACAGAAAAAAATGTACTGATCACCTCCTGGAATACATCTTTTAACCTTTCGTTCTGAGTTGGACTAGTATGATTGTCAAAGTGTTCCTTCAAAGTGGCTCCTTCCTGGTTCAAACGTACTCCTTGGTGCTGCTGGGGGGTCTAGAGATGGGGTATTTAGGTGTGGACTTGTTCCTCGGGCAGGATGCTGCCAGCATGCCGCCTCCCACTACGGACAGGAACGCACCAGCCCAGGCGATGAAGATGGCGGAACCAAACTCATACCTTTACAAAGAGAAATTATATGATTAGAGCTTTAATTCCAGTAAAACAGACATGCATTCATCAGCAGTGGAGGAGTGAGTGGACATAATGCAAATGTGTGAATACAGAAGAGGGAGGATCTGGTATCTTAAATCAACAACAGCTGACTTTCTGATGACTAACATGCAGAACAAAATATTCAGCTTACTCCTGCACGTTGAGCTGTATTAGGAGTTACATTTATTCAAACTTACTTGGTGTTGACTGGAGTGAAAGGGTTGTAGAAAGCTTGGATGATGTCATGGGCATACCAAGAGCAGGCAACGATGGCACACAGAGCTGAGAGAGGAAAGAGAAAAATCACTCAAACTGCCAAACAAAAAAATACAACTGAAAATGGAGAAAAAATTTAAAACAGCTCCTTACATCCAATCAGGATGATGATGCCACCGACCATGGCAATCTTTGACTTGCGGGTTTTGTCATCTCCTCCACAGTTGGTGCACTTCATTCCCATGCAGGCGACGCCAAGGCCGGCTATCACCACAATGATACTTATAATCATGAGGGCACGGGTTGCCTGGAGGGCACCTGGGTAAAAGAGACAAGAGGGTTAATATAAGAGTTAACATGGTAAAATATTTATTAAATTATAAAATAAAAGGTCTGGCAAGCTGTTCATGTTTGATTAAAATCAAGAAACAGCCTTTTAAGAGTTTAAAATCAAGTTGTGCTGTGATTTTCATAAGCTTTCATTTTGTACTGATTTCTTTATGTGCTCATGGTCCACCATTTTGGAAACACAAACGTCGCCCTGATACAACAGAGCAGCTTCTGTCTCCTGTGTCTCACTCATGCTCCCTATAACAACGCTCCACAGAAACTGGCTCTAACCGGAAGCCTGAAGGAACTAGAGCGGGGGGTGGGGGAGTGGGTGTGAGAGTAGTTTGAATGCGTGCAAGTCAGAAACAGGTCTGACCAGGTTTAAGGTTTCAATATGACGAAGACACTCCCAATTTCAGGTGCTCACAGTCTGCTTTTCAGCAGGTGGACATTTTTTGCGCTTCAAAGTTAAATCCAGAGAGACACGGGTTGCGTCTAGAATGTGGAGAATGCCAAATAGAGAGGTCACACTTCCCCGGTTTCGATGACAGATTATTCCCAAATTTCAAGTATTTGCTGATTTCTTCCTCAGGTATTTCTGAAAAATGAAATGTTATCTGTGCTTGGGCTTCATAACGGCTGATGGCTTTAATCAAACAATGTTTATCCAAAAGGGCGGCTTCATGTTTGAAGAGGAGATAAGACACACTGGGCTGCAGATATACTATCAAATACTTCGATAAGTCAACATTGTAAAAACAGAATAAAATGACCTTTTTTTTTTTTTCTAAAAAAGGAAATAGTTTCTGATTTTTTTTAACTTAAATAGTTAACAAGTAACTTCTGACCCTGAGTGAAGCATAGAGAAAATGTTGAGTCAAGACAAACAAACAGGGAGGGGACCTGGATACAAATCTCCCTCAGTGACAGTATGGCGGTTTAAGCCTGAGGGCGGCCTGTCATCCAGTTGTTTTTGAAGCATGTACAATAAAACAATCGACTGACCTATTATGCCACTGTTTTGAGATAGTTAAGTCATAAAAAGATGTAGTATGAGATAATATGAATAACAAATACAATCCCTGTCCCAAAGCTCTGGCTTAGTTACTTAGCACTGATATTGTATTTCTAATAACTTAATCATTTTAATCTATTTGCCTGAACCACACAATTAACCCTTACATGACCTTGTATGATAATTTAACCTCGAGGAATTTTGAAGAAATAATGTTCAAACACTTTTTTCAAAATGATGCATTGATATAGAATTTATTAAGACTTTTGGTGGGAAGGTCTTATCACCTCACACTGACAAAATACAGTAAATAACTGTTAATTTGATGCTCCAATGACCAAAAACAAAGCAACTGTTTACGGGACCGGCTCTCTGGCCTGTTGACTAAACAGTGGCTCATACAGGTGTTGTTTTACCTGTAACTACCTATGCTGTGTAATGGAAGTTCTTCAGTATGGGGGTTTCCACACATAACAGGACTACCTGGACTAGAACAATACCTCCAGGCTAATGATTGGCCAAGTGTTAAAGTGATGCACAAATGACCACAAAAGGAGGTTTCTGCACTGAGCCATGAAACTGTACTGATTCAGGTGAGGCCTCTAAGTGTGGTTTCAACAAAATGGGTGCTTTCTTTGGAAATAAAAGGGGAGTTAATAAGTGACTAAACCGGTTAGTCCGAGCGGAGGAATCTGCTAGCAGCAATGAGATGGAGCAGACACTTCAGAAGGTATAGTTTAAGAAAATGGAGGACGAGAAAAAACAGGTGTAAAGCTTATATTTACACAGGTGCATCTATAGATCCTTTACAAAATGGGTTCAAGCAGAAACAGATGATAAAGTCAGTGTGAATAATTGGGCCGACTTTTGGCAAAAGTTTTATCACAGAAAAAGATAAAACACTTGATTTAGAGGGACTTTAAAACAAACAGCACTTTCCTTTTTTTTCTTAACCCATGTTAGGATGGTGATTCTCAGTTTAGAAATAAGAACCCTCGTGAAAATCTGTGTAAAAACTTACTGTTGAGCTGCAGGATTGAGTCGTACACCTTGCACTGGATCTGGCCTGTGCTCTGAAAGGCACAGGACATCCATAGTCCTTCGTACATGGCTATAGCTGTAATGATGTTGTCCCCGACATAAGCAGACATCTTCCACTGCGGCAAAATGGTGCCAATTATCAGTCCAATTACACCCAACAGGGCCAGGGCGAACCCCAAAATCTGCAGACCCGAGTTGGCCATTTCTTCTTCTTCCTCTTCTTCTTCCTTCAAAAACTGGACAAAGAGGCGTCGTCCACCTGCTGTGAAGGTGCAAATCCCCACTCACTCCTCAGTAAGACGGTTTTTTTGGCGAAGTTTGCTCTGTTGTCCACGAAGTTATCTTTTTGTAATGAGAAACTTCGGGTTTCTTTGCTGTATTTCGGAAAAGTTTGCAAAATACGTGTTATTTCAGTCCAAGAAGTTTCTCAGTGATTCTTTGCGCACCTGTTCCCCAACCGCACCTAAATGTGAGGAGAGAGACGCGGGAGCGAGCTTTTTAGGCGGTTTCTCTTACAGGTGGGCGGGGACGCGCACGTGGTTTCGACTCATCGACGTAGCGGCGCACACCTGAAGTTTCATGATGTCAGCGTTTCCGGAAACAGACCCTCGGATGGGTGGTTTGATAGATAAACATACTGTACATACAGCACATTAACAACACACAAAAAGCAATTTTTCCCTTAAATGTAATATGCAGAAACACTTAGGCTACAATAGGAAGGCTAGGCTGTTAGTCAGGTGACCACACTCACCGAAAAATGTGTGGAAGATTAAAAACCAGAGGAGGGAAAAACAAGTTGCAGTTCTTGAGATAAGTTCATATTTGTTACCTGATACTCGGGAGCCCTGAAAGTGGAAACTGTAAAGCGATAAACAGACCCCACATTTCACTATTTATATAACTGTAATGATTTGGGTGGATCTGGGTCTTTTCAGTGTTGGTTATTCCTATTTACTGGAAATATAAAATGACAATACCATATTGAAAGAGCCAGTCTTTATGATCAGAATTACTCCAATCTTCTTTGAGATGGACAAGTTATGCACATAATGATTTGTACTTATACTCTTATCAATTGTTTGTTGTTTCTTCTATCATTTATTTATATATTGTATTTTTTATGGGACAGTGCATTATAAAAAATACTATACTTTGGTAATTTATATCATTTACTTATAGCATACAAGAGCATATGCTCAGAAGGATAGTCCAAACTGTTCTGCAAAATTCTAGTCCTCCATCATCGTTTACGTGTAATTATGTTGATTTTTGTACCCACAAACTTGCAAAATTACATGTCTAAATTCACCATATTGCTACAAAAACATGCTGATGATTCTTCTATTATATTTTTGATGATATGATTGGAAATATGAAGCCAGAGTATTGTATATAAGTACAGTGAGTTAATAGCGACCTGTTGGCCTAACAATATAGTCTTAACATGAGCATCACATTTAAAAATGTCAGCAGAAGTGCATGTGAAAGATATGTTTATATATATATATATACATATATATATATATACAATTGAGATGAAAATATGACATGAGTGTGTGGCTGTCAGTTGTCTGTCTAGTAGAACATCACATGCCATCTCAGTTCACCTTACTAACACAGGTGTGTGTTTAAACCTGCTCCAGGTTGCAGAACTGGAGTGAACTCTACTCAAACATGGATGAGGAACTTTTTGAAACCAGGAAACTTCACAAACTGCTGCAAGACTGGCTCACAGCATGCATGAACTACAAGCTACACAAGGTAAATGAACTATGACACCAAATGTAGAGATAAGTACCCTGATTAACTTATGGAAACACCCCTAATATTAGCCTTATCTGATATAGACCGTCAATGAAACGTTACTTCTGTTATTTTGCAGTCAAAATTATGCCTAATGTAGTTTTCCCTCAAAACAAAGTTCATGACTGATTATTTTTCTACCAGAAGTGAACCAAATGTGTGTACACAGGCTCCACTTCCTTTTAAAGACAATAATGTGTTGATGTGACAAACACAGAGAAAAAACATACAACTTCATGTCTTTTCTGCAGATAATTTACAGGCATGTTTTACAGTCAGGCCTGCAACCAGTCTTTCATTTGTGAATATTTTGTTTTTTTACTCCCTGCTTTTTTCTGTAATTATAATTTTCTCACAACTGCTACAGATTTCCCCAAAAATTCAGTTTCAAGATTAACACAATCCTTTTGACACTCCCCCTAAAGGTGTAGCTCCCAGGAAGGATCCAGGAAAGTCCGGGTTTTTTTTTCCCTGAGCTGTGCACCCTGAGGGAGACAGATTTCAAATGGTATGTTAGGTGTAGACAGTTTACTATGACAATATTTCAAGATTTCCCAAGACTCTGTTCACAGTTGACTCCCAGTCATAAAATGAAGATTTTATACCATGTTTGAATAGCTCCTCATTTTTCTGGGGAATGGCATTTTTACTTTAAAATCACCACCTAAACATGTAAAAGTATTGTTTTTGTAATGTTACTTGTAAATTTGACTGAATGGGGCCCATAAGGACAACTGAACTTTTGACATCTTCATTGTTAGACAGCTACATGTAGTGGTGTGGCAGCAACAGCTTCAAACTAACAGTTGGAGCTGATTCAGTTCTTTCACCTGTCTAACAGGTTTCTTTTTTTGTGACCGTCGGACGGTATCTCAGCAGCTCTCCAAAAACATAAAGCGCACCACCAAGTAAACAGTTTTAAAGCACAAGTACATACATGTGGATTTCTCACACACTTAATCTCCATGTCCAAACAAACACGGTGATAGTCAGGTCAGGTTTAGGTAGTACTACGAAACTACTATTTTTGTTGATACTGACAGTCACCCCGTGACTCATCATACAGTCGCGGTAGGAAAAAGGAAGTAGAGTAAATGTTTTGAACTTGTCTTCAGTTTCTCAATCTGTTAATGAGTCATCTGAAGCGATACAGACAATACTGCAAGGAATAATTTTAGTTGTGCAAGTTGCATTTTGCTCCACAGGGTATGTCTCTGTTAGGTCACACCCCCGATCCTATTGATTTATGTCTATTTACATTACAATGAAAACTAAATCTAAAGTTAAGGGTCCTAATTTTATAAGAATCACAATTTTCTGATAATTATTAGATTCAGTGGCCAAATCTGAATCAAATGGTTTGTATGGTGCTTTACTCTAAGCGAACAAAGCAGAATTCTTTCAAATCAGATGAAGTGTTCTGGCCTTTAAAACCCAGTTTAGTCTCATCCAGATTGGATCTTGTGTATATGTAAGCATTTAACTTCCTTTATTGAATAACAAACGATGCAGAAGTTGATCGCTTTCACCTAAATAAGACTCCAGCTTGCTCAAATCTTGACTCCTTTCTTTTACATTTTCATTTTTTCGAGTTTTTAGCAATGAGACTATCTCTTCCCTCTATGATATCATCTTTTCCAGTTAGGATTTAACCTGACCACTTGACACCTGTGTGCTGATGTTACTGCAGTGACTCAGTGTGATCCTGTTCCCCTGCCGTGCATGTTGTAACATCATTCATAGAGCAGGCTGTAGGACAGGAGGTCACATGAGGAGAGATGAAACAAACTCTGAAGAGCAATGCTGTCATCTGGTGGTGAATGTGAAACAAAGCAGCAGACCGTGAGCCATTTTAGCTCTCCCATGAAGTAATGGCAATTTTACATAGAAATATCAGATGACAGTTCTGTCTGATGAGCACTGGTTTCCTGTTTTATCTCACATTATGTTTTTTCCTCTATGTGTACAACAGCCAGCCCCATAGATAAAAACATAGATAGATAGATAGATAGATAGATAGATAGATAGATAGATAGATAGATAGATAGATAGATAGATAGATAGATAGATAGATAGATAGATAGAACTAGTAGGATGACAAATTAATGAGTAAAATAAGAGAAAGAAAAGCGGATAAAAATAATACATTTTCAGCCACAGGAAATAATATGCATACAAACCTGCAAACAACAGATATCATACAAAGTTATATCAATACAGTACCATGACATGTTTATGATTGTAGTATATCTTTCCTTTTATAAGGCCTTCACTTTTTCAAGTCTGTTCTTAAATACAATAGGAGAATTTTCCTGAGTTGGATGATAATGGCAACCAAAGGTACTGATGAAAAATATTCTGAAGTCAATTTCTCCATGAGTAAGATATGTAAGATTTGGTCTAGATACATCTGAAATGTGAAAATTGGCTTCTCAGGCCATATATCATTTCGCCTGAAATTACAACATTTCTGTGTATAAACGACTATAACCTAATTGCAAAAAAGTCGAGATGCTGTGTCAAATGTTGACTACACAAAATTTGATGGTTTGCAAATTATTTAAACCTTATATTTCTTTAAAATTAGTTCATGAAAAGGTTGAAGCTTAAAAAAGTTTTTCTATTATTCTATTTCATTTTGATTTTGATACCAGCAGCACTTTCAGAGAAAGTTAAGACAGGAACAACAAAAGACAAAAAAAAAAAAAGAACAGACAAAAAAAAAGCTTTCCTTACATAAGTTGTCTAGACTCATGCAGATCGATGGTAATTATTTGATAAGTTGTCGCCCACAATAAACAATAAAGAGAAGCTGCTCTCTGTGGGACTCAATCATTGAGGATCTATCAGTCAGATTTGTTTGATTTATATCCAGGTTGACGTGTTGGACCACATTTGCCTTTATAAGCTAAATGATGTGTAATGGCTCTATTTAAGCTACAGCTGTGAAGTGCCTGAAATGACAAGCGTGTCCCTTAGAAATTACACTTGTATCTCACTAAACTGCTTTCCTAATTATGTTGTGGTGACAACCTAATCGCTGCCTGGAGATGTTATTTAGACTGAGTGAAACGCTGCATTTATGAACCACACTGGAAATAAACATAACAGGGATGGAGTTATTTGTCATTTATATTTTAGCAAGGCAGGGTTAGCAGAGCTTTCTTCCTATTCCAAAATCAATACAACAATAAAACGTGTTGATGAAAAAGTTCTGCTAAAGTTCTGCTTGTCTTACTATAAAGTTTAGTTTCTGCATTTGGTGATCCATCCACCTGTTCTTGTGTTGTTGGCACTGGTATTACTGAAAGACAAGCCAAGAGATCATGAGTATTTAGTCTTTGAAAAATGTAATTAAAGACAGCATTTACAAGAACAACCTCCAAGGTTGTGCATTTCCCACGTTTCATATTTAGCATGTTGCCGCCTGTGATGAAAACATGCACACACTGAGGGTAATTGGTTCCTCCAGCTATCGTGAGAACTATATTTGGTTTAATGCCTTAATCCGTATTTGCTGCATTGAGAAATAAAAAGCTCCATTCAGTCTGAGCGTAGACAGCTCCTCTCTGTGTGGGTTTACTGAGAATAATCTTATATAAATGCACGAGTCATGCTTCCATGAGATTTGAGATGCCCCAGTAAAGCACAAGGAGGATCAGAGGAGAAAAGAGGGCTGTCTGACCCTGTCCGAGGTCGCGTCTCAAAGGGGGGGAACTCGCTGTG